AGGACCGCACCTGCCCGTTAACCAGAGATTATATCAAACTTTTGCGCTGCCTACGCCACGAACTGAACCAAGATTAACCAGGACTAACCCAGGACTGATTCCAGGACTGTAGAGGAGGACTAATCCACAACTGAACCAGGACTAACCCAGGACTAAACCAGAAGTGAAACAGGACAGCACCTCACGGAGGTAAACGCGGCAATTGCTCGATCGCGCTTTGCGGACAAACTGTTTGGCGTTCTCTCTCTCAGGTCCAAGATTAGTCCTAGTTTAGACCTGGTTTAGTCCTGACCCACCCGTGTGTAATGACTACCCGCCTGTAATACACAATACGTGTTCATACGCTGTAAAAAATAAATAAATAAAAAGCATGCAAAATTGTACTAAAAAAAAAAAAATCCGAGAAACAGTGAGACTGCGAAAGGTGAACCGCGATATAGTGAGGGACGACTCCCCTATGGTCACCCTATTTTACTGGATGCGCATGTCTTTATCTCGCAGGACTTTGTGAGAGCTTTTCACAACTCTCAGACACCAGTGCCAGATTTTTGCTGTAATTGTTGCTGTAACTGCTTTATAATCCGATACAGACACTACAACGAGCGTTTATTTTGACCTTGAGAGCTGCTTGTACGACAACAGGCCGACAGTATCTCAGCTCGTACAGAGTCTGTCCGCTGAGCCAAAGGTTGGCAGTTCGAATCCAGCTCTCGCCATAAAAAAACATAATTGGTGGAGAGGTTAGATCCACTGACCCACATGCTGGGGATGCAATTTTAGCTCCCACAGACAAAATTTGTTGTTGTGTCCTTGAGCAACATGATGGCAGAAAAGCACACTGCAGAAAGCAATATGTAGGCAAGTTAAAATAGCTTAAATTAAGAACATTTGTCTTTGATTAGATTCAACTTGATGAGTAAATTGATCTACCAATGGAATAAGTGTGTTTTTTTTTTTTGGTTTTTTTTTAGCTCAAAGTATATTTAATTATGTTTCTGCAAGTGCAAAGAGTTGTTGTTTTTCTTATTTTAAGTGTAGCAAGATGTGTTTTCATATTTGAGGTACATAAAGTCTTGTTCCACTGCAGATAATTTTACTTGTCGAGTGAAATTGACTCAAATCATGATAAACTTTATTAATTCAAGTCATTTTAGCTGTATTGTGAGGGTCCATCAGATGCTTTTCTCTGTGAAGATGTTATTACTTTGTTTGGAATGTTTCACACCTGTAATAGACATTTTTCACAACAGCTGGAAGTGCTGTGCTTTAGGTTTGCGGAACTTCTGTTTAATGGTTTTCTGTGGCAAAATGTGTGTGGAAATGTGTGTGGAAATGTGTGTCGTATTCTCCAGCAACTTCATAAATTTGCTCCATCACCAAATCTTCAGCCAACAACCAGGTTGGACCAGCGCAGAACTCCGTGTTCCACAGCACTAACCGCAGCTGACGCCCAACGCACCTTGCAGACATCCTGTTCCGCAGACTCGGGGTTCTCTCAGGGGCGTCCTAGATTCCAAGTTCTAGTCCAAGATTAGTCCTGGTTTGGTCCTGGTTTAGTCCTTGTTTAGACCTGGTTTAGTCCTGGTTCAGCTCTGGTTTAGTCCTAGTTTAGACCTGGTTTAGACCTAGTTTAGAACTAGTTTAGTCCAGGTTTAGTCCTCTGTTCAGTCCTGGTTTAGACCTGGTTTAGTCCTGGTTCAGTTCTGGTTTAGTTCTGGTTTAGTCCTTGTTCAGTCCTCCGTTCAGTCCTGGTTTAGACCTAGTTTAGAACTAGTTTAGTCCTCCGTTCAGTCCTGGTTTAGACCTAGTTTTATCCTGGTTCAGTCCTGGTTTAGACCTGGTTTAGTCCTAGTTTAGTCCTGGTTTAGTCCTGGTTCAGTTCTGGTTTAGTTCTTGTTTAGACCTAGTTTTGGTTCAGTCCTGGTTTAGACCTGGTTTAGTCCTGGTTGAGTTCTGGTTTAGTTCTGGTTTAGTCCTGGTTCAGTCCTGGTTCAGTCCATATATGGTGCAAATGTTCAGCATCTTCACAGTTATTTTGGTGAGAGTAAACTTAAAAGTGCTGCAATAGTAATGTAATGCCTTTTAATTTAAATGCAGTAATATTGTAATGTAATACATTTCTCTGAAATGACAGTAACAAGTCATAAATAACACATTACAGTTTTAAAGTCCCTTGCCCAACAGTGCACATTAGTGACACACTCAACAAAACTAATGTTATGATCATGAATAAAACAGAAGGAACTTGTTCACTCAGACTGATTCTACAATTCAAATTAAAAATCAGTTTTACATTGTCGATACATTTGTGCCGTTCAAATGTGAGACATCTCTAGGACCGTAATATTAGTTTTGTTCAGTGTGTCACTAGTGCATGGTCGTTGTTTCCTTTAAGTTTTTGTCTTTCTTCTCTTGATAGTTGTGGATAAATTCTTCATGTTAGAATGTTTATCCTTTGTGGAGTTTGTTGGTTGAAGATTTGGTGATGGGACAGAATTATGAAGCTGCTGGAAAATACGACACACATTTACACAAACATTTTGCCACAGAAAAGAATGAACCGGAAGTTCCACAAACCTACAGTTCACACACTACACTTCTGGCCGTTGTGAAAAAAAGTCTATTGAATAAATGTAAAGTTGAGCTGTTTAAGGCAAGGCAAGTTTATTTGTACAGCACAATTCGTACACAAAGCAATTCAAAGTGCTTTACAGAATAAAAAATACATTAAAATCACAATCAAAACAAATCTAAATAAATAAATAAATTCATTAATTAAAGATTAAAATTAAAAGAGAGAGAGACATTAATTACATAAATTAGAGAGAAGATTTTTTTAAAAAAATATAAATATTTATTCATTTCATTTCATTAGAGATGTTCAGTGTCCATTTAGCTATTTACACGAGTATAATATATACATATATATATATATATATATATATATATATATACACATATATATATATACATGCACATATGCATACATACATATACACATCCGTTCTCTACGTTCATTTACATTATATGTCATACTGTGGCATGACACATTTTATTCAGATACATAAAAAGTCAGGTACAGGGCTTTTAATCGTACATCCTCAAAAGGATCCTGGCCTCTGCTGATCACTGCTCTTTTCGCTGACCGTTCCTCAAACTAAATGCGTCTGAACCAGCAGAAGTTTATGTGACTTTGGGGAAATGGGCTCAGCGCTGAGGCAGGTGTTTGGCAGGAGCAGACAGGCGCAGAGGTCAGCAGGTGACAGGTGCAAAAGAGGTCAGCAGGTTTTAATGGCCAACAGAAGGATTATGGATGTGTATGAGTCTGAACAACCACCGAGACCGGAGCTGAACTTCTGCACTTTAAAGATCCAATATCCCACTAAACTGTTTGAGTAATGTGATGTCATTTAGTGGTAGTTTTCAAGTAAACACATACCTTTTAAAGAGAGTGTGACAGTATTTATTGCAGTATTTTTACATGTACTTGTGTATTTTGTGTATTTAGGATATCGTTTGTAAGTGTGGTCTCTCTCTCCTTCTGTCTCCCTCTCTGTGTGAAGTATTTATTGCAGTATTTGTACATGTACTTATGTATTTTGTGTACTTTGTGTATTTAGGATGTTGGTCGTGAGTGTGGTCTTTCTCTGTGCAGTATTTATTGCAGTATTTATACATGCACTTTCATATTTTGTGTACTTTGTGTGCAGGATGTCGATCGTGAGTGTGCTCTCTCTGTGCAGTAGTTATTGCAGTATTTATACATGTACTTTGTGTATTTTGTGTGCTTTGTGTATGTAGGATGTTGATCGTGAGTGTGGTCTTTCTTTCTTTCTGCAGTATTTATTGCAGTATTTATCGGTGTACTTATGTATTTTGTGTATGTAGGATGTCGATCGTGAGTGTGGTCTCTCTCTGTGCAGTATTTATTGCAGTATTTGTACATGTACTTGTGTATTTTGTGTACTTTGTGTGAAGGATGTCGATCATGAGTGTGCTCTTTCTGTGCAGTATTTTTTGCAGTATTTATACATCGTGTATTTTGTGTACTTTGTGTATTTAGGATGTCGGTCATGAGTGTGCTCGCTCTCTGTGCAGTATTTATTGCAGTATTTGTACATGTACTTGTGTATTTTGTGTACTTTGCGTATGTAGGATCTCAGTCATGAGTGTGGTCTCTCTCTCTCTCTGTGCAGTATTTTTTGCAGTATTTATACATTTACTTGTGTATTTTGTGTACTTTGTGTATTTAGGATATCGGTCATGAGTGTGCTCTCTCTGTGTGCAGTATTTATTGCAGTATTCGTACATGTACTTTTGTATTTTGTGTATTTAGGATGTCGATCGTGAGTGTGCTCTCTCTGTGCAGTAGTTATTACAGTATTTGTACATGTATTTGTGTATTTTGTGTACTTTGTGTATGCAGGATGTGGATTGTGAGTGTGGTCTCTCCCTCTCTCTGTGCACTCTTTATTGCAGTATTTATACATGTACTTGTGTATTTTGTGTACTTTGCATATGTAGGATCTCAGTCATGAGTGTGGTCTCTCTTTCTCTGCAGTATTACTGCAGTATTTATAGGTGTACTTATATATTTTGTGTATGTAGGATGTCGATCGTGAGCGTGGTCTCTCTCTGTGCAGTATTTATTGCAGTATTTATACATGTACTTTGTGTGCAGGATGTCGATCGTGAGTGTGGTCTCTCTCTGTGCAGTATTTATTGCAGTATTTATACATGTACTTTGTGTACTCTGTGTGCAGGATGTCGATCGTGAGTGTGGTCTCTCTCTGTGCAGTATTTATTGCAGTATTTATACATGTACTTTGTGTACTCTGTGTGCAGGATGTCGATCGTGAGTGTGGTCTCTCTCTGTGCAGTATTTATTGCAGTATTTATACATGTACTTTGTGTGCAGGATGTCGATCGTGAGTGTGGTCTCTCTCTGTGCAGTATTTATTGCAGTATTTATACATGTACTTTGTGTACTCTGTGTGCAGGATGTCGATCGTGAGTGTGGTCGCTCGAGAGATCCTCGACTCCAGAGGAAACCCCACAGTGGAGGTGGATCTGCGCACGGACAAAGGTAAACCTCTCCTCTCTTCTTCTCTCTTCCTCTCTTTCTTCATCTTTACTCTCTTTCCGCTCTCCTTTCTCTCTCTATTTCTCCTTCTAGTTTTCTCACTCTGTCTCTCTCTTTTCTCAACTCTCTCATTGTTCTGTCCTTCTATTTCTCTGTGTCTCTCCTTTCTTTCCACTCTCCCCTTTCCTTTCCTTTCCTTTCCTTCTTCTGTCACTCTCATCCCTCTGTCCTCTCTCCTTTCCTCCATGGCCTCCAACTCTCTCCTTTCCCCCTCTTTATTTATTTATTTATTTTTATCTCTCTCCTTCTCTTCCTCTCACCTTTTTATCTCCTCCTCTCCTTGTCACTCTCCTCCTTTTCCTCCTCTTTCACTCTCTCTCTCTCTTTCTCTTCTCTCTCTTTGTATCTCTCTTCTCTGTCTTTATCTCTTATCTTTCATCTTTTTCCTATGTCCTTTCTCTCTCCCCTTCTTCCTTTCCTTTCTTGCTTTCTTTCTTTCTGTCTGTCACTCTCCACGTTTTCTACACTCTTACCTCTCTCTCATCTCTCCTTTCCTTCCTTCCCTTCTCTCTTCCTCTCTCCTTGAATCTCTCTCTCTTTCTTTGTCTAGTTTCTTACTCTGTCTTTTCTCAACTCTCTCAAAGTTCTGTCCTTCTTTCTCTCTCTGTCTCTGCTTTCTTTCTATTCTCCCCTTTTCTCTCCCTTCCACTCTTTCTTTCCATCTGTCACTCTCCTCTTTTTCCACCCTTCTACCTATCTGACATCTCTCCTTTCCTCCCTGCCACCCTCTCTCTCCTCTTTCACTCTGTCTTTCTCCTCTCTCTTTCTTTGTCTTTATCTCTTGTCTTTCACCTTTGTCCACTGTCCTTTCTCTCTCACCTCTTTCTTTTCTCTCAGTCACTCTCCACTTTTTCCATGCTCTTATCTTTCTTTTTCCTTCCTGCACCTCTCTCTCTTTTCTCAACCCTCTCATCTTTTCTCTCTGTCTCTCCTTTCTTTCCACTCTCCTCTTATCTCTCCCCCTTCTCCCCACTCTTTTGCTTTCCATTTCTTTTCCTCTGTCACTCTTCTCTTTTTCCGCACTTCTTTCCTCCCTGCCACCCTCTCTCTTCTTTCACTTTCTCGTCTCTCTCTCTCTTTGTATCTCTCTTCTCTGTCTTTATCTTTCACCTTTGTTCACTCTTCTTTCTCTCCCCTCTTCCTTTCCTTTTCTTTCTTTCTCTCTGTCATTTTTCCACACTCTCATCTGTCTTTTCCTTTCCTCCCAGCCCCTTTCTCTTCCTCTCTCCTTGTTTTTGTATTCACTCTCTCTCTCCTCTTTTTCCACTCTCAGTTTTCTCCTGAAACAACAATAATGACCTTGGAGTCTAGAACACAACATCTAAGTTTGGAGACATCTGCAGAGGTTCCTCGCAGACTTATCGACGTCTCTGTTAGATTTGATTGTTCCAGAAGTGCTTCAGTTCCGTTTGGTTTTTTGGTTGGATTTGTAAAGTAAGTTTTTTTTTCTTTCTTCAGGTTTGTTCCGAGCCGCCGTCCCCAGCGGAGCGTCGACGGGAATCTACGAAGCTCTGGAGCTGAGAGATGGAGACAAGAGCCGCTACAAAGGGAAAGGTGACAATCCTCTGCTCCTCTGTTCCTCTCTTCTGCTCCTCTGACCTTCTCCTTGTTGGACTCTCTCCTTTTTTGACCCTCTTCTCCTCTAACCCCTTCCTCTACTTCTCCAACTCTCTCCTCTGCTCTACTCTTTTGACCTTCTTCTCTACTACTCTGCGCCTCTGACCCTCTTCTGTCCTTTTCTGACCTTCCTCTCTTCTCCTCTGACCTTCCTCTCTTCTCCTCTGACCTTCTTCTCTTCTCCTCTGCTCTTCTGACCCTGTCCTCTCCTCCTCTGACATTCTTCCTTTTCTCCTCTGACTCTCTCCTCTGCTCCTCTGACCATCTCCTGTCCTTTTCTGACCTTCTTCTCTTCTCCTCTGCTCCTCTGACCTTCTTCTCTTCTCCTCTTCTCTTTTGTTCCTCTCCTCTACTCCTCTGACCTTCTTCTCTTGTCCTTTGCTCCTCTGACTCTCTTCTCTTGACTCTCTTCTTTTCTGCTTTGATCCTTTCCTCTGCTCCTCTGACCTTCTTCTCTTCTCTTCTGCTCCTCTGACCCTGTCCTCTGACCTTCTTTTCTTCTCCTTTGCTCCTCTGACCTTCTTCTCTTCTCCTCTGACCCTCTCCTGTCCTTTTCTGACCTTCCTCTCTTCTCCTCTGCCCCTCTGACCTTCTTCTCTTCTCTTCTCTTCTGCTCCTCTGACCCTGTCCTCTGCTCTTCTAACCTTCTTCTCTTCTCCTCTGCTCTTTTGTCCCTCTCCTCTACTCCTCTGACCTTCTTCTCTTCTTCTTTGCTCCTCTGACTCTCTTCCCTTCTGCTCTGCTTCTCTGCTCTTCTCCTCTGACCTTCTTCTCTTCTCCTCTGACCCTCTCCTGTCCTTTTCTGACCTTCTTCTCTCCTCTGCTCCTCTGACCCGCTCCTCTCTTCTTCTCCAGGCGTGTTGAAGGCAGTAGGACACATCAATGACACTTTAGGACCAGCTCTTATAGCCTCCGTGAGTACAGGACACATTTAAAACCTTCAATCACACAGTATTAGTATTATTTATGTTTATTATTATTATTATGTGTATGTGTTCATATATTGCCGTGTGTGTTCCTCAGGGCATCAGTGTGGTGGAGCAGGAGCAGCTGGACAACATGATGATCGAGATGGACGGGACAGAGAACAAATGTGAGTCTGTGGATGGCCGCTCATTTACTTTGAACATTTTGCCTTTGAAATTTCCCCTTACATATAACCAGTGTTGGGAGTAACACATTAGAAAAGTAACAAGTCACTGTAGTACGTTGCTTTTGACTTAAGTACGTTGCTTTCGACTTCAGTAAACTACAAAGCCGCACCACCCGCAGAACACACAAACACACACGGAGCAGACAGCGACCGCACAGCGAAACACACCCACAGACACACTCATCACTCCACGCCGACGAGGAACGGAACGAAGGAACGAATCAAAAAAGCGAGTGCAATGTGCCACTTCTAGACACAACTGAACAACTGAGTCATTGAGTGTGTTTACATGAACATCAGTATCCCGGTTATGATCGGGTTTTATGAGTATCCCAGTTTCTTCATGGTGCATGTAAACGCAGTACCCCGGTTTTAGTATCCCGGTTATGGCAGTATCCCGGTTATTAGAAACCGGGTTACTGTAGCTGGTTTATTCCGATAGTAACCGGGATAATGTGGCATGTAAACGCAGTATCCCGGTTACTGCAACATAATGTTGAGTCACATGTGTCCAAAAGACACTTTCCAGTCTTTTCACCACAACAGTAGCGACATAAATAAAGTGACCAACATAAATAAAGTGACCAACATAAATAAAGTGACCATACATGAGTGAAATGAGTGTAAAATAAAAAGCTGCGCTAAACCTGCACATGTAGCTCCTCACGCTGGTTAAACCTCCCGAGCTTACTATGCTAAAGGAGCTCATGGTTTGTATTTTTCTTGGTTTATTAAATTAATTTAAGTAAATTTTTGCGCTTGCGCCTTTGTAAGATTATGTCAAGAAACCGGGATACTCCATTTGATCAAGTATACGTGAATATGAGTGTCCCGGTTTCTCGGGCGCATGTATACGCAGTAACCTGAATACTGACATAACCAGGATATGTCTAATAACCGGGATACTGACGTGCATGTATACGCACTCACTGCGAACATGCCAACAATCCGTTGGTCCCAGACACACCCTCCCTACACGCCACAACTGAACAAAGCCCAGAGTCACCGTGAACGAACAAACAAACAAAACCACTCACCCATCACACAGTTGGGTTTCCTTTAAAGTCCAGTGCAGTTTATTTGTGAAAAAAGTTCGAAAATAGACCATTTAATGATGCATTTTATAATCCAGAGTGTCTAATAGTGCGAAAAATACGGTAATATTTTACTTTGTGCAAATGTGAGTAAAGCGCATTACAATGCATTTTTAACCTGGATTGAAGTGGTGGGTTTCGTTTTTCCTCATACCAATTCCCTAAAATCACCTCGATATCAGCAGCAGTGAAATGCCAGCGATACGGTTCTGACTGACACAGAACTCCACGCTCCACAGGGCGAAGAGCAGCTGATGCCCGATCGCGCTTTAGGGACACCCTGCTCCACACGCTCAGGGTTTTCTCAGGGGCAGAATTAGAGTCCAAATCCAAGATTAGTCCTGATTTGGTCCTGGTTTAGACCAGGTTTAGTCCTGATTTAGTCCTGGTTTAGACCTGGTTTAGACCAGGTTTAGTCCTGGTTTAGACCTGGTTTAGACCAGGTTTAGTCCTGATTTAGTCCTGGTTTAGATCTGGTTTAGACCTGGGTTAGTCCAGGTTTAGTCCTGGTTTAGAACTGGTTTAGACCTGGGTTAGACCTGGGTTAGTCCTAGTTTAATCTTGGATTAGTCCTGGTTTAGACCTGGTTTAGACCTGGTTCAGTCTTTGATTAGACCTGGTTTAGTCCTGGTATAGACCTGGTTTAGTCCTGGTTTAGTCCTGGTTTAGACCTGGTTTAGACCTGGTTTAATCCTGGTTTAATCTTGGTTTAGTTCTGGTTTAGCCCAGATTTAGTCCTGGTTCAGTTTCTTTTTTTTTTTTTTTTAATATAAAGTCAAATGGAAACAGAGTCGATCCTTCATTCATCAGTGTACACAGACACTGGGGGGTGAGGTGGGTTAAGTGTCTTGCCCAAAAACACAATGATAGCATTCATCTGTGGGAACTGGAATCACACCACCAACCTCCAGAACAGTGGACAAACGCTCTACCGATTGAGCTACTGCCTCCCTTTATTCTTCTCGTTTTCTCACTCTTGTTTTTTCCTCTCTCGTTTCTCAACTGTCTCATCATTTTGTCCTTCTTTCTTTCTCTCTCTCCTCTCCTCCTCTTCTCCTTGTCCGTTTTCTCACACTAAATGGAGCGTCCCTTAAGTCTGACATCTAAAAAGGATGCCGTCCAAATGAAGAAACGTTTATCGGATTAAATGGTTTAGTGGACATTTCAGAAGCTCCGTGAATCATTAGATAAGAAATGCAACTTTTTCACTTTTGCCGCACAAACCGCACACAGTCCGAGGGTTCTGCAGCACTTTAGTTCAATTCACACTTCAACTTTAACATATTTAAAGGGCACGTATTATCTATTATGTATGGAGTAAGAAAGCTTTCATAAATATTCATGAGCATAGAATAGAAATCCGTGTGTATTTAAATATATTTAATATATTTTTTATATTTAATATTATTTAAATATTTGCCAATACACGCATCAAGAATCTCGGACTTCCAGTCACTGCATAATCCACACTGGGAAGGATTTTCCGAAAAAGTGAGCATCAAACCTCCATGTTTAATTTCCCAGTGGGATGAGTCTATTGACAAAGTTGATCTTTTCAAGTCTTTTGAACCATATCACTTTTGTTTCTGGGTCTGATATTGTCATATTTTAGTTTTGGGATTCGGACATTGTTAATTGTGTGGTTGTTGGATCCTAACAGCAGAAAACGGCTCGAGAAATTTGTTTGCGAACTCCATAAATGCAAAAGGGAATCAGATGTGTGTGACTGCAAACCTCTGTTCAAACTGTTTCTCTTCCCATCGGAATTGAAAAATAGTGAAAGGTGAAGGCGATGCGCAGGATTGATCCACAGGAAGAACCAAAAAGGAAACCTTTGACTGGCTAAATCATCCCGAGTTTGCAGCGAACATTTTGTATGTGGAGCGACAACAAAGCGGGATCCTGTTTGTTAAGTGAGAGGTGCAGAAGACAAACAGGCTGAGCTGCACTTTCTTGTTCTTGTGGTTTTACAGCAACATCACGTCTTGGTCTCTTTGCAGTGGAAGGTGTTTCTTGGTGAACAGTTGGTGCCTCTCGCTTTGGCGTTGACTTTTTAAATTCGTAACTAAGGCTGAGTGAGGGATCGGGGTTTTGCTTTGATGGCTCCACATTCCTCTTCTGTGTCGCTGTCGTCAGACTCAGCATCAGTTCCAGTTTGAATTATTCGGGTCTTTCTGAATCCTGACAGGATGGTTTCGTTTGTCACTGAAGTCCAGGCTTTGTCCATCCGTCCAGTGACTTCAGGAAAGTTTCATGGTGCATCCTCTTGGTTAACGTGAAGTTGTGTTCTCCATCCAAGTTTACCGCCAGTTCCTCACAAGTTTCTCGCTCACTCCAAACTTTCTTTCTGCTGCTCGATTACCGTTTTCGGCTGAATATTTCACTATTTGTGACAGGACAGTGGCTAGTTCTGCAGGAGTCATGTGCAGAAAACTGACACACAAACCTAGAGCCTCTGTCACTGTCAGTCTGAACATTTTAATATATAAGTCGCACCAGAGTATAAATCACAAGAAACACCCAAACCATGAAAAAAAGTGTGACTTATAGTCTTAAAAATACGGTAATAAGTATCATCATTTTAGCATGTTAAAGTCTTAATTCTTTGGTTTATGACAGAACAAAAATCTTGTCAAGACATTTTAACAATTTTGTTACGTTAACAAAATATCGCAATAAATATCGTACCGTGGGATGTATATCGTGAAAATGCCGTATCCACTGTTGGGGAGTAACAGATTACATGTACCAGAGTATCGTAATCAGAGAACAAATTATGAGTAATTGTATTCAGTTACAGTTACTGTTTCCATAACTGCTAATTGGATTACAGTTACTGTTAAAATAAATGGATTACACAGCTGTATTTTCCTGTTTTCACATTTTTCCTGGTAATTCCACTCATTGCCGGACACTAAACCAGGTCCAAACCAGGTCCAAACCAGGTCCAAACCAGGTCTAAACCAGGTCTAAACCAGGTCTAAACCAGGTCTAAACCATGCCGCTGTCTTTTAGCAGACAAAATGTCTCATGTGAAGATCCTGGTCTTTGCTTCTCTACAGCAAATCAAGTAATCCAAAGTATTCAGATTACGTTACTCACTTTAAGTAATTTAATGGATTCTGTTACAAACTACATTTTGGGGTATGTAATCTGTAATCTGTAGGGGAATACATTTTAAAAGTAACATTCCCAACACTGGCCATATCGAGAGATTTGAATATAATTACATCCCTAATATAAACACTCAAATCTAATAGAAAATGATTTAAAAGTGGTGAAATGATGTGTCCATGCAGCAAGATCATTTTACTTGATAAATTCTCTTAAAATAAACAACCTCTAGACGAAAATGAAGCATCTCAGAATGAGTAAGTAGATAATAAATTTGAAAACAAGATGAATAACCTGCTAGAAATTTTAAAATCTTGGCCAGATCAGAGACATTTATGTCGAGTTCTTTTCTCAAACTGAAAACACAGTGTATCTTTAAACTCAGACCTTTAAAATTTCCGAGCTGGAATTGCAAATCTTTACGAACAAAAGGTAAAAGGAGCTGCCAACTTAAAAACAACACTTCAAACATGTGTGAATGAAACAAAACACAAGTCCAGGTCTGTTTTTGAGGAGGTAGAAACATTATAACATGGTTTAAATCTCACGAGAGTCAGGATCTTTAAATGATTTGTGATTATAATGTTTTTTTGTTTTTTTTTTTGGTTTCTGTTGCAGCTCAGTTCGGGGCCAACGCGATCCTGGGCGTGTCTCTGGCCGTGTGCAAAGCCGGAGCCGCAGAGAAGGAGGTGCCTCTGTACAGACACATCGCAGACCTGGCTGGGAACACCGAGCTGGTCCTGCCCGTCCCTGTGAGTCCTGGTTTAGATCTGAGTTAGACCTAATTCAGTAATGTTCTAGTCCTGGTGTAGCCTTGGTTTCTATGTTTAGTCCTGGTTTAGACCTGGTTTAGTCCTGAGTCAGCCTGTGCCCTTGAGTCCTGGTTAAGTTCTGGTTTAGTCCTGCTTTAATCCTGGTTCACTCCTATTTCAGACCTGATTCAGTCCTGGTTTAATTCTGGTTTAGTCCGGTTTAATTCTGGTTCAGTCCTGGTTTAGTCTTGGTTCAATTCTTGTTTATTCTTGGTTCAGTCCTGGTTCAGTCCTGGTTTAGTCCTGTTTTAGTCCTGGTTCAGTTCTGGTTCAGTCCTGGTTCAGTTCTTGTGTCTCTCTTTCAGGCGTTTAACGTGATAAACGGCGGTTCTCATGCGGGGAACAAACTGGCCATGCAGGAGTTCATGGTTCTGCCGGTCGGAGCCGAGTCCTTCAAGTAAACCACACTTTACCAAAATAATATTATAATTTGAAAACTTTAAGATTCTAGAATGTGATGATGTGCTAGTTCAGATTGGCTCAGACACACTTTTACTGACTCCATTGTACTTCAACACTAATTTGAGCTGCCCCATCTGGATAAAATATTTTTGACTATATCTACATAAAATCACTCTGATAAGTGTCATTGTGACAGATTGTACAGATTGTAACAGAGTAAATTGTGAATGCAACTTTTAGTACTTTTGACTCAGTGTAGAGTAAATAAACTGCTAGTGTCAAATTCTGACAAAACTGCTGAGTCCTCACCTCACACTAAAAGAGTAAAATTCACACCAAATATTTAAACTCTGATGGTAGATTAGAAGTCACTCTTTACAAATAAGGACCATATACACTCAGGAATAGAACTTTTTCACAACGGCTGGAAGTGTCCAACTGTAGGTTTGTGGAACTTCTGGTTAATGGTTTTCTGTGGCAAAACAGGTGTGTGTAAATGTGTGTCGTATTCTCCAGCAGCTTCATAAATCTGCTGCATCACCAAATCTTCAACCAACAACTCCACAAAGGATAAACATTCTAACATGAACAATTAATCCACAACTATCAAGAGAAGAACAACGACGACGATGCATTAATGAACTACTGAGAAAAATGTTATGTTTTTATGGTCATGAATAAAACAGAAGGAACTTGTTCACTCAGACTCATTCTACAATTGCAATTAAAAATCAGTTTCATGATGTCGATATTAATATAGATACATAGGCTACGTTCAGACTGCAGGGCTTAATGCTCAATTCCGATTTTTTTGTGAAATCCGATGTTTTTGCGAGGTCGTTCACATTGCCAATTAAATGCGACTTGTCTGTGACTTCAGTGTGAACGGTAAACGGCCCGAAAGTGTCCCGCATGCGCACTGGAGACACGATGACGTCAACCCCATGCGTCAACCACAGCGAGCGTGCTCTGTGTTTACGGAAGTTGTCCAAATATGGTCGCGAGCATTGAGCCCCTGGCGATTTTACAGTTCTGGTTTCCGCCTGCTTCAGCGCAGAATAGTGACGTTTATCGCTTGTTAATGACGTGTAGGTCGGATGGATGTGCTTTAGCCGTTCAGACTGAAGTCGCATGTCAAAAGATCGGATATGTATCGGATTCAGGACCACATATCCAAGTGGCCTGGGTCGCATTTGAAAAATTCGGATCTGTGCCGTTCAGACTGTCATTAAAAGATCGGATACAGGTCACATAGAAGCCAAAAAATCGGATTTAGGTCACTTCAGGCTGCAGTCTGAACGCAGCCATAGATTTGTGCAGTTTGAATGTTATATCTGTAAATATCTGAACTATATCGACATTATTAAATGTATTTTTAATTTTAATTCTACAATCAGTCTGAGTGAACAAGTTACTTATTAATGAATTACTTATTACTTATTTATGACCATAATATTAGTTTTGCTTAGTGTGTCACTAATGTGTGGTCCTTGTTTCCTTTAAGTTTTTGTCTTTTTTCCCTTGATAGTTGTGGATAAATTCTTCATGTTAGAATGTTTATCTGTATATGTATATGTTTTTGTGGAGCTTGTTGGTTGAAGATTTGGTGATGGGGCAGATTTATGAAGCTGCTGAAGAATACAACACACATTTACACACACACATTTACACACACATTTACACTGACTTTTTGCCACAGAAAACTGACTTTTACTCTACCTTCAGAGTTTAAATATTTGGTGTGAATTTTACACTTTTAGTGACAACACTCTGAGCAGTGTTGTCAGAATTTGACACTAGAAGTCGAAAGTAGGGATGGGCATGATTAATCGATTAATCGATAATTGATCATTAAGAATTTCATCGATTACGTTAATTTTAATCAACAAACAGAATGTAAGTTGCTGTGTGTAGCGTGACCAAACAGGGGTCCGTACATGTGTCTGCATCAGAAGGAGCGAGCAGACAGAAACAGTGGGTCAGTCTGCAACGTACCGAAGCACAAATGTGTATTTAACGATGATTTGTACAAGAAATTCCGCGCTTTTCGTTGCGTTCGGGACAAGTGTGAGTCCATGTGCACAGTGTATAAAGCAGGAACATATGTTTCTGTGTCCAGTGGGAAAAAGCTTTGCCAGGTGAGAGTCGCTCAGTGTGGATGACGAGTCCCCACCTCCCTCCCCCCGTACGCTGTCCTGGTTTTGACAAACGCACATATGGTCACACTAACCTGTATTCACCTGAGTCATGTCTTTTAATCCAACAGAAATTGAACCACATCAGCGACACAAGAGCTGTAGTTTTATCTTCGCTTAGTTTATGCAAATTAGCAATGCTGTTTTAAGTTTCGTTTCTGTCAGAGTTGCGCAAAACTGAATTAAACACATTATAATGTCAAACAGGCTGATGTGGCTCTAGAGTGGTTACGGTTTATATGTGGAAAAGTTGAATTTATTTATGCAGATTAGTAGTGCAGATAGTAATAATAATGATGATCATTTTAATATAAAAACATTAATGATTAATTGATAATCGATCATTAATTCTTCCGACGATCGATTAAGAAAATTTCATCGAATGCCCATCCTTAGTCAAAAGTACTGAAAATTGCGTTCACGATTTACTCTGTTACTGTACTAATAATGACACTTATCAGAGTAATTTTATATAGATTTAGTCAAAAACATTTTATCCAGATGGGGCAGCTTAAATTAGTGTTGATTTCATGGTAAAGTACAATGGAGTCAGTAGAATAGAGTACAATTTCACTCTTTAAGTGTTAAATTAACACTTGAAATTTTACTGTGCAGAATGATGTTATGTCATCTGAAACTCAGCAACAATAATGTCTGTCCCTGTCTCCTGTCCCTGTGGTTGCACCTGCCCTCTCTCTCCCTGTCTGTCCCTGTCCCTGTCTGTCCCTGTCTGTCACCTGCCCTCTGTCTGTCCCTGTCTGTCTGTCCCTGTCCCTGTCTGTCTGTCCCTGTCCCTGTGGTCCCTGTGGCCCCTGTCTGTCCCTGTCCCTGTCTGTCCCTGTCCCACCTGTCCCCTCTCTCCCTGTCTGTCCCTGTCTGTCCCTGTCTGTCCCTGTCCCTGTCTGTCCTGTCTGTCCATGTCTGTCCCTGTGGTCTCTGTCTGTCCCTGTCTGTCCCTGTCTGTCCCTGTTGTCCCTGACTGTCACTGTCCCTGTTAGGGAGGCCCTGAGGATAGGTGCGGAGCTGTATCACACTCTGAAGGGAGTGATCCAGCAGAAGTACGGACAGGACGCCACCAACGTGGGCGACGAGGGAGGATTCGCCCCAAACATCCTGGAGAACAGTGAAGGTGAGGAGCAGAGGAGGTCCTAATCTGACCCCTAGACCGAGTACAGACTCTCTGTATGGAGTTTGCATGTTCTCCCTGTGTCTGTCAATCTACAACATACAGAAAAGCTAATAGGCTGTATTCATTTGACATTACAGAAGAATTATATAACTACAGTTTTTCAGTGAGCTGAAGGACAGATCAGAATTGCTTTGTAGCTGTCAGATTGTAGATGTGTGACCTGGTTTACGGTTCATGTCTCTGTAATTACTGGGCCTATCCACATGAAACAAAAAAACTGGCACAAAGTTATACAAATAATGAGATCAAATGCTTCATATAAAACAGACTGTATCCCTGAAGCGTAATGTGTCCTGTTTTAACCCTGGGCTCTTGTGTGGTGCAGCTCTGGAGCTCCTGCAGACAGCCATAGAGAAGGCGGGTTTCACAGATAAGGTGGTGGTGGGGATGGACGTCGCTGCCTCTGAGTTTTACAGAGAGGGGAAGTACGACCTGGACTTTAAATCTCCGCCAGATTCGTCTCGCCACATCTCAGCAGAGGAGCTAGCCGACATCTACCAGGACTTTGTCAACAACTACCCAGGTACAAACTCAGCTACCTGGGTACGTGACACACTTAACCTCCAGTACAGATATTTTTTGTATATGGATCTCCTGAGGTCAAAATATGTCCACTGTATACTGTTTGCATCTAAAGCTTTGCAACATTGCCTCTGTACAGAGTGGAGATTTGACACCATGGCTGAAAAGTGGAGCTCCACTAGAGAGAGAGAGAGGGTTCAAATTTTGCTGCAGAAACATTTCCTCTGCATGTCTCAGTACAGTTTCACAGGAGGACTGGTCAGGGAGGGTCAGCAGATCTGTGTCAGGACAGTTTGAGGTGAGGAACAGTCCTCTGGACAAAAGTGTCCCTCCTCTGTGTCCTGCAGCATCACAGCAGTGTCCCAGAGGATTCAGGTGAACACAACAGGAAAGTCTCTTCTAAACCTAACTTTAACTCCACTCTGTTGTGCTGTCAATGAGGAAAAGGTCCATTCCTTTGAAATATTTCTTGTGGAAGGTTTTCTGCCATGTATGCTTCCATATTTGCTTCTCCATTGTCATGAGAATAGTCACATCCAGTGCCATTATAGGAGACAGGACTGGTGCACGATGTGGTTGAGGGTGTGGGTGTATTGCTCTGGTGCAGAGGGGGCGGGGCTCATGTGGGCAGGCGTGCCTGTGGAAGGGTTTAAATGTGTGCACTTACCTGTTAGTTTTGCAGGTCAGTGCTGGGTAGCCGTAATTTTTGTTGACCTCCACTCTTTCTCTATACTCACTCTTTATTTTCCAACTGGTTCTATCCATCTTCTTTGCTGCGCTGGGATAGCTATATGTCTGGTAATAAATATACAAAATGCATTCTGGATCCCAGCGTATTAGTTTACAATAGCCTCCATGTGCGTCACAGACTACGACCCCAGGACCCACTCTGATCTTCTCGAGCGGCTGTAAGGTTGGTCAATAAGCCGCTACAGTCATTTTTTATGGGTACAAGTTAATAATCTATCATAGCTACATGGTCAAATTAGTAAAGTTTAGGGTTTGGGGGGATCGATAATCAAAACCAAACCAAATGTGGAGCTACTGGAGCTCCCCTCGTCATGGCACTTGCCATCACATTCTTCTCTGGTTTCTGAGAGTTGTGAAAAGTTAAAGTTAAAGATAAACTCATCATGGTGAATCATTAGGATGCTCAGAATGCATAAGGTAAGTGAGGAATCATTTTGGACCACTGCAAACCTTTTAAAACTAGTTCTGCTTTTCACGTTTCAAAGCAAAGCAAAGAAATGTTACTTAGCACATCTTTAAAACCAATACACTCTAGCTTAGTCTAGCTTTTCCTTCGACCACTACCACATCCAGAGCGCTCATCAGAGTTTGTTCTGCTGCAGTGGTTTCCATTGAGGACCCGTTCGACCAGGACGACTGGGAGGCTTGGTCCAGACTCACGGCCCGGGTCGGGATCCAGGTGGTGGGAGACGATCTGACGGTGACCAACCCCAAAAGGATCGAGAAGGCTGCGGAGGAGAGAGCCTGTAACTGTTTACTGCTCAAAGTCAACCAGATCGGGACTGTTACTGAAGCCATACAAGCGTGAGTATCACCAAACAACTAACTAAACCAGGACTAGACAAAGACTGAACCAAGACTGAACAAGGACTGAACCAGGACTAGACGAGGACTGAACCAGGATTGAACAAGGACTGAACCAGGACTAGACAAGGACTCATAGTAGACAAGGAGTAGACCAGGACTATACCAGTACCTGAACCTGGACTAAAACAAAACCAAACAAAATCAAGTACATATTGTTGTTTGCAAATAATTTATAAAGATACAGACAACTACAACTGACTCCTGAATGTAATTTTTAGTAAAGAACTACTGTACTTGTTATTCACTGAAGTAGTATTGTAAGAATGAATTATTTTTAAACCTGTACTTAATATCCAATGGGAGAATGGACCTATAATGGAAATGAGATCAGCAAACATTTGTGGATTTGACTTTTCTTATCAAAAACACAGAGAATGAGACAGAATTCTGCCACTGCTCCATCTGAGAGAGACACACATTCTGTCTCATGGTGTCATGTCCCCTGGTCTTGTCTCTGCGCCGTCCTCCATCTCACATGACAGAATCCCTCAGAAACACATCGCTCACTCACGCTTCAGCTGACCTTGTACCCTCAGGAAGAAAAATGGCCGACAGGAAGCGGAATGATGAAGGAACAGGTCATCAGTCTCAGGTGACAGTGAGCGAGGAAGCTGTCAATCAAAAAGAGGCGGGAGCAGAGGGATGCAGGGACAACAGAGATCGACTGGGTTCAAGATCAAGTTCAAGTTCAATTCCTTTATTGTCATCGTCATATAAAAATAACAACGGAATTACGTTAGAGCATCATACAGACAGCGTAGTATTTTAAAAGTGCATAATAGTGTAGCGCACCCCCCTATGTAAACCACCACATAAACATTAATGTAAACATGAGTTATTTTTGAGTCTGTCCTTCCTCTGCAGGTTCAGTTTTGAACCTACATAAATATAAAAAACAGAGTCCAGGTGACCGCAACATGAATATTGTTTTAAATAATCCTGGTTTCTCCATAACAAAGCTTCTTTATGTTTATGTAGATGTGGAATTCTGATCTAAAAATCTAAAAACTGTCATTGTGTCCTTATGCAAGACACTGCAGCTGTAGCTACAACACTATTTCACCAGTTACAACCACAAAGTGAAATTGAGCATCTATAAAAGTGCCGTATAAGATTAATGCTTTATTATTATTATTATTATTATTATTATTACAGTTTTGTTCTCATACACTCTTAAACACAAACATATTTAAATCTATATAGTGTATATGTGTGTACAGGTGTATACACTCTTAAACACAAGCGTATTTGTATTGTATTATATTTGCATCATATTTTGGCAGCACAGTCATGCTTCTCAGCAAAAGGTTGTGGGTTTGATTCCTGGGTCGCCCGGGCCTTTCTGTGTGGAGTCTGCATGTTCTCCCCGTGCCTGGATGGGTTTCCTCTGGGTGCTCCGGTCCAAAAACATACACCACTGGTAAAATCCTCCAGATAACGTCCTGACCAAGGCCAGAAACAAGATTAAAGAGATGGTCCCCGGGCGCGACATGTGCTGCCCACTGATAATAAAGTATAATAAAGGATGATAATAAAGTACTACAATACAATACAATACAATACAATACAATTTAAATCTGTATATGTGTGTGCAGGTGTAAACTGGCCCAGGCGAACGGTTGGGGTGTAATGGTCAGTCATCGCTCTGGAGAGACGGAGGACACCTTCATCGCCGACCTGGTGGTGGGACTCTGTACTGGACAGGTATGGTAACATGTACTTATACTTTTAAATACTGTACTTATACTAATACTGCACATGTCAATATTTTCTATGAGCACTGGGCTTTGGTGTGCCTTCAAAAAAAAAGAAACTTCCTGGACAGGTATTAACAGTCTTCCTCTCCGGAGCTCTAAACCTGATTTTCCACCTTGTGACATCAGTAGGTGGGACTCTTCCTCCTCATTTTCTGTCATATTATATTAACATTTTTGCTGCTCTTGTTTCAGATCAAAACTGGCGCCCCCTGCAGGTCTGAGCGTCTGGCCAAGTACAACCAGCTCATGAGGTCAGACTTTGATTTGACCTCAGACTTTTTCTTTGTAATATTTAAAGCTCTTATATTATGCAGAATTGACTTTTGTGAGCTTTTTGTCACGTTATAATGTAATAATCTGTTTCATCAGTCTTTATTATTAGTCTGTCTACATCTCTGAGGCTTTTTTGTCCCCCTCCAAAAGCTCGAAATGTTCTGTTCCATCTTGTGACGCCGTGAAGCTGTAGTTTTTAAGTTAAGTTAAGTTTGGCAATTCTTTGGCTGAAATGATCCAAATGAACAGAGTGATTTTTGTTTGAGAGAAGAACTGCCTAAATGTGCAGGGTTTGTGTGTTAAACATGTGTGGATGAAACAAAACACAACTCCAGGTCTGTTTGTGATGAGGAAACTTAAGAAAATAGATCAGGAAACAGTGTGATATGAGCTTTTTAAATACAGTGAACATAAACATTGTCGCTCCTTACTCCTCACTTACTACACAGTGCAGTGCTTAAGGTTTCTTGGCTGATTGGTCGGCACTTAATGACCTAAGTGGATTAAAATCGACCAGTCACGAAGAGGTAGTGCATTAGCATCGACCAATCACAAAGAGTCTTAGTTTTAACCTCATTATCCAGGCCTCACTGTTGTCAGACCTGCTGCTAATGAGATTTGAAAGACAGTCCTGGTTTAGTCCAGGTTTAGGCCCTGGTGTAGTCCTGGTTTCGATCCTGGGTTAGTCGTTGTTTAGTTAGTTTAGGCCTGGTTTAATTGTGGGTTAGACTGTGTTTAGACCCTGGGTTAGTCCTGGTTTGGTCCTGGCATAGATCCTGGTTGAGTTCTAGTTTAGATCTGGTTTAGTCCTGGTATAGATCCTGGTTTAGTCTTGGTTTTGACCCTGGGTTAGTCCTGGTTTAGTTCTGGTTTAATTCTGGTTTTGTTCTGGTTTAAACCCTGGGTTAGACCTGGTTTAGTCCTGGTACAGGTCCTGGTTTAGTCTTGGTTTTAGATCCTAGGTTAGACCTGGTTTAGACCTGGTTTAGTCCTGGTATAGATCCTGGTTTAGTTCTGGTTTAGTCCTGGAACAGATCTTGGTTTAGTCTTGGTTTTGACCCTGGGTTAGTCCTGGTTTAGTTCTGGTTTAATTCTGGTTTTGTTCTGGTTTAAACCCTGGGTTAGACCTGGTTTAGTCCTGGTACAGGTCCTGGTTTAGTCTTGGTTTTAGATCCTGGTTTGAACCTGGCTTAGTCCTGGTATGGGTCCTGGTTTAGTCTTGGTTTTAGATCCTGGTTTAGACCTGGTTTAGTCCTGGTATAGATTCAGTTTATTCTTGGCTTTGACCCTGGGTTAGTCCTGGTACAGATCCTGGTTTAGTTCTGGTTTAGTCCTGGAACAGATCTTGGTTTTGTCTTGGTTTTGACCTGGGTTAGTCCTGGTTTAGTCCTGGTTTAATTTTGGTTTAGTCCTGGTGTAGATCCTGGTTTTGTTCTGGTTTAAACCCTGGGTTAGACCTGGTTTAGTCCTGGTACAGATCCTGGTTTAATCTTGGTTTTAGATCCTAGTTTAGACCTTGTTTAATCCTGGTATAGATTCTGGTTTAGTCTTGGTTTTAGACCTGATTTAGTCCTGGTAGAGATCCTGGTTTAGTTCTGGTTTAAACCCTGGGTTCGTCCTGGTTTTGGCCCTAAATTAGTCCAGGTTTAAACCTCGTTTAGATCCTGGTTTAGTCCCTGGTTTAATCCCTGTTTTAGTTCTTTGTTTTAGTTTCTTTACCTGGAATGTTTCACAGTGTGGCATTAAGCATATTTATGTACATGGAGACAGACCTCCAGACCAAATGAAAGATCGTATCTATGGAGATGCAAGCCTCCTCACATTAATAATATGTGTTTCCGTGGGTTAATGAATTAAATGCTGGGTATTTTAGTTTGCATACTGTTAAACACTCGAGTCACAACAGTAACATCGCCATGGAAACAAAGAGATGAGCATAAAAGTTACGTAGTGTTTGTGCAGCGTTGAATAAATCTTCAGCTGTATCTGATGTGAGAGACAGACGTGTTATTGAACTAAATGGCTGAGTTTGTTAATCTTGTGGTCACTCTTTGTAAAGGGAAGATTAGAGGGGGGGGGAGGACGGGGCTAGAGCGAGTGGGAGGGGCCAGCAATAGGGGGAGGGGCCACAGAGGGGGAGAGTCAGAGTGTAATCCGTGTGGTAATCCGATAAGACTTTAACTGGACCTAATCAGAGCGTTCCTAGTAAAGGCTGGTCCCGGTCCAAAAGGCACAGTCATTTAAAGGTGAACTATGGAACTTTTCTGGTGTCGTGGTGTGTTGTGGGTCTTATCGCTATGGAGATGTTAGTGCTTTGCCTGGAATGTTCCACACTATGGGATTAAATTTGTCTATCATACATTCAATAACAAGTTTAACGCTACAGAGGTTCATTTCTGTACTTTGCCTGATTTGTTTGACAGTAGACGTGTGTAGAATCCCTCAGTTGTCCAGGTAGTATCCATGCCAAAAGGGTCTGAAGGGAGTCCCTTATTAATCATTAATAAATGCTCAAATGTGTACTTAAATATGCATTTGTAAACATGTAAATGGTTAGTTCATGAGTAATTAAGAAGTATTGAGTAACTATTTACAGCACAGGCGAATTAAGTGCAAGTTAAGTGCTAATTTTAGTACTAATTAAGTAGTTACTAAGCGTGAATGATTATTAATTAAGTCTTTGTTCATGCTTTATTAAGGCTAAATAAGGTGTAGTTATTATAAAGTGTTACCGAGGTTACTTTTAAAATGTATTCCTCTACAGATTACAGATCCCAAAATGTAGTTTGTAACAGAATCCATTAAATTACTTAAGGTGAGTAACGTAATCTGAATACTTTGATTACTTGATTTACTGTAGAGAAGCAAAGACGAGGATATCGTAACATAAGAAGTTTTGTCTGCTAAAAGAAAATCAAAAGACGAGTCTTTACTTAACCAAATTAAAAATGTTATTGATAGAAGAGGAGACACAGCATGATTTAGTCCTGTTAAATCCTGTTTGAGACATAGTTTAGTCCTGATTTAATCTTGGTTTAGTCCTGGTTTAGTCTTGGTTTAGTCCTGGTTTAGACCTGGTTTAGATCTGGTTTAGACCTGGTGTTAGACCTGGTTTAGACCTGGTTTTAGACCTGGTTTAGTCCTGGTTTAGACCTAGTTTAGACCTGGTTTTAGTCTTGGTTTAGTCCTGATTTAGTCTTGGTTTAGTCCTGATTTAGACTTGGTTTAGATCTGGTTTAGACCTGGTTTAGACCTGGTTTTAGACCTGGTTTAGACCTGGTTTTAGACCTGGTTTAGACCTGGTTTAGACCTGGTTTTAGACCTGGTTTAGACCTGGTTTAGACCTGGTTTTAGACCTGGTTTAGACCTGGTTTTAGACCTGGTTTTTGACCTGGTTTAGACCTGGTTTAGACCTGGTTTAGTCCTGGTTTAGACCTGGTTTAGACCTAGTTTAGACCTGGTTTTAGTCTTGGTTTAGACCTAGTTTAGACCTAGTTTAGACCTGGCTTTAGACCTGGTTTAGTCCTGGTTTAGTCCTGGTTTAGACCTGGTTTAGTGTCCGGCTATGAGTGGAAGTGCACATGTGGGACACTTTCGGGCTGTTTAATGTTCACACTGGAGTCACATACAAGTCACATTTAATTAGAAATGTGAACAACCTTGCAAAAACAAAAAAATCGAAATTGAGCGTTAAGCCCTGCAGTCTGAACGAAGCCAAAGTCGAGTTACGGCAACCTCAACTCTGTGAGAAGCAAATCGTGGCCTAAATCTGGCCAATTGTCCTGTAGTGTGGCGGCCTTTAGCCACATTCCCGATGAGTAACTTTTTGAATTTTTTTAATAATAAAACTTTAAATGTTGTGATTTTTTTTTTTTTACTTTTTTGTGCACATAAAGGGGGAAAAAAAGAAAGAAAAGTGCAATAATGTAATGTGACCATAAAAAATACATAATATAGTACATAAATAATAAACAAAATAATAATAATAATAAAAAAAAAACATATATATACAACTTTGTGAATAATGTTTGTGTTTTTCAGGATCGAGGAGGAGTTGGGCGACCAGGCTCGATTCGCTGGACATAACTTCAGGAACCCCAGTGCTCTGTGAACCTCCGCATGCACTCGAAAAAAAAAACACAACTAACACGCAACACAGCAAAAAAACACACAACTAAACTCAACACTGCAAAAACACAACCGCAGACACAACACTGCAGAAAATACAACTAACACAAGACACGGCTAAAAAAAACACAACTAAACTCAACTCTGCAAAAACATAACTAACACGCCACACTGCAAAAAATCTACACCGGGAAAATGGCTCCATATATTTAGCTTGAACTGAGTCTAGTTTAAATCTATTTACTGTATGACTTCAATTATCCCACAGAAAAACTGACATTTCTTTACATCCAAAATATCGTATGATGATCCAAAGCAAACATTGCCGATAATTTAGCTTAATAAATAGACAAAAGGTTCAAAGTAAATAGATTTAAACTACAGACTTTTTTTTGCAGTGTCCCACATGCAGACAAACACAAACGAGCACCGAACTGACAAACCACAAGAACGAGCCATGATGAAATATCGCACTAAAATTCATGAAAAAAAGTTCAAATAAAACACAAAAAAAGTAACTAAACAAATGAATTATGCACTGGACTCGCACGACAGCCAGCCAAAACATTACGACCACCCGCTAACCGCAAGTCTGTTTCAGGAGACATAAAGGATTGGACAGTCTGATATTTCCGTCGTCGGATGGAGGATATTTTGTGAAAGATATTTTTTGTTTAGCGTATTGTTCCTGGTTTGTAAAGGTCAGTTCTAATCTGACGTGGTTTAGTCCTGGGTTAGACCTGGTTTAGTCCTTGTTTAAACCTGGTTTAGTCCTGGTTCAGTTCTCTGGTTCAACCTGATTGTTAAAATAATTCTTTAGAGCTCTTATTGTGGAAGTGTTTGGTCTTGGTTTGGTCCTGGGTTAGTCCAGAAGTAGTAGTAATAGTAGTAATAGTAATAGTAGTAGTAGTTGTAGTAGTAGTAGTAGTAGTCTGGGTTAGTTTTGATGTAGCCGGGTTCAAATTCTGGACTGTAAAATTGACCTGACAGGTTTAACCCAGAGACACTGAGGGATAGTTTAAACACAGCTTTAACTGAGAGATACTGAAGACTGGGTCAAATGCAGGTTTAATTAACAGACAAAGTAGTAGGGGTTAAATGCAAGTTCAACTTAGAGACATTGAAGAGTGGGTCAAATGCAGCTTGAACCCAGAAACACTGAAGGATGGGTCCAATGCAGTTTTAAGCCAGAGACACTGAAGGTTGGGTCAAATGCAGGTTTAACTCAGTGACACTGAAGACTGGGTCAAATGCAGGTTTAACTCAGAGACACTGAAGACTCAGTCAAATGCAGGTTTAACCCAGAAACACTGAAGGTTGGGTCCAATGCAGGTTTTACCCAGAGACACTCAAGGTTGGGTCAAATGCAGGTTTCACTCAGACACTGAAGACTGGGTCAAATGCAGGTTTAACTCAGAGACACTGAAGACTCAGTCAAATGCAGCTTTAACCCAGAAACACTGAAGGATAGTTCAAACACAGCTTTAACTGAGACAGTGAAGACTGGGTCCAATGCAGGTTTAACCTAGAAACACTGAAGGTTGGGTCCAGTGCAGGTTTAACCTAGAGACACTGAAGGTTGGGTCAAATGCAAGTTTAACCCAGAGACACTCAAAGTTGGGTCAAATGCAGGTTTAACCCAGAGACACTGAAGACTGGGTCAAATGCAGGTTTAACCTAGTGACACTGAAGACTGGGTCAAATGCAGGTTTAACCCAGAAGCAGCATAGACCTTAACACATTTCTAATAACTTGTCTGTTTGGTTCCAGAGCAATAAGAGGCTTCACTGTGTTTGTCTTGTGGCAGTCTGTGAACAGCTGAAAGGTTTGCGGGTGCTCGTGGTGATCGGGCTGCGGTGCCGAGTCCCTTTCGAGGCGCAGGAGCTGTATGCACACAGGAAAAACCATACGAAAGCCAGACGTGCACTGTTACTGTTAGTTTAATCTGTACAGCTGTAGACCACCAGTGAGAAAACTGACAGAAAAATAATGTAAAAAAAGGCACGAGATTTAAAAGAATATGACTAATATTAATACTAGACACTTTTGAAAACACCAAAAGATGTTTCAGGGATAGAGTGAACACGGCCCCGTCTCCCAGAACACACACCGTATCACCATATTCACTTCATGTACTAGTTACTGTATGTACGCTGAAATTCGGGGACAATTCTCATAAAATTCATTAAGAATTCACGTCAGCTTAAAACTGTGCAAATGTTTGTGATTTTTGTTTAAAAGTCCCGGTTGTTTAAAACTCATTTGTCCTGATTTATTTTATTGTCAATGGATTCTACCTGGACGACTGAGGGATTTACACACCATAAACTAGTGCGCATATAGTAAGCTTCACAAAATATGTTAGAAAAATGTTCTACAATATACAATTTGGACAGATTTTTATGTGTTTTTTGAAAAATTGGAAAAAAAAATCATAGGCCATTATTATTATGTTAAGAGGATGTTTAGGAAGACGTTTTACCAGCTATGAATTTATGTTAGGCCAATATATATTTTTGTGTGACATTTCTTCAAAATCAAGTACAAATCGGCACAGATCTTTTTGTTGTCTTAAAAATTGATTCCCGACCTCTTGCTGGTGCTATACATGTTTATCATTAATTAAAAAAAAATAATAATAAAAATCATGCTGAAATTTGCAGTATGTTTTGGGAGACTGGGCTGATTTATTAATAATAATAAAATAATAATAATAGCCACACTTTTCCCTGGACACAAGCCACTCCCTTCACTTCCTGTGTTCTTCCTGTTTTGCCTCTGACATCACTTCCTGTGTTTTTTTGTTTACATTTTGTCTGCTTGACGTGTGTGCCCCCCGTCGCCCCCTGTTGACCCTGAATGCACATAGATTAGTGTTGAAAAGATCATATAATAAGAATAAGAATAATGTAATAATGATGAATAAAATACATGAACTAAAGCTTGTCTTTGAAAATATGTGAAATAAAAGATGGTATTTACAATTTCAATCACAAAATGGTCTCTGTCTTTTTTATAAAACCTTTTCAACGTAAAGCTTTTAATCATATTATAAGGAACAGTACTCTTACTTGAGTAATATATAGTACAGTGTAACAGTACTCTTACTTGAGTAATATATGTACAGTGAAACAGTACTACTTACTTGAGTAATATATAGTATACAGTAGTAACAGTACTGTTTACTTGAGTAATATATAGTACAGTAGTAACAGTACTTTACTTGAGTAATATATAGTACAGAGTAACAGTACTTTTACTTGAGTAATATATAGTACAGAGTAACAGTACTTTTACTTGAGTAATATATAGTACAGAGTAACAGTACTTTTACTTGAGTAATATATAGTACAGAGTAACAGTACTTTTACTTGTGTGACTACACCAGGACTAAACCAGGTCTAAACCAAATCTAAACCAGGACTAAACCAGGACTGAACCAGGACTAAACCAGGTCTAACAAAGTCAAAACAAAGTAAAACATTTCACAGGAATAGTAACAGGGCGGGGGAATGAACTAAGCAGCTGAGATCTGATGGGATCAGACTTTGACAAGATCGTAAGGCCACAAGTATCAATACTAAATATGAGTTACAGCCAGTTACATCAGAACTGTCCTTGGCCCATGGGAACATTATAGGAGCTTCACATTTCATCAAGTATTGTCCAACTATTACTTGTATTTCGTTGTGGTTTAGACAGACTCTTCAGACAGTTAAGGCCTTGCCCAGTTTTAACAGGGTTCACACAGTCGTGGAAAACCTGGAAATGTCATGGAAAATTTAGATAACATTTTTTTGTAATTTAAGTTTTGTTATTCTGCTGGTTTTGGAAAAGTTTTGGACATTTAGGAAACATTTAGGAAACACTTAGGAAACACTTAGGAAACATTTAGGTTCCAAAAATAAAAGATAATTTGGAGATAAGTAAGACTTGCTGCTTCTCTTTTTATTCCAGAAAGGTCTGCTGTTTGGGCTTCACGCTGTCGCCCGTGACCAGTAGCTCCCGCTGCTCTCCGCACACACCGCCGTTACGCACGGCCCTGAGCCTGAGCCCGGGGCCCCGGGCCCACTGACGCGCAGACCGCACTCGGAGAGGGAGAGACTCGTGAGTTTCTGCAGGTGCCTCTGGACCAGGGTCTATCAGGAGTGTCTGCAGGAATCTTTCCCATCTACACGAGGGTTGAGTTCCACGTAAAACGTGCGCAAAACAAGACGCAGTCTGCGCTGTTTGGGAAAAGGACTTTGGACTCTCATATTTACGTTTGTCTTAAATGTGACTCTCTGTTCTCTTAGCATCTTCTTAAAGTGGAAGTAATCAACATTTTCTGAGGGAATTCTCATGGATGTGGTCTGCGTCCGTAAAAATCCCGAAGATACAAATGAGTTCGTCAGAACACTTCATGAATGAGGCTCATTTAGATCAGATTTACCGTCCAACAGCGCTGAAGAACCGAATCCGGTCCCCTTCACTTTACAAAATATAAGAAAAAAAACAAAAACAGCTCTAAACTCAAAATGAAAATGAAAAAACATACATATGCATGTTACCAACAGGGAAGTAGCCTAATACAATCATCACCAGCACTTATCTCTATTAGAAGAACCAGATCTAGACCAGGTCTAAAACAGGACCGAGTATAAAACAGACCTTTTCCATTACAGCCGGGGTGCTCCATGCAGCTTTTACTCTGAAGGTCCAAAGCGGAACTGGACAATCCTATTTTCAGCACGGTCCTCTGGCGCATCTGGAGCCGGGAGGGGGGCACCGATGACGGAGGTGTAAAAGTCCAGCGCGCTCCAGCTGTGGCTCCAGCGCAGACCGGACAGCGCTGCTCTCTCTGACCGCCTTTGGAACGCTCTCTCCCGGACTGCATCATGTCTGCACCCGCGGGTCCGGAGATGTACTCTAAACTCATCGATGATGACGGACTTTACGACAACTTCACCGGGGAGCAGGGCTCCAGAGGTACGGGCAACTGTGCTCAGAGTGTCGGGATTATGTTTGTTGACACTGGACTTTAATGTTACAGCCAATTATACTCTCTTACAGCCAAGTTTAAACAAGCTACTTAATGTTTTTTTTTTTTTTTTGCTTAAATTTACCCGAGGACTTTTTTTATTTATTTATTTATTTTTTAATCTATGATCTGCAAGTAATTATCTTTTTTCTAATCTTTTTATTCGCCTGACGTTTTCAAATGATTGCAAAAGAGAAGAGATGTGAAATTACACGACAGACAAAGAAATCTATTTGTGCATTTTAGTTTTAAAGGACCCGTATTATACTATTATGATCTATGTTATTATAGTTTCTCCATCACAAGCACCAGTGGTTTGTTTTTGCAGTCACATGCTTCCAACAGCAACCCTGCATATTTCGAGTTCTTCTGTCAAACACTCTGTTCTAACATGTTTACTTTAGTTTAGTTTATTTATTTCATGAGACAGGGACAGTCACAATATACATGAACTTTATCAGGAGAGATGCTTTGTGCCTGGTTATAGTGCCAGTGCTAAGTGTCGCCAAAGTGTCGTCTCTGGGCAGGTTCATGTTATAGTTCATAAAATCAAACATACAAAGACAATGTTTTTATAATGATTGGATCATAACAACTCTGTATCCTCACACCCAGTTCTCTCAGCATCTTAAAAACATTTTCCTTATCAAAATCATCATTCAGTTCATTCACTCCAGAACATCACACTCTCTCCAGACACTCATCACTCACATTCTGAGTGCAGGTTTGGTTTGAGAAGAACATGACTTTACATTGAACACACTGTGTAATACAGGACCTTTAATGTAGTTTGACTCTACAGTGATGAGGTCTCAGCTCCTTCTTCTCTGTGGTGAAGAAGGAGCAGAGTTGAAAGGCAAAACTCTCCCTTTACCTCTCAGTCTACATTCTTTGGGTAATGATCAAGTGGTCAAAATGAGTTCTGTAGTAGAGCTGCTGCTCGTGCTCCACGTGGAGAGGAGCAGCTGAGAGGCGTCTGTGCTGGGTGTCTCTTGGACACCTCCCTGGGGAGGTTCATGTCCCACCAGGAGGAGGCCCTGGGGAAGAATGTGGCCACAGTGAAGGGACCATGTCTCTGGGATGGCCTGGGAACACCTCGGGGGGCCCCTGGAGGAGCTGGAAGAAGTGTCTAGGGAGCGGAGAGTCTGGGGGTGCCTGTAAACCTGCAAGTCTGCAAAAAAACAAAAACAAAAAAAAAACAATAGATGAATGAACTGCAGTAAAGTGAGTGGACCTACTGTAAGTCAGAAGCTGTGAGTGGTAATGCTGCTGTCATGGAGCCTGACAGGAGCAGAGTGACTTCAGGACACTCCAAACACTGAGCTGAATCTTGGGCTAAATGGTTTTCTCCTGTTAAATTACTATTGGTTTTATGAATTAACTAAATTTGACAGCAAAGGAGACATTCAATTCTGTCAACTGGACAAAGGGTTTTCGATGGAAAACATTTTGCAGTTCATCCAAGCTGCTTCTTCAGCTCTGGTCAGAAGCTGATGGACACCACCTTATATCTGCCTGTTTGTGAGCCAGGTCTATTGAACTGCTTCTTCACTGCGGTCTTCACTACACTGAATGGAGTAGTCCACGCTGCTTTGTTTGTGGCTCAGTGTTTTGTCCTTCGGATGGATAGTGTTTGTAGTTTTGAAATAGACTGGGATTTCATGTGTCTGAAAATCCTCTGTAGTTTTTCAGAAACACCAGCCATGTAAGGAACACTTACCCCTTTCTCCTGGGTTTGGATTCTCTGTTGTCTTGTTTTTTTTCGTTCTCTTTGTTTTATTGAAAGCCCATTTTGGTTATCCACACACAGAGAGGGCTTTCTGCACATGATGTTCTTTTTTCCTCTTTCCCTATGTGCTTGTAGGAACCTGTAGGAACTTGTAGGAACTTGTAGGAGTCCTGCACAAATACAAATTGCCTGTGGCCTTGTAAAAAGGCGATAGGCCTGTTCTTTGGTTGAAGTGTATTTACTGCATCTGAAAATGTAAACAATTCTACTTAGGCCTTTGTGACCACAGTAACTAGTTAGAAAGTTGTACGTCTGACCTCATACTTTTAAGTCCTTTTGGAGTAAAATATTCGGCAGTGTAACAGTACTCTTACTTGAGTAAAAGCTTTACTCTTCCCACTGTGAGGAATGGGGTGTGCAAAAATCTGAAAATATCGATATATTGCATAGTTTAATGTGATGATACATTATCGATATCGGGAACTGCTGTATCAATATATCACCAAGAGTATTTTTGGTATATGTTACAGCTAAAGTTTTGTTGCTTGTTTAGATGAAGGAAAGTTGTTTATGCGAAACATTTGACATTTTCACTGTTTTGATGATTAAAATGTTTGTGTTTCATATGAACTTTGCACAAGAAGTGGTTTAACAAAGACTTTTAGTATCACAGACATAATTTATCCATTATTTTTATTGAACCATATTGAATTATCAATTTGAAATATATTGTATTGAATCGAAAGCTCACTGTATCGAGGTATGTATCGTATCGTGGCCTGTGTATGGAGGTATGTATCGTATCGGCAACTTCTTAATGATACCAGTCCTTGTGAGTAAGCATACAAGTGACAAAAGCATGTTTTGCCCGTCCAATTACATTAAACACATCTGATGTTATGTCCAGAGTACAGCTGGGTATCGTTTGACTTTTGATACTAGTTCTATAACGATACCTGCTTTTCGATATCGGTTCCTGAACCTTCAGGAATTTTCAGTTAGATTTTTACTACTGGTTCACTTCACAACAGCTTTGTCTTAATATTGTTCAATGTGAATCACCACTAGCTGAGTCTGGGAAATGAAGTGTGTCCTGGAGCAGCGAGGGCCTCAACTGCAGATTCTGCTTAGGGCCCCTGAAGGCGAGGGCCGGTGTGCTGTTAGATTTGCAGCAGAATACCTATGTTAAATGATTGAATAGTTTGGATTTAATATTTGGTTTTATCATTATCATTTTCATTGCATTATATTTTATTTTGTTTCCATATGTAGAAAATGTTGTAACTTTGTTTAGAAAGGTGCTGTATAAATAAAATATCACTATATTATAATAGGAAATTCACACTGTAGCCTATGATATTTATTTAATATAAAGTCATTTCTTTCTCTTCTATAGTGGGAGCCTTATTTCATAGAAGATAGAGCCGAGTTTCATTGTTGACAAAAGTGCGCGTTGCATGTTGGGAATTATTTTGGTCGGCGGCAATAAACACTAATTCAACATGACGGACGGAGCGAGAAAGCACGTAAAGGAATTGATCCTGGTTATTTCTCCACTCTAACGGCAGAGGACCCAAGACCATTTGACCAGAAATTGGTCAGAAGCATCGATGGACGACAAATCACCCTTTTCAAACCCGACAGAGCCTGGACCAACCAAATTTCTGGTCAGAATCACCAACTACCTGGACAAATATTCACTTTGGTGATATCCACAATGACTTGGTGGAAACTCCTGGGCCATTCACAGCAGAAAAGATGAAAACCTCCAAGAGTCTCGATGTGTTGTTGAACTTGTTGGAGTCCACGGTTTGTTAGGATCTTCTACGTTTGTGCTGCGAATGTTTGAAAGACATTTAATTCACCGTTAGTGGTTCTTTTCACTCAGAATACGAAAAAGACATTTTCCTTCTTCTGTGCTTCTATTTGTGCATCCGATAATGCAGCAGGAATTTACCATTATCGAGGAGAAATACGTGAGGTTATGCAGTGTGTTTGACCGCTATCCTGTTTCTTGCCTCCGACCAAAATATTTCCCAGCATGCAACGCGGGCTTTTAATAACAATGACGTCAGCTGAAACTCGCCTATAGGCCTGTCGAAATGAGCTCCTCTATCCAAATTCAGATAAATGAGTGAATAATGGTGATTCTACAGTGGGAACATTATTCAGTGGTTAAATTAGCTTAGGGAGTCGGAGCCTCTTTGAGCAGAATACGAACTGAAATGAATTACCTGCACAGATTCATAAAAATGAGTTGAAATTGTACATTGAACTAAGGTATAAAATGTGATCACTGTGTGCAAACAGCACAAACCTGCGTCTCTAATCCAAACAAATATGTTGTCAAAGGTCAGGAGGTGTAGAGGTCAGGGTTTGGGTTAGGAATCATTGGATCTGTGCAACTGTAAACAGAAATACTTAAGGAATCTTATTTGATGGGGCACCGTGAATCGATAGACGTCACTGTCAATTTAGGCTATTGGGAGCTTATTTCGATGGAACAGCCCATTTCGACAGAACACCGACCCTGGACAGAAGGATTTTGTTTTACAACTCAGCGTTACTTCTGTACTTTTCCCTCAAACTGCCATTTAACTCATGTCAAAGTATAATACATTTTAACACCATCGACGTTAGGTGCCCCATATGGAAAAAAACTGGAAAAAATATAAGAATTTACCAGTGTCTTTGTAGTAAATCTTTATATAAGGTTCATATGTCCCATGTGTGGTTTACTCCTGAAAGTCGCCCCTTTTGCATTTTTCTCATACAACTATATTATGAAAAACTAGGAAAGATAAAATGAACATTTTACATTTACATTTACAGGTATTCTGCATGATAAACTACATTTCATTGTATGTTCCATGTAATGTTTGTATTCTTTAATTATATGTTGCAGTTAAAAAAATAAATAAAAATAAAAATCTGAGTCAGAAGGGGGATTTGAGCCCAGGTCTCCCATGTGGAAGTCCAGTGACTTACCAGATCAGCAAACCAACTGCTAATTGTAGAGAGAACAATAGGAGATACTGAGACCCATTACAAGTACCTGCTTTTCGGAATATTACAGGTCAGTATAGACCTTTGCAATAGTTAGAATTTTGCAAAGTAAATATCTTTTCACAGCCTGATGTTTGTTCAATGTGAGATCAGTGGAAGAGTGGTGTGTCTTATGTTTTTAAGGCTGTAATGCAATATTTATATTACTGTGTTTACCTCCATACTGCCCAACACACACACACACACACACACACACACACACACACACACACACACACACACACACACACACACACACACACACACACACACACACACACACACACAACACACACACACACAACACACAAACACACACACACACACACAACACACACACACACACACACACACACACACACACACACACACACACACACACACACACACACACACACACACACACACACAAACACACACAAGTGTTTTCACTGTCATATACAAATCTTTTAAGATTCAGATAAAACATGTTCAAATGGTGTATGGTTTGTTACCTTTTCCATATGGGACCAAGACAGAATGAGGAAAACATAAAAACCTGTCATATGAACTTGAAATGTCCACGACACTGAAGGGTGTCTACAGGGACAATAAAACCTGTGCTGCCTTTATTACACAGGCAACACACTAAATTAAACTGCACTATGGCTTTTCTAGTTGGGGTCGTTGGGGTGTAATGAGTACGCGTAAGATACATGAAGTATTGAGTGGATAAAAGTAATAAAGGGGCATTATTTATGGGACTTCTTATTTTTGTTTTGTTCATTGTTCAGTTTTTGTTTCTCCAGTCTCTCCGTCTGTGGCTGGTCGGCCACAAGGAAGATCTGCTGCTAGTCCCGGTCTTAGTCCTGGTCCGGGTCCTGGTCCAAGTACCGGTCGGGGTCCTGGTCTGTACAAAGCCTCTGCCATGGCTCTGGCTGCTCTGTGTGTGATCCTGCTCATCTGCGTCATTGCTCTGTCCACCCACAGTGAGTACTTGTACTATTATGACACTGGCACCGAGTCTCTGCATGACCCTCAAATAATGAATGAGGAAGCAGAAGTTAAAACTACCACTTAAGGAGATTTGTTCAAAATATTTCCTCTTTCATAAATGTCTTCATCAGTTTCACAGATTCAGCTTTTACTGAGTGTCCACATTTCATCATACTTCAAACCAAAACAACAAGAGTCAGATCCTCTTTTGTTACGTAAAGTGTTCTGAGGCCAGGATCTGACTCACTGTTAAACTTCTTCTATTAAAGGTGCATTGTGTAACTTTTCTGGTGGAGGGTACATCTGATGTTTCTCCATGGAGATGTTATTGCTTTGTCTGGAATGTTTCACAGTATGGCATTAAAGCTTTCTGTTTTCATGGAGACCAAACCAGACCAAGTTATAGGTCAGAATGTCCGTTGTTCTACTAGGTATTTTTGAGCTATAAAACCACCTATAATTGAATAAATAAAAGGAAGAGTTGTTTAATGTCACACTGTGGAACATTCCAGGCAGAGTAATGACGTATCCATAGAAACTAGAAAGTGATGGACCCCCAACCAAAAAGTTACATGTTAAATCTGGAGTTGGATTTCCGTGGCACTTCAAATGACCCCACACACAAGACAGAGAGCTTTAGATAGTACTACTCACAGTGTTCCACTTGACCTATGGAAGCTGTAATCATGGTACCAGAAGAACATTTTCCTGAAGCAAAGTAGTTTGGCCTATTGAATTTTGATCTCTAAATCTCAAGCCAATGGACAGAGAAAGAATTGGAATTAATATTGATTTATAAATGTGATTGTAAATGTGAATATACTTTTATTTGTGTAAAACTGTTAATGGTTCATAATATGTAACGTGAGAGCAGTGTCACAAAACCCCCACACAACTTAAGCAAGGCACTTTCCTCGCCTCATCCACCCACAACTCACACCTCACAAAACTAGGGGAGAAAGAGATCAACTGAAGAGGACAAAGACAGTCATTTCGAACCCAAAGCTGAATACAGGAGGAACAACGCCCGAGAAGTTCTCTCTCTTATTATAATTATATTATTATAATACTTTTTTTTTTCTTTCCAAATTTAAATATTTGCTTTTATGCTGCCAATAGTCTTCATTGATTGATTAACTTTAATAATTCTAGTCAAAGCCAAACTCACAAAGGCCATGTGAGTGCTGCTTTAACTTAGAATTCTTAAATTACAATCTGTAATATCAATTACTCCTCCTTTAACTAAGGGACCCCCTTGCCTTAGTCTCACTGCATACTACTACTACTACTACTACTACTAGTACTACTACTACTACTACTACTACTACTACTACTACTACTACTACTACTACTACTACTACTACTCCTCTCACTTATGAACTGTCCTGTGGTGTTGTCCAGATCAGAAGACCCAGACGAGTGAAGGAGAGACCATCCCTCAGACTGAGAAACAGAAACAGGAGGTGAATGTGACAGAGCTTCTGTCCATCATCAGCAAACTGAAGGAGGAGAACCAGCAGCTCAGGGCCGAGCTCAACAGCTCCAAAGGTACAAACACCGAGATGATGGACCAAAACACCAAAACACGTTAAATAAAACACCGTTAAGATCATTATATTTAAATTTAGCTACTTTTTAGGTTTCATATTTTTCTTCCTGGTTGGAAATCATGACATCAGTCTAGAGAATTCCATAACTGTTTCCTAGCAACCATGTAGTAATCCTCTAATGTACACATAGATTATGATTTCACAAAAACACATTTAAGGCCTATTCATACTTCATAAGTATATAAGAACTTTGTTCTTTGTTCTTTTGGTGATAAGAACAAGAACAAACTTTGTTTGAGATGTTCTGCTGCCGAACTGCCCCACCCCCTCGCTCTTTTTTATGGTCACCCACTTTTGGCTTTGGCAAACTTGTCACAGAGATTACGCCAGACTTTTCTACGCTGATTTTCATCCAAGCCTAAAATGTTCACGATCTCCCTTCAATGAATTTCTTGCCATTTGGCGTCTTTAGTCACTGAGCGTCGTGTTGTACAGATGTTTGTATTTTCTCACCATTTCCTCCAGCTGTGACTCAAAACCACCCTTTTTTTTTCTTGCTCTGCACTGGCGAGGAAGCAAATAAACCACGCCCACATAAATAACCAATCAGCGTGAAGATGTGGAACAGTGCTGCCAAACTGCTGAACAAAGTTCTGCTCAGCTGAGGTGTCGAGAACAAGTCACAAGAACTGCCCAACAGGAGCTGGCCCTGGGTGCAAGAACATTTTTATGTTCTTATGAAGTATGAATAGGCCTGCACTTTATTGAAATAATGTTCCTCTCAAGTAAAACTCTCCACTTCCTGTCATTTTCAACAGATTTCCCAACAGGTATTATCCCACTGAATTAAACAGAAACACGTACAGGGCAGGGTTCTTTGGCTCAGTAATATTTAATACAGATGGAGGGAAATTTAAAATAATAATGAGTCTTGTCAGTGAAAGAAATCACCAAGTTCAACATTTGTGAATTAATCTTTTGAATAATTTTGATAGATTTCATTGTGAAGACAATATGGGCAATAAGGAAATCTGTCTCCTTCAGCTCCTGCAGCTGTTCAGCCCTCCTCTGCTCTTCACTTCAGTGCCCTGTACGTCATGTATTGTGTCTGACCCTGATGTACGTCTCTTCTGGTCCTTTCAGCTGTTCAGACCCTCCCTCCTCCTCTCCAGTGCCCTGCCAACTGGTTGCCTTTCAGTGGCAGTTGTTACTTTATCTCCAGCCAGACCCGGACCTGGAGCGACAGTCAGAGTTACTGTAATAGCCAGGGCGGCCACCTCGCCATCATCCTCAGTGCAGAGGAGCAGGTAACAGCGCTGAAGAGCACAGCTATGAAGCCAGTGCTCAACACGTAATATTCATGAAGAGATGTGGTGTTGTGTTGGGGCATAGGCCTGTTTTAGTGCTGTTTTAATCTTAGTCTAGCCCTGGTGGCATTTAAAATAAAATATTAAATCAAACAATGAAATCAATCAGTATACGTAGATTTTTCACTGAGGGATGATTGAAGCAAAACAAAAGCCTCAGTGCAGTTTAACTGTAGGACTGGTCAGGTAGGGTCAGGTGTGTGTATCTCTGTCAAACTATACGCAGTCAAAACTGTAGCACTGATCTTTCTACAGCCTGTTATCTATCAGTATAGTCTGTGGAGTTTGCATGTTCTCTCTGTGTCTGGATGGTTTCCGCTGGACATTCTCTTGTCCCCATCAACCCAAAACATGCACAATAAGTCAAATCCTGACCAAGACTAGCTGAAGATCTGGAGATGGGTCCTGGGTGTTCAGCAGCAGCTCCTGCTCCTGACAGACTCAAAATGTAGAGGAGGAATTTCTCTCAGAGACCAGTAAAGTATAGTACCTGATCTCTCTCTCCTCTCTCCTTTCTCTTCTCACTCTCCCTCTTCTCTCTCTCTCTCTTCTCTCTCTATTCTCTCCCTCTCTCTCTTTCCCACTCCTCTCTCCCTCTCTTTTCACTCTCCTCTCTCTCACCCTCTCTCTTCTCTCTTATCTTCTCTCTTCTCAGACGTTTCTGTGGGACCTTCTTCCTCGTGGTTACTGGAACTCGTTCTGGTTTGGTATCACAGACTCTCACATCGAGGACCAGTGGAAGTGGGTGGACGGGACGCCGCTGGTCGGAGGGTGGGTGCTACACACACTATTAACCTCATATAGTAAAGGTGCATTGCCTGGAATGTTCCACAGTATGACATTAACTAAAGTCATTGTCAAATGAGTTTAAGTCTCTCTATCAGATTTTTATTGTCTTAAAAATGTGAAGAAAAAAAAAAAGAATTAGTTCATTTTAAACATTTTTTGCCATGGTCCAAAGTTATTCCTCACTTCCTGTTTGCTTTCAGAGACTGAACCAAGTCCAGAGTTGGCTGTTTTTTTAAAAAATGTGAACAGGACAAGGACGTTTAATTCACGTGACGTTTATTCTGTGTATGACATTTTTTTTCCAGCTGCTCAAACTTCTGCTTTTGAGGAACTTTTGTCCAGATGCAGCAGATTCAGACTCTTCCTCTTTTGTCCACTCATTCTTTCTCATCCTTTTTTCACATTATACAAATTTTAAAATTAAGCAAATTTCAAACTTACATTAACCCTTGAACCAATGTGCATTCATTTGACATCACACAGTATTGAGCGTTTGTACTTACAAACACCTGGTTTTCAGTGCAGAGTTTGGCATGTGGGTACTTGTTAGACCCCATTCCTTTCTTTTTACAATTTTGATGAAGTTTATTTTATTAGATTTTATTTATTTATAAAAAAAAAAAAAAAAAAAAAAAAAAAAAAAAACTAGGACAGTGCACAGAAAACAGTCTCAGAGGGAAAATATGCTCTGTGGCAGATTTAGCTGCAAGCGATTTTTTTACCTTTTTTTTTTTTTTTTTTTTTTACATAATGGTAAGTATCCTTCTTAAAACTTATTGCTGCTGTCATCCTTATGTTACGTTCCTCCTTCTTTATGTAACGAACTGAAGATTCATTTATCCCGTAATGGAGCCCTACAGCGCAGAGTCCTGCACCGCTCCATTTTTAGAGACCCGCAGTACAACACTGCACCCGCGCAGTACAACACTGCACCCGCGCAGTACAACACTGCACCCATCTGTTAACCCGAGACTATATCAAACTTTTGCGCTGCATACGCCATGGACTGAACCAAGACTAAACCAGGACTAACCCAGGACTAACCTTGGACTGATTCCAGGACTGAAGAGGAGGACTAAACCAGGACTGAACTAGGACTAAACCAGGACTAAACCAGAACTAAACCAGAACTGAAACAGGACTCACTGTCAGGACGGGCTCGGAGGTGACCGCAGGAGAAAGGACCGGCTCAGCTCTGCACCTCACGGAGGTAAACGCAGCAATTGCCAGATCGTGCTTTGCGGACAGACTGCTTGGCGTTTTCTCTTTTAAGTCCAAGATTAGTCCTGGTTTAGACCTGATTTAGTCCTGACCCACCCATGTGTAAAAAAAAAAAAAAAAAAGAACATGTAAAATTGACACAAAAAACTGAGAGATTACGAAAGGTGAACAGGGATATAGTGAGGGACGACTGTAGCTCAATGTCGAGGCCCCACCTTCCACCCCCGATAAGGTGTCCGGGTTTTCACAAATGGAAATACGGTCACCCTACCGTATCTTACTGCCAGTCTTAGCACAAAGTGCAAGTGGGCGTGTCCAGGTGGGGCTGTACTTCTCTGCTGGAGGCTGGAGTGGGACGGTACTAGTACATATATGGTGATGGCATCTGAACCAAACTGTGACATCTGTGGCATTAAAAGCACTGCCCCAGTGTGGGTAAAGTTTTTAATAATGAGGCAGTCTTTGCCTCATTATCAAACAGCAAAGTGGAGTGTGGGAAAAGTGACATATGTGACAATAAAACAGCTCCAGAGCCCCGTGATGCAAGTCCACACCAGCAGAGGCGCCAGGAATACAGAATTTTGTATGGGCCATGACAGAACTGACTGTCACGTACGTGCGCCCCTCTCGTGCACGTGCACCGCTATAAGCCTGTGCACGCGCGCACACATCAACCTTTTATAGTTTCCTCTGCGTTCGTTTAAGACCAGTGTGTTTCATGTGCTCCCATCCCACATCAGACCCGCTGCTTTCTCACACCCGTCTGCCTTGCAGTCCACTCCCAAGGACTCACCTGAGGTACAAGTGTCCACCTCTGCTGCCGCTGACCGCTCACATTCTTGTCTCTGGGGTGTCCACTGCATTTGGTCCCACACAGGTGGAAGTCTTGTGGATTATGAAATAGCTAAGTTTATTGTCATATAAATGTTTCTGTTGTTACAGCTTTGTGCACAGATATGAGACGTGCTTCAGCTCCACTGTCACAGCTCCGAGCTGTCAGTGACTGTGCGCACAGAGTCCAGCATTAGGACACAGAGTAAGAAAACAGACTTTAGGACTTCGCTGTAAATGGCCTCATGTTAATGAGATTCAGATCAAACCAAACTCTAGAGCAGAGCTGAGCCGGTACAGGGAGCTCTGCTGTGGGAGGGCATCCGGACGAATCCCGCGCATGAACATGTTATGAATGTTAAGCATTTATCATCCTAATATATTTCCAAATAAAAGAAACCTTGAGCATGTTACGTGTTGTTTTTCAGCAAACTCGTCTGATATTTATTTTTACAATTTTGGCAATTCACTAAACGCGCCACACCAGCCCTCACTCTGCTCCACCTGATGTTCAGGCACAAAACACCTCCTGTTTAGAACTCCACACCCCGCACCTGCACCAGCGCTGAGACTGGGGGCAAGATACGGCCCAGTAGCTTTCCGGTTAGCCTCCACGTTTTTCTCCAAGTCAAACACACAAAACATAATAAAGCAGAAGTGTGGAGGTGACATCATATCCGAGATCCGAGTGGGAGACGGATGGATAAACAAAGTCAACATAGGGGTAGTTCTATAATTGTTACCTGACAGCCATAATGTTAACAACAGTCCTAACATGTTCAAATTACACAGTAGTTATGATGAGACTAAGAAAAATAAATGACACCACCCTTGTTTTATTAAATTCAGCTTTAAAAAATGCCTTCCCTGTGCATAAATTGTCTTTGCACTTTTTTCTCAACTTTTCTTCACAAACTGCCACTTAACGGATTTGAAACTACGGTAGATATTGAGCACAGGTTCTATCCCAACAAATCAAATCAAAATGAAGAAAACATGAAAACCTGCCACATGCACTTTAAGTATTTTTTAATTGTGATGTGGTTTATTAATTGCCTTTCTCTTCTCTTGTCTCTGGTGAAGGTTCTGGGAGGAGGGGGAGCCCAATAACCACGTGGACGAGGACTGTGGATACATCGTGAAGACTGAAGTTCTGACCAGAGTGGCCATTCGCAGCTGGTACGATGCCCCCTGCAGCATGAGACTGCCCTTTATCTGTGAGAAGGAATGAACAACCTCCAACAGCCAAAACTAAAGAGCACCACCCAGACCGGAGCACACAATTTGAACTAGGAGTCTGCCTTTTATCTGCGAGGAAGAGTCACCAGGAGCGTCCACCACGAGCCTGAACTACACTGGAGCACCACCCAGAGTAAACCCACCGATCTGAACCATGCACCTGCCCATCATCTATGAGAAAGAAGAACCAGGAGGAGCCATCAAGAGCCTAAAATAAACTAGAGCACCACCAAGACGGGAGAACCACCCAGAGGAAACCAACCCATCAGAACCATGAGTATGCTCTTCATCTGTGAGACAGAAGAGCCAGGAGGAGCCACCCAAACTAAAGCAGAGCACCACCCAAAGTGAACCAACAACCAGTTTGAACCATGATTCTGCCCTTTATCTGTGAGGAGGAAAGGCCAAGAGCACCAACCAAGAGCCCAAACTAAACTGGAGCACCACCCAGAGGAAACCAACCCATCAGAGCCATGATTCTGCTCTTCATCTGTGAGACAGAAGAGCAGGAGGAACCACCAAGAGCCCAAACTAACTAGACTAGAGCACCACCCAAAGTGACCCAGACTGCTCACTGTGAGAGAAATACATTTTTATTTTGTTATATATTCATTTTATTTTTTATTTTATTTTATTTTAGAACTACATTAACAAATGTCAGTGTAGGTGAAATCTATACATTTGTTGTGTATTTTTGTAAGAGCCTTTTTTATAAATCAATTCAATGTTTAGGTGTATGACAAAGTGATTTAAATGTGGAATTAACAGCACTGAGCTCACCAGAAATCTATTTCCCATTCATTTTTCCCATAAACCATATATTAAAAGTAAGGCTAATCAGCTCTGAAACCTATACTTTTATTTCAAATCTGTTTCTGAAACTTTATAAACTGACAGGTTATTAAAAGATTTCACAGAATCGTGTGTTTGAATGTGCGTATGTGAGTTTACACGTGAATTCTTTTTGAAAATGTTTGAAAAGTCGATGGGAAAAATGAATGACATGTGCTCAATTGCTGTGTGTAATTTTTGTTTGTGTGAAATGAAATGTAAATAATGAATCAGATTTTCTATTTTTAATTGTAACATAAAAGTATATGACAAAAGTATCCGCCTCCTCCTGTCAGTAAGCAGTTGTGGGTTAAACTCCCGACCATATGTAGGAAATATTGTGTCCAGCAGATGGTCCTCAAAGCTAAGACATTTTTCTAGGCTTTTACAGAATAAAATTCAGTTATAAAACAACACGGATTTTTTTGTTTTTTGGGTTAAATGCAGAATTCTATGTTTATTATAAATTTCCAGTTCAGTGTGATAAATATATATATATATATATATATATATATATATATAATATATATATATATATATATATATATATATATATATATATATATATATGTTTTTTTGTTTTTTTTTTACAGAGGAACTGCCAATGCCAAACGCTAAGTCTTCACATCTTCACAAATTCTTAAAAAAAAAACATTATTTCATAAATAAATTAAATCATAAAAGACACTGTACAAGCTCTACGCCATTTTCAGCTATCAAAAATATTCCTTAAAATGTACAGATTTCTCTACAAACTGTTAAGTGTCATAAGACGATAGAAATCTAGCTATATTTCAAAAACTATATATGATTTTTGACACAAGTTTAGACCACTTAAATTCTGCTCATTTCTGCTATTATTTTTACATGTTTTATTATCCCCTTAGCAGCAAGTTTTATTTTAAACCTTGTGATTCATATACATGCAATTGGATTTAAGATGACAACAAAATGTCCCATGTAAATTATTCTATTATGGCCATGGCTTGTTAAAGCCTTGTTAAAGTCTGATCCTGTCACATCTCAGAAGCTCCGCAGGACTGGGCCTGGTCTGGACTTGGACGGGAGACACTGGTGCCACAGGGAACCAAGTCACCTACATTGCCTAGTATGAAAGTGGTGTTTGTGTGTGTGTGTGTGTGTGTGTGTGTGTGAGTGATGGTGGTGGTCAGAGGGGCCATGGCGCCGACTGGCAGCCACGCTTCGGTCAGTCTGCCTCAGGACAGCTGTGGATACAATAGTATCTTACCACCACCAGGTATGGCGTGAATAAATAATGCTCTGTAAAGCATTTTTGTCACAAACGTCTAAAGTCTAAATGCTAAAAGTTCATTGAAATTCACAGATTTTATGTTTTTTTTTAAATAACAAGGATGACACAAATTGAGTTGAATAAATTATTTAAAATAGCTGTGAACATTTGGGATTTGATGCCAATATTTCTCACATATTTTGCACACATTTGCACAAACCCACTATATTGCCTGTTTTGCTTACAAGATACAAGAATGCATTTATTTAGAGCAACTGCTCAGGTGTATAGACTCTTATCAATATGCACAGACAAAGGTGTATGAAGACAACCGAGGTGCTATAGCCAAAAATCCAGTCAACAGGCACCAGTGCAAGAATACTGACATAAAATATCACTTTATTAGGGAAAATGTGAACAGTGGGAGGTTTATTTTGAAGTACTGTGCTACTGAGCAAATGTTTGCTGATGTACTGACAAAGCCAGCTACTAAGATCAAGTTAAGAAAGTTTTCAAGGGAGATTTGGTTTGGTATTTAAATGTGTTACTTTAAGAAAATATAAAAGCCTCATTCTGTTGTTTTGTTTCTCCATGTAGTGACATAAGAGTGAATATAATTGTAAATATAACGCTCTTATTAATGGTATTTGTAAAGGTTTGATTGGTTGAGCTTCCTTGAGGTGCCGTGTGACGTATGACGTAAGCACGCATTCTGTAAACACCGTGAAAACAAACAAACAAACAAACAAACAAACAAACAAACAGCTCCATGCTCAAAATGCAAATAAGAAAAACATACATATGCATGTTACCAACAGGGAAGTAGCCTAATGCAATCATCACTCCTACTCATCTATATTAGAAGAACCAGGTCTAGACCATGAGCCTCGTATAAAACACAGACCTTTTCCATTACAGCAGGGGTGCTCCATGCAGATTTTACTCTGAAGGTCCAAAGCGGAACTGGACAATCCTATTTTCAGCACGGTCCTCTGGCGCATCTGGAGCCGGGAGGGGGGCACCGATGACGGAGGTGTAAAAGCGCGCTCCAGCTGTGGCTCCAGCGCAGACCGGACAGCGCTGCTCTCTCTGACCGCCTTTGAAACGCTCTCTCCTGGACTGCACCATGTCTGCGCCCGCGGGCCCAAAGATGTACTCTAAACTCATCACCGGGGAGCAGGGCCCCAGAGGTACGGGCAACATGCGCTCAGGTGTCGGGCTTATGTTTGTTGACACTTTAAATTAAACATAATACTTATAATAATAATAATAATAATAATAATAATAATAATAATATTATTATTATTATTATTATTTTAAATCTATCTGCAAGTAATTATCTTTTTATTTGCGTGACGTTTTCAAATTATTGCAAAAGAGAAGAGATCTGTAATTGCACAACAGACAAACAAATCTATTTGTGCATTTTAGTTTTAAAGGGCCCGTATTTAACTGTGTTATAGGGCCGAGCAGGTTAACGCGTTAACTAATTCAGTCATTATCGCCCACAATTAGACAATTAACACAGTTAATGCAGTTTTTATTATTTATTTATTTATTTAATTGTAAACGTCTGTTTCTCACTGGCTTTTATTTTGAAAAAGTCCACCGCGAGCGTTTCTTTAAGTTTGACGTCTTTTCTTTACACTTTTTTCACTTTTTTCTGACCATGTGAGATGCAACGTGTCCGAGCCTCCGTGAGCCGCAGGCTCCGGCTCCGGCCGGACCAGTCATGCACTCTGAGCTGAGCTTGTTTGTTTAGTTCAGCGCTGCAGGGGGAGTCACTGATTTACCCAGATACCAGAAAGAAGAAAAAATGTGATTGGTCCATTTCCGTTCCATTATATTAACCCTTTGTTTCCCAAGAAACAAAGGGTCCAAGTTTATAACAATGATCTAGAAATTATTAATAGTGTAGTGTTTATTACTCACTGAATAAAAATATTGAAAAAATATATTAGTAGTACAAATATTCATTCAATATTTTTTCTTGAGCCGTCACTGAATACCTTGAAGGCTCTGAGGGTTCAACTCTGAAAGAAACTCTGTTTGCACAACAAATGTTTGGCTCTTTCATTTACATTTCAAATAAAAGTGCACTATACTCTACTTTTTAATTCATTAATTGGTTTTGCGTATAACATGCGATAAATTGTGATTGATTGCACTCGAACTCATGCAATTAATGCAATTTCTATGTTATAATGTAGTTTTCTCATCACAAACATAACAGTGGTTTGTTTTTGCATTCTGTGAGGTACTGTGCGCGTCCAGAATGCACTGACTACTGATTTGTCCTCAAATGAGTTGTCCTCGATCAGAAGGACAGGCCACTCCACTGTTACACAGGTAGATGTTTACTGAAGAGGAGGAAACAGGTGATATCTGACAATGTTTATTGGTGGTTATGTGTGTGTTGTATGTGTGTATGTGTGGGTGTGGTTATCTGAAAAACAAAAACAACAAAAATATAGACATTAGAGAACAAACAAACAATATGAAATGAACAGGGAAATAATAACTGCTATTATACAGAAGAACCACAAGAAGGCGCTCCAACACAATAAATAAATACATGGAGTCCCTGTAGACCACGGGAGCGTCACACTGTGTAATAGCGATAGTGTTAACTCATTATGAAATTAACAACTACACATTTCAAATAAACTAACACACTAAACATACATTAACACTCAATTATAAACAATACTCACCCTGCATGAATGCACACAGTACATATACACACAAAAAAGGCACAGGGTGCTCGAGCCCAGCACGAGGCTCCGCTATTAATGCAACAAGAGAGCGGAACTTTTGGGGGCCCGAGCGTACTGGAACTACAAACAGCCGCCCCTGTATTTGAAGGGCAAATACACACATGCAAAAGTCCACTAAGTTGGAGGAGTGCTGCCAGTGTCCTCAGGCACTTCAGGAAGCTCTACTAGTTTGGTTACAGGGCGTATGTACATACTGTCTTTAACTTACCTCTGCACCTCTGGGAAAACTTTGGTGATGGTGCCAACAGGCCACAGTCCTCTGGGGAGATTTGCATCCACAATCATGACAGCCTGTCCCACAGCCACACTGTCAGTAGAATTCCTCCATTTCTGTCTCAGCTGAAGCCCAGGGTTCTGTCAGTTCTGAATAAAGCGCTTCCAGAAATGGTCACTGATCACCTGACTGTGCCTCCATCTCCTGTTGGACAGAGTATCATGTGGGCCATACACTGCCTGTGGTAGCGCTGAGTCATGCCGCCCCATTAACAGGAGGTTTGGTGTGATGGTATCAGTGTCAGCCACATCAAAGGAGGCATACCCGAGAGGTTTAGAATTTAGGATGCCCTCAACATTTTTCAGTGTCGTAAGCAAGACTTCTTCTGCCATAACTTGATCTTTCAGAACAACCTGCAGAGCTCACTTGACTGACCTGATTTGCCTTTTCTAGGAACTCCCAAAGTGAGGAGCATGCAGTGGATAGAGAGTGGAGGTTATAATGGCCTGGGTGGCCAGCTGTTGTTTTAGTTCTGGGGCCATGTTCTCAAAGGCGGTCTGGAGCTCTTTGTTACCAACCCTCAAGTCCGTGCCCTGGTCTGACCACAGCTCGTACGGCTTCCCCCTGCATGCAATAAACCTGCGTAAAGACATAAGAAAAGAGTCAGTGTCAATGTTTGGCAGGAGATCCAAGTGCACACATCTGGTGGTGAGGCACCTGTAGATGATCCCCCAGCGCTTCTCTCTTCTGCGGCCAATCTTAACCATGTATGGACCAAAGCAGTTTTCTCCTGTAGAACAGAATGGGGGTTTATACAGTCTCAGCCATGACGGGGGGAGGGCCTGCCATTTTGGGAGTAGAAGGAAAAGCACGCCATCTTCTGCAGTCAACACATTGGTTCTGATGTTTCTTGATGGCCTGGCGTCCTCTGATGATAGATGCAGCGTATCTCTGCATACAGTCTCTTTGTGCCTGGGTGAAGAAGCTGAGCATCATAACGCTCTATGGTGAGTTCAGACAGGGGATGATCTGCTGACAGCACAACAGGGTGAATGCTGTCTGGGTCTACATCTGTAGCCTGACGCAGACGGTCTCCAACTCTGATCAGACCACTGAGGCTGTCATCCTCAGGGGAGAGTGCACTCAGACGGCTGCTTGGGTTAACAGTGTGGCCTGCTTGGAGGGCTTGAACCTCCTCCTCTGGGAACCTGTCAGTCTGTGCAGAGTGGAGGAGTAACGTCTCTACTCTGCTGCAGTGGGAGAAGTGGCCACCCCGTGCAGAGACTTGGTGAGTGTCAAGGACCAGGTCATCCAGTGTTGTGTACTGTGCTGGATCTGGGAGGCTCCGGGATACAGCTGCATGGCCACAAAATGCTGCTTTTCTGAGCTCCTCACTGCCACAGTCTGTACTATCTGTTGGAGGCTTTGACCACATGTCCTGCATCTGAGTCAAGAAGTGTGGGCCTTGTGACCAGCGGCTGGAAACAGTTAACTCTACCAGAGGTTTGCCTCTAGTGAAGTCATCAGCAGGGTTATTATCAGAGTTTACATAACACCACTGCGCTGGGGAGGTCAGCTCCTGGATTTCACAGATTTGAGTTTCCGCAAATACTTTGTAGCGGCAGGAGCTTGACTGGATCCACTGCAGCACTGTGGTGGAATCTGTCCACAGATAGATGTGGACGGATGTGTAAAGGGATGGTGAGTTCAGTTTGGAGCACCTTGGCCAGTTGGGCTCCAGTGAGCGCCGCACACAGCTCCAGTCGGGGCATCGACACCTGTTTGCAGGGCGCTACTCTGCACCGTGCCATGACAAATGAGGTGGAGATGTGCACTTGCTGATCCATCACCCTGAGATAGGCTACAGCTCCATAAGCCCTCTCAGAGGCATCACAGAAGATGTGAACCTCATGTGTCTCACTGTTGCTGTTATGAGGAGGAGCATAACAACGAGGCATGGTGATATGCTGGCTCGTCCCATCCTCCCTCTGTGCTCCACAAGTCCAGCACTATCAGCTTCGCTCTTGTGGTGTAGGGGCAGATATAACCCAATGGGTCATATTGACTCGCCAGTACTTTGTACACATTGTGGGTTGTGACAGCAGTGCTTGTATCCCAGGATGTCAAACGGGCAGTGCCAGCTGAGACCCAATGTTGACTCCTGTGGATCAAGGTTCTTGAAGTTTAGCCACAGTTCACAGCTTTCTGACCTGGCCGCACTAGGAAGATGAGCAACCACTTCAGGGATATTGCTCGCCTACTGACGTATCCACCACGGAGGAGAAGCTCCCTCATTCTGTCAATGAGCGCCTTGGCCTCTTGTCGGTCAGAAAGGGACTGCAGGCAATTGTCCACGTAGAAGGCTATGTGTACAGAGTCATACACGTCCTGGTGTGTGTCTATATGTTCCCTGGTGTGGGTCTGTAGTGCAAAGGTAGTGCAGCAGGGACTACAGGTAGTTCCAAATGGCAGAACTCTTTACTCATACACGTCTGGGGGCCACTCTGTTTCACCATCTCGCCAAAGGAACTGCAGGAGTGGGCAATCCTCTGGAAGCAGTCGGACCTGGTGAAACATAGCTTTGATGTCCCCGCTCACAGCCACAGGGCACTGCTGGAAGCCGAGTAGTTTAGGCCCCAGTGTAGGCCCTGGCAGGAGGTAATTGTTGAGGATAGTTCCCTGGAACTCAAAGGAGCAGTTAAAGACTACTCTGGCCTTGTTGTTGTGATGTACTATGTGGTGTGTCACGTACCAGGATTCAGTAGAGCTATGAATCTCTTCTGGAGTCAGCTTAACCACATAGCCTGAGTCTGTTAACCTCTTAATTTCCTGATTGTATGTGCTAGCTAGTTCTGTGGATCTCAGGAGACCTTTGACCACTTCAGGAGGGACTTGGAGCTGTGGGAATTGTTTCTTTCAGAGCAGGGGAGTGGCACATCTCTCTACACCATATATAGGGACACTGATGGTTTTAGCCTCTAGCATGGCTATCGCTTCTCTGTCCTCTTTAGAGCTTGTGACCTCCTTCTCTGGTCTGTGGAGGGAAGCGTCTAGTTGCCACAGATGCTGCACATCCTGATGGAGGGTCTCAGCAGGAGAAAGGCATGACAGGTCCAGGCAATGCACCTCACCTCTCTGTGCAGGCAGGATGCAGCTGGGACCTTGAGGTCTGAGAATGGAATTATAAATAACAGATGATGTCTGAGGCCTCTATTCCTGTTCAAGCATGGATTGTCTTTCCTAACAAAAATAGCCAATTTAACTCCCCTCTCAAACCAATTCTTTTCTCTGACTAAGATCTGGACCTCACTGTCCTCAAAGAAGTGGTGGAGGTCCACTGTTGCTCTCTCGTCTGTGTTGGCACATCGTCTTGTGAAGTGTCTGTTTTGTTTCTCCAGTATGGCGCTCACTGCAGTCTTCACGACACTGAATGGAGTAGACCAGGAGTGTCAAACGCAGATTCACTGAGGGCCAAAATTAAAACTGGGACTAAGTTGTAGGACAGACTAAATATTTATTGACAAATTTCAACAACATCTGCATGTTTTCTCTTCTTTTGAGATATGCAATGTTAAACCTTTTCTTATTAAAATAAATGCAGTAAAACTACCTGCTAGATACAAAGAGTAATGTGTCTGTTGGTTATAAGGGTACCTTAAAAAAAAAGGTTGTACTGTAAGAATTATACTTGAACATATAACTTGTTAAAAAAAGAGGATGTGATGTATTATTAGAACGGCATTCGTAGGATTACGTCATTACGTATGTGCGTGATGTGAGTGGGAGTTGTGTAGCTGTTCCTAAGGTGTTACATAAAAGATTTGTTAAAATGATCGGTCTTCATGCCTCCTAAATATAACAGTTACCCCCTTTCTCCTGGGCTCTGATTCTCTGGTGTCGTGTTTTTTTAGCTCTCTTTGTTTTATTGAAAACCCATTTTGGTTATCCACACACAGAGAGGGCTTTCTGCACATGATGTTCTTCTTTCTTCATTCCCTATGTGCTTGTAGGAACCTGTAGGAACTTGTAGAAGTCCTGCACAAATATAAATGGCCTGTGGGCTTGTAAAAAGGCGATAGGCCTATCCTTTGGTTGAAGTGTATTTAGTGCATCTGAACATGTAAACTATTCTACATAGGCCTTTATGACCACAGTAATTAGTTAGGAAGTTGTAGGTCTCTGAGTAGATTTCAGACCCGAGTACCACCGAGTCACCACAGGCAACACTGATGCCTTCACATTCCAGGCCTTCTCCAGCTCTTCCATGAGCCCCTGGTATTTCTCCAGTTTCTTATGTTCCTTCTTCCTGATATTGCTATCGCTTGGTATTGCGATGTCCACCACCACGGCTCTGGTCTGTTGCTTATCCACCACCACTATGTCTGGTTGGTTCATCACCATCCTGTCAGTCTGTATCTGGAAGTCCCACAGGATCTTGGCTCGGTCGTTCTCCACAACCTTTGGAGGTGTTTCCCACCTTGATCCTGGGTCTCCAGCCCGTACTCTGCACAGATGTTTCTGTACACTATGCCCGCCACTTGGTTATGTCACTCCATGTTTGCTTTCCCTGCAGCATCTTACACTCTTCAGTTCTATGCTGGACTGTCTCAGGATCTTCATTGCACAGTCTACACGTCGGTCTTGCCTGATGTGGTAGATCTGGGCCTCTATTGCTCGTGTGCTCAGGGCCTGCTCCTGAGCAGCCAGGATGAGCCTCTGTGCTGTCCTTCTGACCAGCCCTCTCAAGCCACTTCAGTTATATTTTGGTGGTACGCCCCGTGTAGGGGCTTGTCCTGCCACGATGGTTCCTCCAGCACCTCTTCCTCTGGACCCCACTGTCTGATACATTTTCTAAGCAGGTTATCTGTCGAGGCCTTGTCCTTGATGTTCTCAAGGGGCTTGGATGTTTCATCCTGGACAGTGGTTTCCACATTCACTAGTCCTTGGCCTCCTTCCGGCTCGCGTACAGTCTCAGGGTGCTGGATTTGGGATGGACTCCTCCAGTTGAGATGGTTTCTTAGGACTTGTCTCACTTGTTGCAGGTATTTGGCCGTAGCCACTTTCCTTGTTGTCTCCTCGAGGTTGCCATTTGCTTGTGGGATACGAAGGTACTTGTAACTGTCCTCAACATCTGCTATTTTTCCCTCTTTGAGCCCCTCTGTGTGGACTACCTTCCCTCTTTTTGTCACCATCCTACTACATTTCTCAAGCCCGAATGATATTCCAATGTCTGTGCTGTAGCTATATATTATATACACATACACATATATTACATCCATCCATTTTCTTCTGCTTATTTGGGTCCGGGTCGCGGGGGCAGCAATCTGAGCAGGGACTCCCAGACTTCATTCACCCCAGACACAGCTCCTTCAGGGGGACCCCAAGGTATTCCCAGGCCAGCCGAGAGACATAGTCCCTCCAACCTGTCCTGGGTTTTCTCCAGGGCCTCCTCCCGGTGGGACGTGCCCGGAACACCTCTCGAGGGAGACGCCCAGGAGACATCCGGAACAGATGCCCTAGGCACCTCAACTGGCTCCTCTCGACAAGGAGGAGCAGCGGCTCTACTCCGAGCTCCTCCTGTGTGACTGAGCTCCTCACCCTATCTCTAAGGGAGCACCCAGACACCCTGCAGAGGAAACTCATTTCGGCCGCTTTGTCCTTTTGGTCATTACCCAGAGCTCATGACCATAGGTGAGGGTAGGAACGAAGACTGACCGGTAAATCGAGAGCTTCACCTTTCGGCTCAGCTCTCTCTTCACCACAACAGTCTGATACACTGACCGCATCACTGCCGACGCTGCACCGATCTACCTGTCAAGCACACGCTCCATCCTCCCCTCACTTGTGAACAAGACCCCGAGATACTTGAACTCTTCCACTTGAGGCAGTGACTCTCCACCCACCTGGAGAGGACAAGACACCTTTTTCCGGTTGAGAACCATGGCCTTGGACTTGGAAGAGCTGATTCTCATCCCAGCCACTTCACACTCGGCTGCAAACTGCCCCAGTGTACATCGCTGTACCTCCTCTCGCTGTGATTGGTCAAAGCGATCACGTGATACACGAGACCGTGTTCCGTGCGTGTCATGGATCTATTAAAATAAGTGGATAGGGTATTGCTAGCTTGTAGCTGCCTCCAGCTGATGTAGTGGTCACTCACTGGTACTTCTGCAGAAAAAATCTCATGGGCTAAAAGAGGATTTTTCTTGTAGAGCACAATGTAATCACAATCTGCTCGTGTTCTGCTGACAGGGCACCTACAACTTTCAAAAATGTCAGATTTGCTGGCGATTTTTACCTATTTTTAGACCATAAATCTTTTCTCCACTCAAAATCCTTCAGTTGTCCTAAAAGAACGTTTTATAATCGTTAGCTCTGGCTCCACTCTAGCTCCGCTCTAGCTCCTCTCGCTCCGATTGGTCAAAGTGATCACGTGATAGACAAGCCCGTGCTTCATGTGTGCGCTTGCGAGCCTTCGCTTGTTCCCGCAGAATAAACACAAAATAACAAAAGAACATAAAATACATTTGTGTCATCTGCAAATAACACTGTTTTAAACAATGAAGACACTTTGCATAGATCATTAAAATATACAGTAAATAATTTAGGTCCTAACACAGACCCTTGTGGCAGGCCACAAACAATGAACTCAGAGACACTGAAGGGTGTCTACAGGGACAATAAAACCTGTGCCGCCTTTACACAGGCAAGACACTAAATTAAACTGCACTATGGCTTTTCTAGTTGGGGTCGTTGGGGTGTAATGAGTACGCATAAGATACATGAAGTATTGAGTGGACAGAAGTTATACAGGGACATTATTCCATAGCAGTTTATTATCTACTTATACAACTTGTATTGTGATATTTATGGGACTTCTTATTTTTGTTTTGTTCATTGTTCATTTTGTGTTTCTCCAGTCTCTCCGTCTGCGGCTGGTCGGCCACAAGGAAGATCTGCTCCTAGTCCCGGTCTTAGTCCTGGTCGGGGTCCTGTTCTATACAAAGCCTCTACCATGGCTCTGGCTGCTCTGTGTGTGATCCCACTCATCTTCGCCAGTGGTCTGCCTACTCACAGTGAGTACTTGTACTATCACAACTACTGGTACTGAGTCTGCAGAATGATGCAAAAAAATAATGACTGAAAAAGGCAGTGAGGAGATTTGTTCAAAATATTTCCTCTTTCATAAATGTCTTCATCAATTTCACAGATTCAGCTTTTACTGAGTGTCCACATTTCATCATACTTCAAACAAAACAACAAGAGTCAGATCCTCTTTTGTTACGTAAAGTGTTCTGAGGCCAGGATCTGACTCACTGTTAAACTTCTTCTATTAAAGGTGCATTGTGTAACTTTTCTGGTGGAGGGTACATCAGATGTTTCTCCATGGAGATGTTATTGCTTTGTCTGGAATGTTTCACAGTATGGCATTAAAGCTTTATGTTTTCATGGAGACCAAACCAGACCAAGTTATAGGTCAGAATGTCCGTTGTTCTACTAGGTATTTTTGAGCTATAAAACCACCTATAATTGAATAAATAAAAGGAAGAGTTGTTTAATGTCACACTGTGGAACATTCCAGGCAGAGTAATGACGTATCCATAGAAACTAGAAAGTGATGGACCCCCAACCAAAAAGTTACATGTTAAATCTGGAGTTGGATTTCCGTGGCACTTCAAATGACCCCACACACAAGACAGAGAGCTTTAGATAGTACTACTCACAGTGTTCCAGTTGATTATTACGAGAGCACATGCGTCGGCATCTGTTTACGCTAATTTGTTTTTACTAATAATTAAGACATCTTTTAGAGGGGAATAAGAAACATCGAGGCACTTATTGACTTTGGTTATAACCTGATTCTGAAACTGCCCGAAATTAAGCCAACTAGTGAAATCACACCGGTAGGCCGTAAGCCGGCTGCGTGGCTACAGGTGAGCCATGCACCCACTCACCTCTACGTCCAGCTGTGACAGCTGCCATGTGCTCAGTCAGAGGGTAGCTGAGTTAGAACAACGTATATCCGTGTTTGAACGTCGACTGGAGAGCGACCAGAACATCATTCTGTGAAAGATCCGTGCCACCGCCAACAGCGCCCAGCTAGCTGACACCGTCCACTTCTCCGGAGACGCCCCTGAGCACCAGCCCTCTCCGCCCTACTGGTACAAGGGATCACTACTGGCTTCAGCGTGGGGCTAGACCTAAAGCCCCGCTGAGCTCTACTCCAGTCCGATCAGATCCCTGGACTGTTCTACCCCGTAATTGCTCCGGACAGCGAGGTAGGCGAGCAAACCGGCCATCTTGCTCCTCCATATCCATGGCAAATAAATTTTATGTCTTCGACCATCTGGATTTTCCCCCGCTGCCCCAAACCTACAAGGGCCAGCTGCACTTCACCGCGGCTCCACCATCAGATCGTCCCGGTGCGCGTGGCATGACCATGGCCACACCACCACCTGCCACCTGGGTAACCTGCACGAGAGTGAGTCTCCGCTGCTGTCCAGGTCTTCCCTTGCAGCCCCTGCAGCCCCTGCGGCCCCGGTGCTGCCCGGAGGTTCTGCCGGAGATTCCGCCTCGCACATGCCGGGACCGGCGGCTTGGCGTGACGGGGGGGGACCCGCAGCCCCCTCGCCGTGTGCGCGTGTCCTGACCGCCTTGCGTGCACCGGGAGGGGCCTCCGTTCCCTCCTCGCGCATGTCGAGCCCGAGCGCTCAATGTGGGCGAGGAGATGGTCTCGCTCCTGACCGTGCTGCCTCGCAGAGCTCGGCTCACATCTCTGCGGTGATCTCGGCCCCGGCGTCCAGACCAGACACGTCCGTGCTGGTTCTCGGCTCCTCCATGGTCCGACACGTGAGAATTAAAAAAGGCCACACCTCCTGTCACCCAGGTGTTCTTGTGAAGGACATCATAGACTCCGCCCCCACCATCATACATCATCACCCCACAGTATCAACGGTAGTTATTCATGTCGGAACTAATGATCTCAAATTGCAGCAGTCAGAAATACTTAAGGACAATTTCAAAATCCTCATCACCACAATCCACAGTTTAGACAGTGTATCATCTCCAGACCCTTTGTACCACCTTGTCTTGGAGACGAGAAGTTCAGCCGTCTAAGCCGTCTAAGCACATATGGCTCAAAAGATACTGCAGAGACAATAAAATCCCCTACGTGGACAATTTTATCACATTTTTTAAGAGACCTGAACTTTTTAAAAAGGACCGACTACACCCCAACATCCCTGGATCCCGTCTCCTCTCATATAATATCGAACTCACACTAGCAGAAGCATGACAATATAATCAAGGACAGTTCATTCCCGTTATTATCAGCAGAGAGCGGCATCAGCATAAATTTTCTCATAAAACTACTGCCAACATCAATAATCTTAGACCTTTTCAAAAAGCACATCCACCACAAATTCCTGTAGTTTCACTGTCACCATTAACCTTAAACATGGCCCTTTTAAATGTCCGCTCTCTGCTGAACAAATCTTTTATTGTAAATGACCTGATTTTAGACACAAACTTGACTGCTTCTTTTTAACAGAAACATGGCTGGGTACAGATGCACCAGTTGTTCTCACAGGCCTCACCACCCACTTTTAACTTTGCTTTTTCAACCAGAAATGGTAAAAGGGAAGGTGGCACTGCTTCTATATCCACAAACACACTGGCACCAAACCTATTTTATTGAATAATTTTACAAGTTTTGAACACCACTCAATTGTTTTTAGCAAACCCCAGATTTTATGTGTTACAGTCTACAGACCACCAAAGAAATGCAGTATTTTTATCAATGAGTTCTCTGAGTTTTTATCTATATTACACAATTCTTTTAATATGATTATTATAACCGGTGATTTTAACTTACACATAGATAATCTTTTAGATCCTGTCTCAAATTAATTTTTAAATGTTCTTAATTATATGGATTTTACTCAACACGTCACACAGCCAACTCACAACAGAGGACACACTCTGGATCTGGTCATCACCTATGGCCTGACCACTAGTGTGTCCTCTGTTGTTGACCTGGCTGTGTCTGACCACTACTGTGTGTTTTTTAACATCACTGGTTTTATACAACGTGAGACGTCTGTGAGAACTGTGAGGAAGCACCGTCTGACCCCTGAAGTGGCTGCAAATTTTATCGAAGTTTTAAATAAAAATCCCCCAATGGTTTTACCTGCCCCTTGTGATTTTATCACTGACCATTTTAACAGTAAACTACGGTCAGCTCTAGATCTGGTTGCTCCACTCAAAAGTAAAAACATCAAAACTAAGCTAAAACCCCCATGGAGAACTGAAGAGCTGAAAAAATCCAAGAGAGAGTGCAGGAGGGCAGAACGACGATGGAGAAAAAACAAAACTACAATAAACTATAAATTATTTACTGATCAGCAACGGACTTACAACAACGCAATAAGAAACACAAGAAACCATTACTTTTCTACATTAATAACCAATAACAAAAATAATCCAAAAGTTCTTTTTTCAACCATTGACAACATTTTAAACCCTGATTTTAGCATGTTTATTTAACACCCACTGACTCTCTCTGTGAGCAGTTTGCAGACCACTTCATGGGTAAGATAAACACTATCAGATCTGATATTTTATCTTGTTAAAGCTCTGTTTTTAGTACATCTGAGTGTTTGTCTGGACCAGAGGAAACACTGGACAGTTTTGTCCTGGTTAATGCTGAGATGCTTGACAAAGTTTTCTCCTCAGTGAGGCCCTCCACATGTCTTTTAGATCCAATTCCTACCCCATTTTTTAAGTCATTTTATGGATCTTTTAGAGATGAGCTTTTAACCATGATGAATTGCTCTCTTCAGACGGGGGTCTTCTCTGCCTTCAAAGCAGCAGTGGTGAGGCCCCTGCTGAAGAAGAGCAATTTAGATTTTAATGATTTTAACAACTACCGACCAGTGTCTAACCTACCATTTTTAAGCAAAATTTTAGAAAAAACTTGTTTTTATTCAACTAAATTATTTTTTAGATGATCATAACATTTTGGAAAAATTTCAGTCTGGTTTTAGGGTGAACCACAGCACCGAGACCGCCTTGGCAAAGATTTTAAATGATTTTAGAATAAATTGTGATTCACAAAAGGTGACCGTGTTGGTTCTACTGGATCTGAGCGCTGCCTTTGACACAGTAGATCACACTATTCTTTTAACTCGCCTAAAAGACCTCGGCCTCTCCGGTGCTGTTCACAGATGGGTCACATCCTACCTCACAGACAGAACATTTATGGTGAGTGTAGACACATGCTCCTCCAGGGTCCATAAAATCACATGTGGTGTGCCCCAGGGCTCCATTTTAGGCCCTGTGCTTTTTAACTTGTACATGCTCCCTCTTGGTGGTGTCATCAGGAGACATGGAATCAACTTCCACAGCTCTGCAGATGATACGCAGCTTTACATCTCCATGTCTCCTGATGACACCAGACCAGTGGATGCCCTTTTTAACTGCATTCTAGAAATCAAATCCTGGATGGCAGAAAACTTTCTCCAGCTTAACCAGGACAAAACTGAGGTTTTAGTCATTGGTCCTGAGGCCCAGAGAGAGAAACTTTTACCCAAACTACAAACACAGTCTTTTAACCCTTCTCCTCAAGTAAAAAACCTGGGCGTCATTATTGACTCTGAGAAGACTTTTATTCCACACATTAAGAACATCACAAAAATTGGTTTCTATCACTTAAAAAACATAGCCAGAGTCCGCCCCATTCTCTCTCTGGCCAACACAGAGACGCTGATGCTTTTATCACCAGTCAAATAGACTACTGTAATGCCCTGCTCTGTGGTCTTCCCAAAAAGAGTATTTCAGGTTTACAATTACTACAAAATTCAGCAGCGCGTGTCCTGACGAGGACCAGAGGGCGGGACCACATTACACCGGTTATAAAATCACTGCATTGGCTCCCTGTGAGTTTCAGGATCGATTTTAAAGTTCTTTTACTGGTTTTTAAATGTCTTAATGGTCTTGGGCCTTCTTATCGTTCAGAATTGCTTTTACCCTACGAACCCTCGTGGACCCCGCTCCTCCGGCAGCAGGCTCCTGCTCATTCCCAAAGTCAGGACACACACTCACGGAGAGGCGTCTTTTCAGTACTGTGGCCACCGTCTATGGAACTGCCTGCCGGAGGAGCTCAGGGCTGCAGAGAACATTCATGTTTTTAAGAGCAGGCTCAAGACCCACCTTTTTAGCTTAGCTTTTGAATGAAATATCATATTTTTGTACTTGTTTCTACTATACACATTTTAATTATATTTATTTATTTTAGGCTTATTTTTAGGATATGCAGTGTTTCCTCTGTAGGAGCCTCTGCATCAGGAGCAGAGGTTGGCTGTAGCTGTCGGGTCTGTCCTGTGGGCTCCTGGTGGAGGGTTGGTGCTTGGGCTTCATCTCTCCCCTGGCTCCTGTGGTGGTTCCTGGTGGTGGTGGACGTCTCTCTGCTCCTGGTGTAGACGGCTCCTCTGATGGTGCTTTCTCAACTGGTTCACCTGGATTCAGCCTCACATTTTACTATGTGTCGTTTTATGTATTTTAGCGGGTTAATGTGTGTGTGTATGTGTATGTGTGTGTGTGTGGGGGGGGGATCATCCACATTCCTGGACACTTGATACTTGATACCTGCCTCCACACAGGGATTTACATGTGCCTCAAGCTACCTCCGCTCTAAGCACTTTAAGCACCGATTTGGGGGGGGGGATTGTTTTTAATCTGTGTAAAGCACTTTGTGTTACATTTTTGTATGAAAAGTGCTTTTGATTGATTGATTGACTGACCTATGGAAGCTGTAATCATGGTACCAGAAGAAAATTTTCCTGAAGCAAAGTAGTTTGGCCTATTGAATTTTGATCTCTAAATCTCAAGCCAATGGACAGAGAAAGAATTGGAATTAATATTGATTTATAAATGTGATTGTAAATGTGAATATACTTTTATTTGTGTAAAACTGTTAATGGTTCATAATATGTAACGTGAGAGCAGTGTCACAAAACCCCCACACAACTTAAGCAAGGCACTTTCCTCGCCTCATCCACCCACATATTTCCAAATTTTAAATATTTGCTTTTTTGCTGCCAATAGTCTTCATTGATTGATTAACTTTAATAATTCTTGTTAAAGCCAAACTCACAAAGGCCATGTGAGTGCTGCTTTAACTTAGAATTCTTAAATTACAATCTGTAATATCAATTACTCCTCCTTTAACTAAGGGACCCCCTTGCCTTAGTCTCACTGCATACTACTACTACTACTACTACTACTACTACTACTACTACTACTACTACTACTACTACTACTACTACTACTACTACTACTACTACTACTACTACTACTACTACTACTACTACTACTACTACTACTACTACTACTACTACTACTACTACTACTACTACTACTACTACTACTACTACTACTACTAGTACTACTACTACTACTACTACTAGTAGTACTACTACTCCTCTCACTTATGAACTGTCCTGTGGTGTTGTCCAGATCAGAAGACCCAGACGAGTGAAGGAGAGACCATCCCTCAGACTGAGAAACAGAAACAGGAGGTGAATGTGACAGAGCTTCTGTCCATCATCAGCAAACTGAAGGAGGAGAACCAGCAGCTCAGGGCCGAGCTCAACAGCTCCAAAGGTACAAACACCGAGATGATGGACCAAAACACCAAAACACGTTAAATAAAACACCGTTAAGATCATTATATTTAAATTTGGCTACTTTTTAGGTTTCATATTTTTCTTCCTGGTTGGAAATCATGACATCAGTCTAGAGAATTCCATAACTGTTTCCTAGCAACCATGTAGTAATCCTCTAATGTACACATAGATTATGATTTCACAAAAACACATTTAAGGCCTATTCATACTTCATAAGAACATAAGAACTTTGTTCTTTGTTCTTTTGGTGATAAGAACAAGAACAAACTTTGTTTGAGATGTTCTGCTGCCGAACTGCCCCGCCCCCTCGCTCTTTTTTATGGTCACCCACTTTTGGCTTTGGCAAACTTGTCACAGAGATTACGCCAGACTTTTCTACACTGATTTTCATCCAAGCCTAAAATGTTCACGATCTCCCTTCAATGAATTTCTTGCCATTTGGCGTCTTTAGTCACTGAGCGTCGTGTTGTACAGATGTTTGTATTTTCTCACCATTTCCTCCAGCTGTGACTCAAAACCACCCTTTTTTTTTCTTGCTCTGCACTGGCGAGGAAGCAAATAAACCACGCCCACATAAATAACCAATCAGCGTGAAGATGTGGAACAGTGCTGCCAAACTGCTGAACAAAGTTCTGCTCAGCTGAGGTGTCGAGAACAAGTCACAAGAACTGCCCAACAGGAGCTGGCCCTGGGTGCAAGAACATTTTTATGTTCTTATGAAGTATGAATAGGCCTGCACTTTATTGAAATAATGTTCCTCTCAAGTAAAACTCTCCACTTCCTGTCATTTTCAACAGATTTCCCAACAGGTATTATCCCACTGAATTAAACAGAAACACGTACAGGGCAGGGTTCTTTGGCTCTGTAATATTTAATACAGATGGAGGGAAATTTAAAATAATAATGAGTCTTGTCAGTGAAAGAAATCACCAAGTTCAACATTTGTGAATTAATCTTTTGAATTTATCTTTTGTTCAGCCCTCCTTTGCTCTTCACTTCAGTGCCCTGTACGTCATGTTTTCTGTCCAATCCTCATGTACGTCTCTTCTGGTCCTTTCAGCTGTTCAGACCCTCTCTCCTCCTCTTCAGTGCCCTGCCAACTGGTTGCCTTTCAGTGGCAGTTGTTATTTTATCTTCCACATGACCAAGAACTGGGAAGAGAGTAAGATGTTATGTGAAAGGCTTGGCGCCCACCTCGCCATCATCAAGAGCAAAAAGGAGCAGGTAACAGCGCTGAAGAGCACAGCTATGAAGCCAATGCTCAACACGTAATATTCATGAATAGATGTGGTGTTGTGTTTGGGGCATAGGCCTGTTTTAGTGCTGTTTTAATCTTAGTCTAGCCCTGGTGGCATTTAAAATAAAATATTAAATCAAACTGTTAAATCGATCAATCAGCATAACTTGATTTTTCACTGAGGGATGATTGAAGCACATTGAGCAGTAAATAAGGCAAACAAAAGTCTCAGTGCAGTTTAACTGTAGGACTGGTCAGGTAGGGTCAGGTGTGTGTATCTCTGTCAAACTATAGGTAGTCAAAACTGTAGCACTGATCTTTCTACAGCCTGTTATCTATCAGTATAGTCTGTGGAGTTTGCATGTTCTCTCTGTGTCTGGGTGGTTTCCGCTGGACATTCTCTTGTCCCCATCAACTCAAAACATGCACAATAAGTCAAATCCTGACCAAGACTAGCTGAAGATCTGGAGATGATTTCTGGGTGTTCAGCAGCAGCTCCAGTTTGCTCCAGTGCTCTGTTTGAAGGATCACGCTCAAAATGTAGAGGAGGAATTTCTCTAATGAGAGACCAGTAAAGTACAGTACCTGATCTCTCTCTCCTCGCTCTCCCTCTTCTCTATTTTTACACTCTCTTTCTCTCTCCCTCTCCTCTTTCTCTCACCCTTCTCTCTTCTCAGGACTTTCTGTGGAATATTATTCCTCGTGGTTACCCGAACTTGTTCTGGATTGGCATCACAGACGCCGACAGCGAGGGCCAGTGGAAGTGGGTGGACGGGACGCCGCTGGTCGAAGGGTGGGTGCTACACACACTATTAACCTCATATAGTAAACGTGCATTGCCTGGAATGTTCCACAGTATGGCATTAAACTAAAGTTCAAGTCTCTGTATCAGATTTTTTCTGTCTTAAAAAATGTGAAAAACAGGACTAGTTCATTTTACACAGTTTGCCGTGGTCCAAAGTTCTTCGTCACATCCTGTATGCTTTCAGACTCCAGAGTTTGTTTTGTTTGTTTGTCTGTTTGTTTTATGTGAACATTGACCTTTTCAGGACAAGGACGTTTAGCCCACGTCATGTTTATTCTGTGTGTGGAAACATGACCTGAAATCACTCATTCCTATCTGACATTTTTTTTCAGCTCAGCTCAGACTTGGGCTTTTGAGGAACTTTTGTCCAGATGCAGCAGATTCAGACTCTTTCTCTTTTGTCCACTCATTCTTTGTCATCCTTTTTTCACATTGTACAAATTAAGTAGATTTCAAACTTACATTAACCCTTGAACCAATGTGCATTCAAAAGTAACTAGTCATTGTGGTTATTTTAGTGCAAACTAGGTAAATATGTAGCTTTCTGGTCCAAAACATCTAAATCTAAGTTTACACTACTTTCAGTGACTGTTGCTATTTCAAGTACTATGTGACATCACACAGACACACAGAATTGGGTGTTTGTGCTTTCTAACACCTGGCTTCAGTGCAGAGTTTGACAGTGAATACTTGTTAGACCAATCACACGGTTCCTTTATTTTTTACAATTTTGATGTAGTTTATTTTATTTTATTTATTTATTTATTTATTTATTTTTAACCCTCTGAGACCCACAGTTGCAGAATTGCAACATTTACTTAGAGCTGTCTAATAGTGCCTCACATTGACTGAATGTAACAAAAAGTGCATATACCAGCACCCAACACTCCACTGGAGGGAAAATATGAATATTGGAGTGAATATGACACTCCAAAGCCTTCTACTGACCACCCAGCTCTCTCTTCTGGATACATTTTAACAATTGTTGAAGTAAGTAACAATCTGTGATCTTTTTTTCTTTCATTCTTAACATGTGTAGTGTTAGAAAAGTTAAATATATTTAAAAAAAAAGTATACTACATATCATTTACAGTGATTTAAGTAAATGTTGCAAAAACGCAACACTGGGTTACAAAGGGTGCCCTTTTTACACAGAGAATCCCTCACCCCTGAGTGTTGAGCCAATAGAACAGATGGACAGGTGTGTGTGTGTTTATAGTTGTGTACTATATAAAATTGTATCATTTTGAAATAGAATCAGAGAACAGTGATAGTGAGAACTGTTTCCAGTGCTGCTTTCATCCTTCCACATTGTGGATAACCTCAGTGTTACAGAAACAAGACAAACTTTGGAAGATTTGGCTATGGTTGAAGTCCTTCAGGGAGAAGTTTCTACAGATAGTGCTAGAAAAGCATAGTTAATACATTTTTATTTATTTACTATTATTTATTAATTAATTAATCATTGCATTGCATTTATATAGTGCCTTTCAAGATACCCAAAGTGCTTTACAGTTCATTATTCATTCACTCCATACTCAGTGGTGGTAAATTACTACTGTAGCCACAGCTGCCCTGGAGGCTGCCAATCGCCACCACCTGCCCTTCTGACCTCCACTGCACACACCACTTTCATACTAGGCAATGCGGGTAAAGTGTCTTGCAAGGACACAACAATGGGGTTTTTGCAACTGGCACCCCACTGTGACACCTGGAATTCACAGTGATCTCCCATCCAAGTACTAATCAGGCCCGGCCATTCTTAGCTTCTGAGATCTGACGAGATCAGACTTTGACAAGCCAGGATGGCCAAAACTAACTCCATTGAGGAAATGATGATTCCTTTCAAGGGAAGGTTCAGTAGAATCAGGCAATATATGCGTGGGAAACCCCATCCCTGGGCTTTAAGATGTGGGCAAGAACAGGAATCTCCGGCATGCTCTGTGACTTAGGTTTGAACCAAGGTAGTGTGCAGGGTAAGCCTGCTAGGTCTAGCACCAAACCATGGCCTAATCTTCCAAACTTTGTCTTGCTTCTGTTTATCCCTTACACTGAGGTTGTCCACAAAGTGGATGGATGAAAGCAAAGCACTGGAAAAGGTTACAAGGCATCAGCTATGGGGCCATACCATGTACTTAGTGCTGTTCTGTATTAAAAAAAAAAGTTGTTTTTTTTTGTTTTGTTTTGTTTTTTTCAATTAAATTCATTCATTTTTTTAAAACATGTTTTAATTTTATTGAGTGAGCAATAACTAATACAAAGTTGGCTTTTATTAAATGTGAAATTTGTAATATTTGTAACCACTAAAGCCCAATGTTGCAATTATGCAACATTTCCACAGATTCCTCAAAAAAAAGAACAAAAGAAAAAACTAATTATTTTCTGTATTAGAGACTTAGTACAAACATGTTAAAGAAGATTCAAATTTTTTTCATCCAGGAAATGAATGCTTGGGTCTCAGAGTTAAAACAAGGATAGTGCACAGAAAACATTCATCTCAGAGGGAAAATATGCTCTGTGCCAGATTTTAGCTACAAGTGATGAAGTTTATAATTTTACTTTTTTTTTTTTTTACCTGGGTGGAACCTGGTTGGACATGGGCAGCAGATGTGACATAATATTGCGTTCGTTTATCCATCCGACTCGGAGGTCTGAGGATGTTGCCTAGCGACATGCACTGACATGCCCCTTTTCCTCGGACGGCGGAAATCGGAACTTAGAAAGGCTCAGAGGAGACCGAGCAAACATTCTGAGTTACAGTCCAAGATGTTTTCTTGTGTTTAGACACTTTGGTGGTTTAAATGACAATTTCAGTCACTTATATTACTGTAGTACTTTACTGCATCTGTATCACTGCCTGTGGGTTTGGTCGTGTCCATATTTTTAGCCCATTTCCTTCTAACGTGCTGAAATAATCGACTATCAGGCAACACCAACACTTTCACTTCACTGATACACTGAATGATCCTATTTATACTGAATTATTCCTGAAGGTTGTGTAGTTGAAGCACAGACTTATTTTGGAGCCTGGAACTTGGCCAAAGGTGAAGAAACAACAGCTTTCCAGTTAGCCTCCATGTTTTTCTCCAAGTCGGACATACACAACATAATAAAACGGTTGGAGTGCTGACGTAACGTCATATCCGAGATCCGAGTGGGAGACGGATGGATAAATGAACGAAACATAGCGTTAGTTCTATAATTGTTATCTGGCAACCACCTATGTTTTATTAAATTAAACTTTAAAAAATGCCTTCCCTGTGCATAAATTGTCTTTGCATTTTTTCTCAAGTTTTCTTCACAAACTGCCATTTAACGGATTTGAAACTACGGTAAATATTGAGCACAGGTTCTATCCCACCAAACCAAATAAAAATTAGGAAAACATGAAAACCTGCCACATGCACTTTAAGTATTTTTTAATTGTGATGTGGTTTATTAATTGCCTTTCTCTGCTCTTGTCTCTGGTGAAGGTTCTGGGAGGAGGGGGAGCCCAATAACCATGGGGACGAAGACTGTGGATACATCATGAAGGCTGACCTTATAATCGCAGTATCCATTGCCAGCTGGTACGACGCCCCCTGCAGCAAGAATCTGCCCTTTATCTGTGAGTGGGAAGGACCAGGAACAACCTCCAACAGTCAAAACTAAAGAGCACCACCCAGACAGGAGCACACAATCTGAACTAGGAGTCTGCCTTTTATCTGCGAGGAAGAGTGAGCAGGAGCGTCCACCAAGAGCCTGAACTACACTGGAGCACCACCCAGAGTAAACCCACCAATCTGAACCATGCACCTGCCCATCATCTGTGAGCAGTGTTGGGGAGTAACAGATTACATGTACCAGCGTTACATAATCAGAGTACAAATTATGAGTAACTGTATTCGATTACAGTTACTGTTTCAGTGAGTGGTAATTGGATTACAGTTACTTTGTTGAAATAAGTGGATTACACTGCAATATTTTTTATTATTTAATTTTTTATTTTTTGTTTTTACATTTTGGGCTATTTTATTTTATTTTTTTCTGTAATTCCACTCATGACACTAAGCCAGGTCTAAACCAGGTCTAAAACTAGGTCTAAACCAGGACTAAAACAGGATTTAACAGGTCTAAACCAGGACTAAAACCAGGTCTAAACCAAGTCTAAACTAAGTCTAAACCAGGACTAAAACAGGATTTAACAGGACTAAACCAGGTCTAAACCAGGACTAAACCAGGACTAAAACCAGGTCTAATCCAGGTCTAAACCAGGACTAAAACCAGGTCTAAAACAGGTCTAAAACAGGTCTAAAACAGGATTTAACAGGACTAAACCATGCCACGTGGACCATGTCTCCTCCTCTTCTATCAATAAAGTTTTTTTAATATGGTTAAGGAAAGTCTGGGCTTTTTATTGTCTTTAAGCATGTTACTCACTTTAAGTACCTTAATGGATTCCATTACAAACTACATTTTGTGGTATGTAATCTGTAATCTGTAGGGATGTGGATACAATAGTATCTTACCACCACCAGGTATGGCGTGAATAAATAATGCTCTGTAAAGCGTCTTTGTCACAAACATCTAAAGTCTAAATGCTAAAAGTTCATTGAAATTCACAGATTTTTTTTTTTAATAAAAAGGATGACACAAATTGAGTTGAATAAATTATTTAAAATAGCTGTGAACATTTGGGATTTGATGCCAATATCTCTCACATATTTTGCACACATTTGCACAAACCCACTATATTGCCTGTTTTGCTTACAAGATACAAGAATGCATTTATTTAGAGCAACTGCTCAGGTGTATAGACTCTTATCAATATGCACAGACAAAGGTGTATGAAGACAACCGAGGTGCTATAGCCAAAAATCCAGTCAACAGGCACCAGTGCAAGAATACTGACATAAAATATCACTTTATTAGGGAAAATGTGAACAGTGGGAGGTTTATTTTGAAGTACTGTGCTACTGAGCAAATGTTTGCTGATGTACTGACAAAGCCAGCTACTAAGATCAAGTTAAGAAAGTTTTCAAGGGAGATTTGGTTTGGTATTTAAATGTGTTACTTTAAGAAAATATAAAAGCCTCATTCTGTTGTTTTGTTTCTCCATGTAGTGACATAAGAGTGAATATAATTGTAAATATAACGCTCTTATTAATGGTATTTGTAAAGGTTTGATTGGTTGAGCTTCCTTGAGGTGCCGTGTGACGTATGACGTAAGCACGCATTCTGTAAACACCGTGAAAACAAACAAACAAACAAACAAACAAACAGCTCTATGCTCAAAATGCAAATAAGAAAAACATACATATGCATGTTACCAACAGGGAAGTAGCCTAATGCAATCATCACTCCTACTCATCTATATTAGAAGAACCAGGTCTAGACCATGAGTCTCGTATAAAACAGACCTTTTCCATCACAGCAGGGGTGCTCCATGCAGATTTTACTCTGAAGGTCCAAAGCGGAACTGGACAATCCTATTTTCAGCACGGTCCTCTGGCGCATCTGGAGCCGGGAGGGGGGCACCGATGACGGAGGTGTAAAAGCGCGCTCCAGCTGTGGCTCCAGCGCAGACCGGACAGCGCTGCTCTCTCTGACCGCCTTTGAAACGCTCTCTCCTGGACTGCACCATGTCTGCGCCCGCGGGCCCAAAGATGTACTCTAAACTCATCACCGGGGAGCAGGGCCCCAGAGGTACGGGCAACATGCGCTCAGGTGTCGGGCTTATGTTTGTTGACACTTTACTGTTACAGCCAATTATACTCTCTTACAGCCTAGTTTAAACAAGCTACTTAATGGTAATTTTTGCTTTAATTTACCCAAGGACTTATTATTTATTATTATTATTATAATTTTTAATCTATGATCTGCAAGTAATTATCTTTTTATTCGCGTGACGTTTTCTAATGATTGCATAAGAGACGAGATCTGTAATTGCACAACAGACAAACAAATCTATTTGTGCATTTTAGTTTTAAAGGGCCAGTATTATGCTATTTTCTCGGGCCGGGCATGTTAACGCGTTAATATTGCATAAAAAACAAAAAAACAAAAACAAAAAAAATAAAAAAAAAAATGCAGTTTTTTATTATTTATTTACTTTTATTGTAAAGGTCTGTTGCTCACTTGCTTTTACTTTTGAAAAAGTCCACCGTGAGCGTTTCTTTATATTTGACTCTTTTCTTTACACTTTTTTCACTTCTGACCATGTGCGATGCAACGTGTCCGAGCCTCCGTGAGCCGCGGGCTCCAGCTCGGCCGGACCAGCCGTGTGCTCTGAGCTGAGCTTGTTTGTTTAGTTCAGTGCTGCAGGAGGAGTCACTGATTTACCCAGATACCATTGGAAGAAAAATTGTGATTGGTCCATTTCCATTCCATTGGAGCCTTCGGCGGCTGACCCGTGCAATTCAAGTCAATGTGGGGGTGAGTTTGAGTTTGACAGTTTTTTTAGCCAATCATATTTCATTGAGTTATGGGAGGGATCATATAACAAAATCTTCCGGACCTTCGTGAATACCCTGTTATAGCATATGTAAGCGAGACCACAGCAATGAAAACCGCACTGAATACCTCTATTTGGACGCGTCAGGGGCGGCTAGCAGCCCATGGAGGCTTGGAGCCTGCGGCTGGGCCGGAGCTAGGAGCCCACGGCTGGGCCAGAGTTAGGTGGAACGCAGGGACAACGTAAACAGTATGGAAAGAAAGTTCATGGAGAAGATGGGAGTGATAGCAAGGTAGACAGAGCCAACGCAACAACACTCAAATATTATGATGTCAATAAACCAGTCAACCTATCAGTGAATGCGAGTTCTGAAGGAATAGGAGCAGTCCTGCTGCAGGATGGACATCCTGTAGCATACGGATCAAGAGCACTTATGGACTGTCAGCAAAGGCACACTCAGATTGAAAAAGATCTCCTTGCTATTGTGTACAGCTGTGAAAATTTTCATCAGTACGTTTATGGAAAAGACATTCAAGTGGAAAGTGACCACAAGCCGTTGGAGAGCATCTTCAAAAAGTCACTGCACAAAGCTCCCATGAGGCTACAACGAATGCTTCTAGAGGTGAACATGATTACACAGCAATTACCAATGTTTGAGGAAAAAACTACACACATTTCAAAAAGCTACAGCAGAAGACACAGAAATGCAGTTACTCAAAGACATGACACTAAAAGGTTGGCCAAATGAAAGGCATGCAGTACCAAAAGACATTTTGACATGTTGGACATTTAGGAATGAGATCACATACACATCAGGACTGATGTTCAAAGCTGCAAAGATCATTGTCCCTTCTCAGCTCAGACAAGAAATGCTTGAGAAAACACACAAGTCACACCTAAGAGTAGTGAAATGTAAAGGAAGAGCTAGAGACATTTTGTATTGGCCAAACATGTCATCAGACATTGAGCAAATTATATTAGCATGTGTAGTGTGTAACCAACACAGAAATAGCAATCCAAGAGAGCCACTACTTTCACATCCAATACCCAGCAGGCCATGAGCGAAAGTAGGCACTGATCTCTTCCACTACAATAGATCTGAATGTCTTTTGTGTGTGGACTACTTTTCAAAGTTCCCAGAACTCATGAAGCTGAAGGACAATACTAGTTCCAGTGTTATAGTGGCTATAAAGTCAATGTTTGCCAGGCATGGTATACCTTATGTGCTAATATCAGATAATGGTCCTCAGTATGACCGGAGCAGGAGCTGTGTTCACATTGCCGGCAGTAAGTCAGACCTGTTCTCGGTGCATGTTGGACTCCGCCAGGGCTGCCCTTTGTCACCGGTTCTGTTCATTGTATTTATGGACAGAATTTCTAGGCGCAGTCAGGGGCCGGAGGGGGTCCGGTTTGGGGACCACAGGATCTCATCTCTGCTGTTCGCAGATGATGTTGTCCTGATGGCTCCATCAAACCAGGACCTGCAATGTGCACTGGGGCGGGTTGCAGCCGAGTGTGAAGCGGCTGGGATGAAGATCAGCTCCTCCAAATCGAGGCCATGGTCCTCGACCGGAAAAAGGTGGCTTGCCCTCTCCAGGTGGGTGGAGAGTCCCTGCCTCAAGTGGAGGAGTTCAAGTATCTCGGATTCTTGTTCACGAGTGAGGGGAGGATGGAGCGTGAGATTGACAGGCGGATCGGTGCAGCGTCGGCAGTGATGCGGTCGCTGTATCGGACCGTTGTGGTGAAGAGGAGCTGAGTCGAAAGGCGAAGCTCTCGATTTACCGGTCAATCTACGTTCCTACTCTCACCTATGGTCATGAGCTCTGGGTAGTGACCGAAAGGACAAGATCGCGGATACAAGCGGTCGAAATGAGTTTCCTCTGCAGGGTGGCTGGGCACTCCCTTAGAGATAGGGTGAGGAGCTCAGTCACACGGGAGGAGCTCGGAGTAGAGCCGCTGCTCCTCCACGTCGAGAGGAGCCAGTTGAGGTGGCTCGGGCATCTGTTCCGGATGCCTCCTGGGCGCCTCCCTCGGGAGGAGGCCACGGGGAAGACCCAGGACACGCTGGAGGGACTATGTCTCTCGGCTGGCCTGGGAACGTCTTGGGATCCCCCTGGAAGAGCTGGAGGAAGTGTGTGTGGAGAGGGAAGTCTGGGAGGCCCTCCTCAGACTGTTGCCCCCGCGACCCGACCTTGGATTAGCGGAAGAAAATGGATGGATGGATGGGTCCTCAGTATGCCAGTGCTAATTTTAAAAAGTTCGCAGAAAACTGGGAGTTCAGACACATCACTTCCAGTCCCACACATGCTCAACTTGTATGACTGTACAAACTATAAAGAATCTGCTGAAGGAAACAGAGTGCAGCAGAGGCGACCCCTACATTTCACTTTTGGAGTGCTAGAAAATGTAAGACTATCCTCAGCACAGTTGCTAATGGGATGTAGGCTGAACGGAAAACTGCCTACTTCAACATCTCTACTCACTCTGGATGGATCTGACGAGGTTCATCAGCAGCTGAAAGAAAAAAAGAAACCATATTTTGACAGACAAACAAGGACACTGCCTGATTTGCAAGATGGAGAAAATGTTTGCATGCAACCAGGAGAATCATGGCAGCCAGCGGTGGTCCTGCACAAACAAGAGCAGCCACGTTCATTTGCTGTTCATACACCTAATGGTAGGGTGTACAGAAGAAACCGGAAACATCTACATAAAACAGAGGAGAAGACATTCACAAAAAAACGGACAAGACACTAATCTGGAAATGGACTCTCAAATACAAAGAAGCGATGCCAAGACTTTCCAAACTGATTCACCTGATCAACATGTTGATGCACATGATTCACAGATAAATGTTAATGCTGATGCAGTCTCATACCTAACAAGATCTGGCAGAGCAGTAAAACTACCTGCTAAAGACAAAGAGTAATGTGAATGTATTATTGTGCTTAATTTTGATTTCAGATTGTTAATATTAAGGAGGTTCTGAGTTACAGGCAACATCTCCAGCATTTTATTTTGTTAAAATGAAAAAAACTTGTACTGTTGGTTATAAGGGTACCTTGAAAAAAAGGTGTACTGTAATAATTATACTTGAACATATAACTTGTTAAAAAAGAGAATGTGATTTATTATTAGTACGGCATCCATAGGATTACGAGCTGTGTAGCTGTTCCTAAGGTGTTATATAAAAGTTTAAATTGTTAAAATGATCGATGTTCATGCCTTCTAAATATAACAGTTACCCCCTTTCTACTGGGGTCTGACAGGCGTCTTCTGTGATGCTGTTTAAATCCAGGCTCAAAACATTTCTGTTTAACTGTGCATATAACTGAAAGGTTTTCATTCCGCACTCTTCTCTCCAATTTATGTCTCTCTTTTTTAATTTTAATCTTCATGATTATTTATGTTTTGATTTGTTTTTATTATGATTTTAATGTATTTCTTATTCTGTAAAGCACTTTGAATTACTTTGTGTACGAATTGTGCCATACAAATAAACTTGCCTTGCCTTGATTCTCTGTTGTCTTGTTTTTTGTTTTTTTTTTAGCTCTCTTTGTTTTATTGAAAACCCATTTTGGTTATCCACACACAGAGAGGGCTTTCTGCACATGATGTTCTTCTTTCTTCATTCCCTATGTGCTTGTAAGAACCTGTAGGAACTTGTAGAAGTCCTGCACAAATATAAATGGCCTGTGGGCTTGTAAAAAGGCCTATCCTTTGGTTGAAGTGTATTTAGTGCATCTGAACATGTAAACTATTCTACATAGGACTTTATGACCACAGTAATCAGTTAGAAAGCTGTACGTCTCTGAGTAGATTTCAGACCTCATACTTTTAGTCCTTTTGGAGTAATATATTCAACAGTGTAACAGTACTCTTAAAAGCTTTACTCTTCCCACTGTGAGTAACAGGAGTGAAATATTGATATATCATATCATTTAATGTGATGTTACATTATTGATATCATGGGCTGCTGTATTCATATGTCATCAAGAGTGTTTTTTGGTTTATTTTACAAAATTATTTTGTTACAGCTACAGTTTTTTTTTTTTTTTTTATTTAGAGAAAGGAAACGTTTATGCAACACATTTGACATTTTCACACAATGTCCACCACCCCGGCTCTGCTCTGTTGCTTATCCACCACCACTATGTCTGGTTGGTTCGTCATCACCATCAGGATCTTGGCTCGGTCATTCTCCACAACCTTTGGAGGTGTTTACCACCTTGATTTGGGTCTCCACCCCGTACTCTGCACAGATGTTTCTGTACACTATGCCCACTTGATTATGTCACTCTATGTTTGCTTTCCCTGCAGCATCTTACACCCTGCAGTTATGTGCTGGACTGTCTCAGGAGCCTCTTTACACAGCCTACACCGTGGGTCTTGTCTGGTGTGGTAGATCTGGGCCTCTAGTGCTCAGGGCCTGCTCCTGAGCAGCCAGGATGAGCCTCTGTGCTGCCCTTCAGACCCTCTCAAGCCACTGGTAGGATTTCTTGATATCAGCCACTTCAGTTATGTTCCGGTGGTACGTCCCGTGTAGGGGCTTGCCCTGCCACGATGGTTCCTCCAGCACCTCTTCCTCTGGACCCCACTGTCTGATACATTCTCTGAACACGTCATCTGTTGGGGCCTTGTTCTTGATGTACTCATGGAGCTTAGATGTTTCATCCTGGACAGTGGTTCCCACACTCACTATTCCTCGGCCTCTTTTCTTCCGGCTCGCGTACAGTCTCAGGGTGCTGGATTTGGGATGGACTCCTCCAGTTGAGCTGACTTCTTAGGGCTTGTCTCACTCATTGCAGTTATTTGGCCATAGCCACTTTCCTTGTTGTCTCTTCGAGGTTGCCATTTGCTTGTGGGGTACCAAGGTACTTGTAACTGTCCTCAACATCTGCTATTTTTCCCTTTTTGAGCCCCTCTGTGTGGACTGCCTTTCCTCTCTTTGTCACCATCCTACTACATCAATGCCGATGCTGCACCGATCCACCTGTCAATCTTACGCTCCGTTCTCCCCTCACTCGTGAACAAGACCCCGACATACTTGAACTCTTCCACTGAGGCAGGGACTCTCCACCCACCCGGAGAGGGCAAGCCACCTTTTTCTGGTCGAGAACCTCGGACTTGGAAGAGCTGATTCTCATCCCAGCCACTTCACAGTTTGCTGCAAACCACCCCAGTGCACATTGCAGGTCCTGGTTTGATGAAGTCAACAGGACCACATCATCTACACATTATCAAATCATTCAGTTTAAGCAAGTTGGTGTGAATAAACAATGTGCAGCTCATATTTAATAATGCCTTTAATAAAATGTGCTTTTAAGCGCCAAAACATTGTTTTGTTAGTGGTCCCAGACTGCTACACATTCAGACTTATCGTCGGCATCTAAAGGGTTAACCTTTTCCAAGTGACTGACATTTAGCTCTCGACCAATGAGCTGTTCTTAAGCTGCGCACTCATCCCGCCCCATGGCCCCACATGCGTGCAGCATGGATCTGTTAAAATAACTGGATAGGGTATTGCTGCTTGTAGCTGCCGCCAGATGATGTAGTGGTCTCTTACTGGTCTCTTACTGGTACTAAGGATTTTTCTCATAGAGCACAATGTAATCATGGACTACTCGTGTTCGGCTGACAGGGCACCTTCAACTTTCAAAAATGTCGGATTTTGTGGTAATTTTTACCTATCTGTCTCAGATCAAAATCCTTCAGTTGTCTTAAAAAACGCTTTATAATCGTTAGCTCCAGGTACGCTCTGCTTCGCTCTACTTCCTCTCTCTGTGATTGGTCAAAGCGATCACGTGATACACGAGACCGCGCTCTGTGCATGTCATGGATCTATTAAAATAAGTGGATAGGGTATTGCTAGCTTGTAGCTGCCTCCAGCTGATGTAGTGATCACTCACTGGTACTTCCGCAGAAAAAATCTCATGGGCTGATTGAGGATTTTTCTTGTAGAGCACAATGTAATCACAATCTGCTCGTGTTCTGCTGACAGGGCACCTACAATTTTCAAAAATGTCAGATTTGCTGGCAATTTTTACCTATTTTTAGACCATAAATCTTTTCTCCACTCAAAATCCTTCAGTTGTCCTAAAAGAACGTTTTATAATCGTTAGCTCTGGCTCCACTCTAGCTCCGCTCTAGCTCCTCTCGCTCCGATTGGTCAAAGTGATCACGTGATAGACAAGCCCGTGCTTCATGTGTGCGCTTGCGAGCCTTCGCTTGTGCCTGTAGAATAAACACAAAATAACACAATAACACAAAATACATTTGTGTCATCTGCGAATAACACTGTTTTAAACAATGAAGACACTTTGCATAGATCATTAAAATATACAGTAAATCATTTAAGTCCTAACACAGACCCTTGTGGCAGGCCACAAACAATGAACTCAGAGACACTGAAGGGTGTCTACAGGGACAATAAAACCTGTGCCGCCTTTACACAGGCAAGACACTAAATTAAACTGCACTATGGCTTTTCTAGTTGGGGTCGTTGGGGTGTAATGAGTACGCATAAGATACATGAAGTATTGAGTGGACAGAAGTTATACAGGGACATTATTTCATAGCAGTTTATTATCTACTTATACAACTTGTATTGTGATATTTATGGGACTTCTTATTTTTGTTTTGTTCATTGTTCATTTTGTGTTTCTCCAGTCTCTCCGTCTGCGGCTGGTCGGCCACAAGGAAGATCTGCTCCTAGTCCCGGTCTTAGTCCTGGTCGGGGTCCTGGTCTATACAAAGCCTCTACCATGGCTCTGGCTGCTCTGTGTGTGATCCCGCTCATCTTCGCCAGTGGTCTGCCTACTCACAGTGAGTACTTGTACTATCACAACTACTGGTACTGAGTCTGCAGAATGATGCAAAAAAATAATGACTGAAAAAGGCAGTGAGGAGAGGAAGTCAAACTTAAAACTATCACTTAAGGAGATTTGTTCAAAATATTTCCTCTTTCATAAATGTCTTCATCAATTTCACAGATTCAGCTTTTACTGAGTGTCCACATTTCATCATACTTCAAACAAAACAACAAGAGTCAGATCCTCTTTTGTTACGTAAAGTGTTCTGAGGCCAGGATCTGACTCACTGTTAAACTTCTTCTATTAAAGGTGCATTGTGTAACTTTTCTGGTGGAGGGTACATCAGATGTTTCTCCATGGAGATGTTATTGCTTTGTCTGGAATGTTTCACAGTATGGCATTAAAGCTTTCTATCTTCATGCAGACCAAACCAGACCAAGTTACAGGTCAGGTTGTTCTACTAGGTATTTTTGAGCTATAAAACCATCTATAATTGAATAAATAAAAAGAAGAGCTGTTTAATGTCACACTGTGGAACATTCCAGGCAGAGTATTGACGTATCCATAGAAACTAGAAGGTGATGGACCCCCAACCAAAAAGTTACATGTTAAATCTGGAGTTGGAGTTTAATGGCACTTACTCAAATTAACCCACACCCAAGGCACCCAAGATTCTGCAGTGTCAAAATTTCAAGAGCTTTTGATGCTACTACTACTACTACTACTACTACTACTACTACTACTACTACTACTACTACTACTACTACTACTACTACTACTCTGACTTATGAACTGTCCTGTGGTGTTGTCCAGATCAGAAGAACCAGACGAGTGAAGGAGAGACCATCCCTCAGACTGAGAAACAGGAGCAGGAGGTGAATGTGACAGAGCTTCTGTCCATCATCAGCAAACTGAAGGAGGAGAACCAGCAGCTCAGGGCCGAGCTCAACAGCTCCAAAGGTACAAACACCGAGATGATGGACCAAAACACCAAAACACGTTAAATAAAACACCGTTAAGATCATTATATTTAAATTTGGCTACTTTTTAGGTTTCATATTTTTCTTCCTGGTTGGAAATCTTGGGGTGATAAGAACAAGAACAAAGTTTGTTTGAGATGTTCTGCTGCAGAACTGCCCTGCCTCTTTTTTATGGTCACCCACTTTTGGCTTTGGCAAACTTGTCACAGAGATTATGCCAGACTTTTCTACGCTGATCTTCATCCGAGTCTAAAATGTCTGCGATCTCCCTCTGTGAATTTCTTGCCATTTGCTGTCTTTATAGTCACTTACCGTCGTGTTGTACAGATGTTTGTATTTTTTCACCATTTCCTCCAGCTGTGACTCAAAACCATCCTTTTTTCCCCACTGTTCTCCCGCCCATTCAAACTGGGGAACAAAGGTCCAAACCCAGACTCCTGAATGAGCGGGGAGTAGCTCCGGTGCAGGCCAGGCTCTGATGAGCTGGAGCACAAAGTGGTATTCGGTTTCTCGGATGAGAAGCGCTTTCCCCAGGAAGAACCAAGTGCACGAAGGATGGACCACTCATGACAAGATATAACCAACCAAATGGGATTCGCGCTTCTGTCTGGATGTTTTGCACCACCTCGGAACCAGCTGCAGTCCTTGAGCACAGAGGACAGGAGCAGCCCCCCTGGACCTTGTAGTCCACAGCGCATTGTCACATGTTTTTTTTTTTAAAGCGGAATTAATTTGTATTCCAAATTATTATTATTAATTATTTTTAATTGGAATTAAAGCTCTCATGTAAACAAGTGTAGTGTACAGAAAATTCCTCTTTCCTGTAAGTAGTCACAGCAAGTTAAGTACTTAAGTTTTCATTCATGGAACTCATGTTGTGAAACTGTGCCAATGAATCAGTCAGTTCCTCAAATCTGAAATATTTAGGAAGAAGTTCATCTTGGTAAAACCATGGAAACCGATTGCCTTGAACTGAGCAAGTAAATACTACTCATATGCACAAGTGAGAGTAAAAACAGGTTCTATTCTACAATAATGCCATTTAGATCTGCATCAGATACAAGGATTTGAATATTTATTAGCAGCAAAACTTTTCAGTTCAGTTTAAGTTCAAAACACATTGTATCATGTGCAACAAATAAAATAATAAAGCTCAGATTGAATGAGGATGTAGAGACTGAATAAACAGAGGGAGGATGTAGAGACTGAATGAACAGGGAGGATGTAGAGACTGAATGAACAGAGGGAGGATGTAGAGACTGAATGAACAGAGGGAGGATGTAGAGACTGAATGAACAGAGGGAGGATGTAGAGACTGAATGAACAGAGGGAGGATGTAGAGACTGAATGAACAGAGGGAGGATGTAGAGACATCCTGGGATGAGTCGGGAATGAGTGGCGGCTGTAGGAAAAACAGGTAGGTAGAAAAGGAGGAATAGGAACAGGAAAATGGAGCTGGACTCTTGACTTTAACACGTCACTGTTGAAGTTACTCATCTCATTCAAGGTGACCTCAGTCTAACTGACAAGTCATGTGCTTTTTTCACCTAGAAAGTAACTGTTACTTTATCACAATCATTCAACATCAAGATCCACAAATTTGTAGCTGTGAGTGACGTAAATGAGCTGAATGCAAGTGAACCTTAGTGTTAGATTTGACTGTGTATGATGCAAAATTGACTGTTGCTGTTGTCTCCTCAAACACTTACCTCAAGTCATGTTTTGTTTTATTTGCATGTTTTCGTTCTATTCACATGTTTTTGAGTAACCAGACTGTCTACACCTCCAGTGCTCAAAATGTTCTGTTGCACCTTGTGATGTTAAGAACAGAAAAATGTTACCTTAAGATCAGTAGAGGTTGACAATTCCAGGTCGGAAATCACGCAAATGACCCTAATGAAGGTGAATGGAGTTTTAAAAGACATTCTCTCCTTTTCCTCTCTCTCCTCTCCCTCCCCTTCTCCTCTCGCTTCCTCTACTTTTTCCCTTTCTCCTTTCACTAGCCTTCTCCTCTCTCTCTTTCCCTCTCCTCTCCTCTCCTCTCTTTCTCCTTTCCCTACTTTTCTTCTCTCTCTTTTCTCTCACCCCCCCACACACACACTCTTTTTCCCTCTACTCTATCTCTCCTCTTTCTTTCCCTCTGCTCTGTCCTGTCTTTTAAAAGACAGTGGAGCACTTCCTGTATTACCACATGACATCACAAGGTGGAACTCAGCCTAAATGTGCAGGTTTTGTGTGTGTCTGTTTAAGTTTAGGGTGATGGTGTTCGTGTTATAAAGGCATTCACTTTTTATGGTTTATCATTTATATTTTCTTCAGCAGTACTAACTCAAACTTCAAAATGTGTGATGGTGACAGACCCGGTGCCCTGTCCGACCCTCATGTATGTCTCTTCTGGTCCTTTCAGCTGTTCAGACCCTCAGTCCTCCTCTCCAGTGCCCTCCCACCTGGTTGCCTTTCAGTGGCAGTTGTTACTATATCTCCGGACAGGCTCTGAGCTGGGAAGGGAGTCAGAGTTTCTGTGAAAGCCAGGGCGGCCACCTCGCCATCATCAAGAGCAAAAAGGAGCAGGTAACAGCGCTGAAGAGCACAGCTATGAAGCCAATGCTCAACATGTAATATTCATGAATAGATGTGGTGTTGTGTTGGGGCATAGGCCTGTTTTAGTGCTGTTTTAATCTTAGTCTAGCCCTGGTGGCATTTAAAATATAAAATCAAACAGTTAAATCAATCAGCATAACTTGATTTTTCACTGAGGGATGATTGAAGCACATTGAGCAGTAAATAAGGCAAACAAAAGTCTCAGTGCAGTTTAACTGTAGGACTGGTCAGGTAGGGTCAGGTGTGTGTATCTCTGTCAAACTATACGCAGTCAAAACTGTAGCACTGATCTTTCTACAGCCTGTTATCTATCAGTATAGTCTGTGGAGTTTGCATGTTCTCTCTGTGTCTGGGTGGTTTCCGCTGGACATTCTCTTGTCCCCATCAACCCAAAACATGCATGATAAGTCAAATCCTGACCAAGACTAGCTGAAGATCTGGAGATGGGTCCTGGGTGTTCAGCAGCAGCTCCAGTTTGCTCCAGTGCTCTGTTTGAAGGATCACGCTCAAAATGTAGAGGAGGAATTTCTCTCACGGGAGACCAGTAAAGTACAGTACCTGATCTCTCTCTCCTCTCTCCCCTCTTTTCGCTCTTCTCTCTTCTCTCTTTTCTCTTCTCAGACATTTCTGTGGAACCTTATTCCTCGTACTGACCGGAGCGAGTTCTGGATTGGCCTCATAGACGAATTCCCTCCGGATTTGTGGTACTGGGTGGACGGGACGCAGCTGGTTGGAGGGTGGGTGCTACACACGTTATTAACCTCATATAGTAACTTTTTTGGAGGGAGGTACGCCATCTGCTTCTCTCCATGGAATCACTGTTGCATTGCCTGGAACGTTCTGCAGTGTGGCATCAAACTTAACTATCTTGCATTTATTCAGTTGCAGGTGTTTTATTGCTCAGTGTCTCCATGGAGATAGATAAGTTTAATGCCTTACTGTGGAACAATCCAGACAAAGCACTAATGGGGCCCAGTCAAGCAGAAGTAAACAGCAAGGCCAAAAATTCAAGTTAATGTATCTGATATAAAAATGTATTGAACAGATACATATGTACTGTTTATGAAACTGTTGACCTTTTTTCTGCACCATTTTTGGTTCTAAAGTTCCATACGTTTTAAACAGACCATGTATGAAACATGGAACAAAAATTATTTCCCAAATTTCAAAGACCTGAAAATCATGTCAATAAATGGATGTATTTCATCATATCTTGTGTTATTCCATCTTTTAACTGTTGATGAAAGTACTTAAAATGATAAAAATTTGCTTGGAAGGACTGACATATTTTATAGAAATAGTTTCCTTTCATTTTGAAGTAATATTAAAGTATTCAGAAGAAAAAAGTTGACAAATTATGCAAAATCCTGCACCTTCTACTTGTTTGCACAATTTTCCCTCCGTTACTTTTCCCTCCGTTACCATGACCTTTCTTAATAAAAAATCTCATTAGTCAAAAAGTAAGAGGTTTTTCAACCTAATCTTGTACCATATGGTAGAAAACTATATGAAGCAAATATTCAAACCAGTTTGTTAAGGATATGGAAGTGAGAACCAAGAGTTATCACTGTTTGTATTTATTGCCCAAAAAGTGCTGCATATTTCATTCCCTCTGTTACTCACATAAGTTTTAAAATTTTTTGACAACAACTTGAAAGAATATCACAGGTTTAACTTTACCCTGTTGGAGTGTTTAACTCTTTCCTACATTCTGATACTTTACTTATGTCAATAGTCCCTCTAGTTTCTGAATAAGAGACATTTGAATGTCAAAAATCTGCCCCTGTTTCCCTCCGTTACCACTTGACTGGACCCTAATATCTCAATGGAGACAAGCAGGTACCAAACTCTCCACCAGAAACGTTACAATTGCTCTTTTGTAACTATTAAAGACTGCAACTGGTTTGTGTGGAAGCCTATTTCTGCCAGTAAATAAAGAAATGAATAATAATAAATAAATTAGAAGCTTTCAAAGTTGACTCTAAACCTGCTCTCGCCATGCAGCACCTGGGCTGGTGCGACCATTTTCCTGGAGAAGCCATGTATGAACCCGCTACAAGTACAAATGTGCACTCATCTTACTAATTTACTTCACACTGTATCTAAATTATTTGCTATGCCATATTTTCATCACTGAGCAACCCAAAGTAGCCTATGCCAAGTGCCTCTGTGCCAACTGCCCAGCAAAGCTCATCAATTCGTGGTCAGAGCCAGGAGAGCGAGTGCACCCCATTTGGACTAAACCCACTACCATGGACAGAGTCACATAGATGGACACTTTGCACCTACTCATTCAATGTGGGATTTGTGTGGAAATCTCTCTTTCTTTTTCACAACATTCACAAGTTAACGAGGAAATGGAGCGCTGTGCAGACGTCCTGAGCACCTGGAGGACGACCCCTCCAGGAACATGACCGTGTGCTTCCATGAAAAGGGCAGATTTAGACTCAACTTTAAAACTCATAATTATGACTTTCTGTGAGCTTTTTATTTTTTTATGTACTTGTGGAAATGGGCTAATGTAATAATAATAATAATAATGATGATAATAATAATAATAATAATAATAATAATAATAATAATAATAATAATAATAATAATAATAATAATAATAATGCAATCTTAAATCATGCTAATTGCCAGATTTAGCTACAAGTGATGAAGTTTATAATTTTACTTTTTTTTTTTTTTTCACAATCCTGAGTTATATACCTCCACAATAGTTTTTTTTTTTTTTATCAACTTTTCTTCACAAACTGCCACTTAACTGATTTGAAAGTATTGTACATATTGAGCACAGATACTATCCAAATCAAATGAAAATTAAGACACATGACAACACAACCTGCCGCATGCACTTTAAATATTTTATTTTTATTGTGTTTTGATTTATTAATTGTCTTTCTCTGTTGTTGTCTGGGGTGAAGGTTCTGGGTGTCGACGGAGCCCGAACCCCAATACCCTGATGAATGGGGGCCCATGACTTCATTACCTATTCCTACTGGGGTACATGACATCATGCCCAATGACTGTGGATTCATCTCGAAGAAGTTGGAGACCAGAGTGGCCACTCGCAGCTGGTACCAAGCCCCCTGCAGCACGATTCTGGACTTTATCTGTGAGAAGAAAGTTCCAGGAGCAACCGCCAAGAGCCAAAATTAAAGAGCACCACCCAGACCGAAGCACACAATCTGAACTAGGAGTCTGCCTTTTAAAGAGTGACCAGGAGTGTCCACCAAGAGCCTGAACTAAACTGGAGCACCACTCAGAAGAACCCAACCAATCTGAGCCATGCACCTGCCCATCATCTGTGAGAAAGAAGAACCAGGAGGAGCCATCAAGAGCCTAAAATAAACCAGAGCACCACCTAAACTAGAGCACCACCCAGACGGAAGAACCACCCAGAGGAAACCAACTCATCAGAACCATGAGTGTGCCCTTTATCTTTATCTGTGGGAAGGAGGAGGCATGAGCAACCACCAAGAACCAAAACTAACTAAACCTGCCACTTAAACCAGAGCACCCAACCTGAACCAGCAGTCTGCCCTTCATCTGGGGCAAAGAAGAGCCAGGAGGAGCCACCCAAAGTGAACCAACAACCAATTTGAACCATGATTCTGCCCTTTATCTGTGAGGAGGAAGGGCCAAGAGCACCAACCGAGAGCCCAAATTATAGGCACCACCTAAACTAGAGCACCACCGAGACTGAAGAACCACCCGGAGGAAACCAACCCTCACAGAACCATGAGTCTGCTCTTCATCTCTAAGAAACAGGGGCCAGGAGCAAGCATCAAGAGCCCAAACTAACTCGACTAGAGCACCACCCAAAGTGACCCAGACTTCTCACTGAGAGAGAGAAATGTTTAATTTATAATATATTCATTTTACTATTTTAGAAACAAAACAGTCTCAAGTGAAATCTATATATTTGTTGTGTATTTTTGTACGAATTTGAACTTTTTTATAAATCACTTCAATGTTGAGGTGTTTAATCTGTGTATCATTCTTTCATTCATTTTTCAAAATAAAACCAAAAATAAGAAAACGAGAAACCAACTATTTTCTTCATTATTTGTCTCCAAAACCAAAATGGAAATGGCTTTTGTGTTTAAATTGGATTTTGTGTTTAAATGAATTGTGGAAAAAACAGATAACGGTTTTCCCGTTTCTGTGAGTTTGGCGAAACTGAACCAGGATTAAACTAGGTATAAACAAGTTCTAAAACCAAATGAATCAGGACTAAACCAGGTCTAAATCACAACTAAACCGGTCTCAGTCCTGGTCTCTGTCCTGATCACCCGACAGTCAGCGCAGGTGCAACTCCGGGCCTGTCCCAACACTCAATCCTGATGTAGTCCTGATTCAGTCCCGGTTCAGTCCTGATTCAGTCCCGGTTCAGTCCCGGTTCAGTCCCGGTTCAGTCCCGGTTCAGTCCCCGGTTCAGTCCCGGTTCAGTCCCGGTTCAGTCCCGGTTCAGTCCCGGTTCAGTCCCGGTTCAGCATCGCAGCTTAAATCACGGAAATAGGAAACGGCTGTTATCTGTTTTTCCCTTATTCATTTAAACACAAAATCAAAAACTGAAAAAACTATCTTTATGCGTTTTTTCATTTTGTTTCTGGAGACAAATAATGGACAAAATAGTTTTTTTTGTTTGTTTTGTTTTTTGTTTTGTTTTCTTATTTATGGTTTTATTTTGAAAAATGAATGAATGAATGACACATGGACTGTGGATGATGAAGTAATTTAAATGTGGGATTAACAACAAGCACTGAGCTCAACAGAAGTCAATTTCCCATTTATTTTTCCCATAAAATTCATATTCGTAAGGCTAATGAGCTGTGTGCTAGACCACAAAAGACCACAAAACCTATACTTTTATTTCAAATCTGTTTCTGAAACTTTATAAACTGACAAGTTATTAAAAGATTTCACTGAATCGTGTGTTTGAATGTGCGTATGTGAGTTTACATGTGAATTCTTTTTGAAAATGTTTGAAAAGTCTATGGGAAAAATTTATGATGTGCTCGATTGCTGTGTGTAATTTTTGTTTCTGTGAAATGTAAATGATGAATCAGATTTTCTATTTTTAAATGTAAAAATGTAAAAGTATCCGCCTCCTCCTCTCAGTAAGCGGTTGTGGGTTAAACTCCCGACCATATGTAGGAAATATTGTGTCCTCAAAGCTAAGACATTCTTCTAGGTTTTTCCAGAATAAAATTCACAGTTATAACACAACAAAGATGTTTTGGGTTTTTTTTTTTTGGTTAAATGCAGAATTCTATGTTTATTATAAATTTCCAGTTCAGTGTGATATTTTTTTTTACAGAAGAACTGCCACTGTCAAACGCTCCTAAGTCTTCACGTCTTCACAAATTCTTAAAAACAACATTATTTCATAAATAAATTAAATCATAAAAGACACTGTACAAGCTCTACGCCATTTTCAGCTATCAAAAATATTCCTTAAAATGTACAGATTTCTCTACAAACTGTTAAGTGTCATAAGATGATAGAAATCTAGCTATATTTCAAAAACTATGATTTTTGACACAAGTTTAGACCACTTAAATTCTGCTCATTTCTGCTATTATTTTTACATGTTTTATTATCCCCTTAGCAGCAAGTTTTTTTTTTAAACCTTGCGATTCATATACATGCAATTGGATTTAAGATTACAACAAAATTTCCCATGTAAATTATTCTATTAATTTTACATCTTTTCAAAAAAAAGTGCTAAAAATTCATTGAAAATTTGAAAATTTTCCCAGATTTTTTTTTTTTTTTTTTTATTACAAGGATGACACAAATTGAGTAGAATAAATGATTTAAAATAACTGTGACCATTTGGGATTTGACGCCGATATTGCTCACATGTTTCTCACACATTTGCTCGGAGAATGCAGAGGAGGAGCACACATTTTCGTTCACACACCTTTCTGCCTCTCTCCCTTTCCTCCTCTGCCTCCTCCTCTCTTTTTTGGTCATTTTTGGTGATATTTCTCCAGATTTTGGTGCTAACGTTGGCTCTTGGTGGTTTAGTTCCACAGTTTGAGGAAGCTGTCCCAGGAGCCGGTGCACACGCCCAAGCCGTCCTCTGGGACCCCGGTGCAGCTCACGCGGTTGTCGTGGCCGGACAAGACGCCTGGAATGAGGGAAAGGGAAAAAATCATGAATCCTCTGCTCCTCTGACCCTCTCCTCTGCATCTTCTGCTTCATCTGACCATCTCCTCTGATCCTCTCCTCTCATTCTCTGCTTCTCTGACCCTCTCCTCTGCTCCATCTGACCTCCTCTGACCATCTCCTCTCATCCTCTGCTACTCTGACCCTCTACTTTAACCTTCTGCTCTGTGTCCTCTGCTCCCTGACCCTCCTCAGTGCTCCTCTGACCCTCTCCTTTGCATCTTCTGCTCCTGTGACCATCTCCTCTGCTGCATCTGACACTTTCATCCTCTGACCCTCTCCTCGGCATCTTCTGCTCCATCTGACGTTCTTCTCTGACCATCTCCTCTGTGTCTTCTGCTCCTCTGACCCTCTGTTTCATCTGACCATCTCCTCTGGTCCATCTGACCCTCTCGTCCTCTGACCCTCTCTTCTGGTACTCTCATCCTCTCCTTTCATTCTCTGCTTCTTTGACCCTCTGCTCTAACCCTCTCATCTGCATCTTCTGTTCCTCTGACCCTCTCCTCTCATCCTCTCATCCTCTGCTACTCTGACCCTCTGCCTTAACCTTCTGCTCTGTGTCCTCTGCTCTCTGACACTCCTCACTGCTCCTCTGACCATCTCCTCTGCGTCCTCTTCTCCTGTGACCATCTCCTCTGCCGCATCTGACACTTTCATCCTCTGACCCTCTCCTCGGCATCTTCTGCTCCATCTGACGTTCTCCTCTCCATCTTTACCAACCAAATTCATGTCCTCTTACATTACATCTGATCAGTCTCTTCATTGGTTCTTATTCCTAACATCTGTAACATCAGGACCTTTAAACATGCCTCCTCTGTACCAATTATGCACTATTCTTCCTCTGTACCATAAACCGAACTTCAATTTTGTCTATGGAATATTAAAGATAAAATATAAAAGTATATAGTTTAACTGCAGCTTTAGTTTTCTCTGTACCATGGATTCATTGTTCCTCCTCTGTACCATATATTCACTCTCACTCTTCTGTACTGTATGTTCCTCCTCTGTACCACTGTCCCTCCTCTGTACCGTACATGACCAGGCCCCGTTATTCACTCACCGACTCTCTCTCCCTTGAGTGCGTCCCAGATGTGGCAGTTGAAGTCGTCGTATCCGGCGAAGATGAGCCTGCCGGAGCTGGACAGAGCCACGGAGGTGACCCCAGCGTTGAGTCCAGTGTCCTGGTACCCCAGAACCTCCTGGTCTGAGCGCAGGTCGTACATCTTACAGGTGGTGTCGTCAGAGCCGGTGATCACCACGTTTCCACTTGGGAAGAACTGAGGAGCAAAAAGGGAAACGGTCAGGTTAGGGGGCTCCACCATCACTTTTGGTTTTGTTGATTGTTTTTGTTTTTTACTTCCAAGGACCAAGAGTCAGGAAGCTTTTGCTGAGGTAGAGAGCTAACCACTCTGCCACACTGGTGTAGCTTGCAGAGGTTTCATTCTGTGTTCACAACATCTTTACAAAGATTGGTAAAGCTCAGTCTGGCTATGATTTATAGACTTTAAACTGTGACATAACAATCCTGGTTAAATACCGCTGATGTTTGGATGTTTCTGACAAGGGAGAAACAACTATAAACTGATTAAAAACAAAACAACAAAGATCTGTTAATATGTGTCCATACACTGTATATTCCAAATAAGTGAGCATGGTTACAATTCTGGCTGCAGTGATAATTTTCTTTCTATTGAGAAAACTTAATTTTGGATTTAAAATTCTTGTTTTAACCCTTTCTTTATGATCCTGCAATTTTGTCCCTAGATCAAGATATGAGCATTGATAAAAGACAAGTCAGTGTCATGGTGTTAATTTTCAATGAATTATTTTACTGTTCTTGACCTGGTTTTATTTTGTATTTCTCTAGCCGTGTGTGTTTTGACTTCCTGTTGTATTAATTGTTTGCCCTGCCCTAATGTGTCTCAATGCAGTTTTGCATTTTGAGTCCTACTTCTGCTCTAGATGTGACAGTCAGAGGCCTTCTTTCCCAGTGGTCAGGTTTGATTGACAGCGTTGTTAAGTGCCCTTTTCTTCCTGCTAAACCAGCGATGTGGCCAGGAAGGGGCAAGTGCCTTCAGCAGTCTTGCTCCTGATTGGCTTTTGGATTGGCTTTGCTATGATCCTTGAAATTCCAGGTATATACCGTGGCTCTTTTATTATTACATATTAGCTATTGCTGCAGTCTCGATGAGCTTCATTTGACTGGAGCTTGCCCTACAAATGCAAAATGCAGTAACATCATGTTTGGTCAAAAATGAGTTAATGTCATTGTGTTTGTATTTGAGAGCTGATTATCATTATCATGTGAATAAATATCCTGAAAAATATTGAGCTCAAACTTGACCTTTGACCCTTATTTGTTGGTTCTTGTGCTCTGTCTTTGTATCATGAGACAAAAATAAGGAGCTGTGCAAAGACAAAAGGCAGAAACAGTGTATGTTTTGTTTGTGATTTAGTTCATAAATATATTTTATTTTAAAATCCACCTCAGTAACACTTTATAATAACTACTCCTTACTTAGCCTTAATAAAGCATGAATAAAGACTTAATTAATAATGAACAAAGACTTAATTAACAATGAGTCACACTTAGTAAATGCTTAATAAAGCATAATTACGCTTCACTTTAGAAAAGCTCTCAGAAAGACTTAACAGATAACAGCTGCCTGAATTATCATTGCATTGTATTATTAGTAAAACATTCTCTCATAGTTTACTAATGATTAATAAATGCTCAAATGGTTAGTTCATGAGTAATTAAGTATGAAATAATTATGAGTAATTATTTACAGCACAGGCAAATTAAGTGCAAGTGCTAATTAAGATAGTAATTAAGTAGTTACTAAGGGTGAATCATTATTAATTAAGTCTTTGTTCAGTATTAATTAAGCCTTTGTTCAGGCTTTATTAAGGCTAAATAAGTTGTAGTTATTATAAAGTGTTACCTCCACCTCCTCCTTTTTATTCCAGTTTTGACACAGGGTCTGAACACATTCAATAAACAAACCTTTGTATTCAGTGATACTTCAGTCATTTTTAATGTGAAAGTATTTGGTGTTTTTATTCATACTGTACACACTGTACTGCAAAGTCACTTGTGTCAAACTGTTTCACTGTGTGAGTGTCTCCGCATGATCCTGATCAGAACTTAACAGGAAATCCAAAGCTCTTCTCAGGGTTCCTACAGGTTTCTTCAAGTTAAATTCAAGCGTTTTTAAGTCCTTTTTAAGACCATTTATATAAAACCTTAATACCTATTTCACGGCCTATTTCATATACTTACCAACACAGAAAAACAAAATTCTTGAACTCTCTTTATTTAGGCTGTTATTTAATCAAATACTGATGTTTGACAAATGAAACCTTTGAGAAGAAATGTAATAGGGAGAAGTTATGACTGCACAAATTTTAAGACCCAGATAAAAAGATTCAAGACTTTTTCAAATCGTTTAAAGGTATTAAAATTCATAAATTCAATGCTTTTTAGACTTTTTAAGACACCGCAGGAACTCTGTCTTCTATATCATTTCAAACAAACCCCATGATTCTTTTAATGGATGAAAATCTGGGGAAAATCAAGCAAATAATGATCATATCAGCGTCCGTGTTTTGTCTGTGCATGACTCCTTATTTTTGACTCATGATCCAAAAGGCAGAGAACAGGAACTGACAAATAAAGATCAATTTTGATCTCAGTATTTTTTACATACAAATCTTTCTTCATTATAGTAACTAGTTGTCAGATTTTGGGAGCCGTGCCTATTTTACTTTTGCCTGGACAAAACAGAAACTTTGAATTAATTTTTCTCAGTTTCAGACTCTGGAGAGTTAAGCTCTTTTGCCTTTGGAGGGTGGTATGGGTGAGGTCACACGTCCTCAGTCTCCAGTCTCAAATACAGGACAATCAGTGTTGAGAAGGTTACTTTAAAAATGTATTCCTCTACAGATTACAGATTACATACACCAAAATGTAGTTTGTAACAGAATCCATTCAATTACTTGAAGTGAGTAACGTAATCTGAATGCTTTGGAGTACTTGATTTTCGGCAGAGTAGCAAAGACACAGATATCTTCACATAAAATATTTTGGCTGCTAAAAGAAAATAAAAAGGCCAGACTTTCCTTAACTGTATTAAAAATATTATTGATAGAAGAGGAGGAGACACAGTCCACGCAGCATCATTAAATACTGTTAAATCCTGTTTTAGCCCTGGTTTAGATCTAGTTTAGACCTGGTTTAGACCTGGTTTTAGACCTGGTTTAGATCTAGTTTAGACCTGGTTTAGATCTAATTTAGACCTGATTTAGTCCTGGTTTAGACCTGGTTTTAGTCCTGGTTTAGTCTTGGTTTAGGCCTGGTTTAGATCTAGTTTAGACCTAGTTTTAGTCCTGGTTTAGATCTAGTTTAGACCTGGTTTAGATCTAGTTTAGACCTGGTTTTAGTCCTGGTTTAGACCTGGTTTAGATCTAGTTTAGACCTGGTTTTAGTCCTGGTTTAGACCTGGTTTAGATCTAGATTAGACCTGGTTTTAGTCCTGGTTTAGACCTGGTTTAGATCTAGTTTAGACCTGGTTTTAGTCCTGGTTTAGACCTGGTTTAGATCTAGATTAGACCTGGTTTTAGTCCTGGTTTAGACCTGGTTTAGATCTAGATTAGACCTGGTTTTAGTCCTGGTTTAGACCTGGTTTAGATCTAGTTTAGACCTGGGTTTAGTCCTGGTTTAGTCCTGGTTTAGACCTGGGTTTAGTCCTGGTTTAGTCCTGGTTTAGACCTGGTTTTAGTCCTGGTTTAGTGTCCGGCACTTTGTACTCTGATTACATAACTCCGGTACATGTAATCTGTTACTCCCCAACACTGAGGACAATACAGGATTACTCAAACAGGCTCGAAATCAACTGAACCATTTTGTGTAATATGTGAACTTTACCCAGATAATGTTGATCTACGCTGCACTACTGCTTTCCTCTGCGCTGTACGGCTGCACTCTGCTTATATCTGTGTGTGTTCTTTGGTTTAATAAGTGCTGTTTAAGTTTGTGTGTTGTGTTTTGTTCTCACAGAGATGGCGTTGATGTCACTGGTGTGTCCGCTGAACGTCTGCTTGCACGCTCCCTCCCTGATGTCCCACAGTTTGGCCAAAGAGTCGCACGCTCCGGAGATGAAGCAGTTCTGGTCCGGAGACAGAGCCAGAGACATGCAGTCCCCGATGTGGTTTGTGAAGATCACCTTCTGCTTACCGGTCTCCAAATCCCACAGGCAGCTGCGGGGGACACAGGGAGGAGCAAATGGACAGATAAGAGAGGGAGGAGAGGAAGAGAGGGGGAAAAGGAAAGAGGGAGAGAGGAGAAGGGGAGAGATGGGAAGTAGGGAGGGAGGAAGGGAAGAGAGGGCAAGAGAAAAGGTGGGATAGGAGGCAGAGAAAGGAGATGGAGGTGTAAGGGAGGATAAGAGAGGGAGGAGAGAGAAGAGAGAGGTAGGGGAGGAAGAAAAGAGAGGAGATAGAATAGATAGAACATGTCATATAAAGTTATGACATCATTGTATTTTTCATCAGGTTTTCTATCATCTTTTCTGATTGGAAGGATTTTGTGAGGACCTTTCCCCATCCAAAAGATTTAAATTTTGATTAAAATTGTGTTATTGCTACTATAACAACACAGAGGAGGACCACTGCCATGACAAATCCTTCAAATCAGAGAGGAATCCCTGTGCCCGAAATCCTCGAATACACAACATAACACAAACAAAAGAACAGATAAAACCATAGACAGTATAAAGAAGTGGACTGTGGGAGTTGTGTGGCTCCAGGCAAATGAAGCTCACATAGGCAAGCAGCTATAATCTGGAGCAATGTTCCATATTAGGAATTGGAATTTATTTAACGACAGAGTGAAACAAAAACGGCAGTAGAGCGGGTTAATACGGACATTTTAACCCTCTCAGTCTCAAATTAAGTTTTAGTAACAGGAAAAATCTGATATTTGGGGAAAATGATCATATGGGGCAGTAATATACAATCCTGACTTTTTTTTGAGCGAGAGACCTTCACATCCAGTGTGTTCTGGGATGTTGCAGAATTGGTCCGGTGTGGTAAATTAACACTAAAGACTGAAAATAATATGAACACCAACTTTATGTGTATACCACTTTTCATAACAATGAAAACAAAAAGCACAGTGTAACAGCTTTACACTGGCAGAACACCATCACTTTTTCGTATGGTGCTCCAAGAAACAATTTTTATGCTTTGTAAAGCCCAAAAGTACTTTACACTTCTGGCAGGCCATTTTTGTACAGTCTGCATCATCCACGTTTATCAGCATGGATGGGAAAAAAGGCTTCTGAGTAAAAAAAGCTCATAAAATATGGATGTGGAGTAAGTAGGTAATTGGCATTTAGCTGTTGCAAATCTGCAACGCCTGCCTGGAGAGGGTTAAGACCAAAATGATGAGGCTCGCAGCACAGGGTGACCTAAAATCTAAGCTGTTGTCCCGAATCTGGTCCTAAATGTCCCGAAAGTAACACTCAGACACAATATTGAGTAGGAGCAACCGCCACGTTTAAGGGAGACATCAAGCTGGAGTACCAGCGACGTGCGGGGAGGAGAGGCAGGTGAGGCAGGGCCACACCCAAGTTTTCCCTTACATCATGGAGTTTAGTTCACTACATTAAGTCACGCATCTTTAGTGGGGATGCTTCGGGTACAAGACCCTGATTTTGTCCCCACCCGTCCTGAATTTCAGCCAACACTGTCCTGAATTTGAGCCAGTGTTGTCTGGTCATCCTATCGTAGCAGCAGATACAGAGAGAGGGGTGACTATTTCTCAACGTAAAGTCATGTAGAGTCAGTGGAGCCGGAATACAGTTTGGAATGCGGCGACTAATGGGTTTGCTATGCCCACTTCTATATACAGTCTAAGGATAAAACTTAGAGACATTAACAGCATGTTCTGACCAGGTGGTGTCTCCAGACGCTGTGAGGATCTCGGTGTCGCTGAGGAATCTGCAGCAGGACAGATAACCTGAGAGCAAACATCACAGAGAAGCATGAGAATCTCTCTGAAACACTACACCGTCCTGATTCAGTCACTCTGCAGACACACTGCCCTCAGACGGACGAGTGTGGCTCTGAGGAAGAGAGAAGAAAGACAGAAGAGGAGGAAAGACACACAGGAGAGAGTGGAAAGAGGAAAAAGAGGAGAGAGGGAGGAGTGAGAGTGAAGAGAGAGAAGGAGAGAAGGAGACAGAGCAGGTAAGTATCCACGGGCGTGTCCTTCACCTGTGTGTGCGTCCAGCTCCCTCAGTGTCTTGGGGCTGGCTGCTTTGACGTTATAAACCGTGCACATATTGTCCAGACCGCCGCTCGCCACCAGGTTACCAGACGGCGCGAACGCTACGCTCATCACCCAGGCTGACTTCAGGGGTACCGCCACCAGCTGGACAGGAGAGGAAGTGTTAGACATTTACTTTTATAATACTTTACAAAGACGTTAGGGTCAGGAACCACAACCAAACAAGCACGGAGGTTTAGAAGTAAAACAGAAAGAACACAGCGACACAGGGGACTGAGAAACAGCGCAGATTTGAGCTGTGGTTGGACCATAACGATGAAGGTGCTTTTAGATTTTGTGGTCCAATTCCAGACCCTTCTGCATTCAAACTGAATATAGAAGAGTCTGACTCCAGGTAGTTTTTATCTTTTCCAGGAACATTGCAAATCATATCATTTCATTTGTGATGATTCTGTGTATTCATTTTCCAAATCTCACCTTGTTTCCTGTGTGGGTGTCCCAGATGAGCAGCTTTCCGTCCTGTGACGCACTGACCATTTGTCTGAGGAGAGACCACAGTAATTTATATAGTATATTATATGTTATATGTATGTTATATAGGGATGTAACAATAACTGAAATATTGTGATATCTTTGTGCCAGCGCCATCCATGGGGAAGTAGTATAAATGGTGGACTCTTATAAGTATTTGGGAACTGTGTTTGATTCCTCCCAAAGGTTTGATAAGAACACTGAGCAAATTATCAAAGGAGGACAGCAGCGGGTTCACTTGATGCGGAAGCTCAGCTTTTTTAATGTATCGCCTAATATTTTAAATAATTTTTTATCATTCTTTTATGGAAAGTTTGCTGACTTTTTCTTTAATTTGTTGGTTTTATGGGTTATCTGTGAAGGACAGGAAGAGTCTGAACCAGATAGTGACGGAGGATTCAGATGGAGGGTTTGGCCTCTGTGTGGAGACATCGGGTGCTCCAAAAGACTAAGGCCATACTCAGCCAGCCTGTTCTGCTCTAACAGTTCATGAAAATGCCCTCTGGGAGGCGCTATGTCACCCCACAGCAAAAGACTAACCACTACGCCAAATCTTTTATTCCTTCTGCCATAAGGCTTTTAAACGGAAATTGAATTTGCCATTGTGTCACTGATGCACTGTGGTTTGAATGTATGGTGTCTGTTTTCTTTTCTTTATTATTTATAGATTGTGCATGGCCAGAGATCTGCGAACTGAATTGCCCTTTGGGCTTAATAAAGTTGTTGATTGATTGAATAATCTTACTGTCAAAAGTCTCAGTAATATTTTGAACTGTCACAATACATCGAATCACAAGTTTCTTTGCTTAAATGCAGGTTTTATAGTAGCAACAGGTTATGAACATCAAAAACTACATATCCCATGATTCATTTCAGTGCAGACAACATGAAGAAATATGTTTGTTTTTTTTACTTGAAATTTTGGGATCATGACAGAAATAATTCACACAAAAATCTTGTCCAGGTATTTTAAAAGCAAAACAGTGTTCCATCTACAATTATGTCAGCCTCTTCAAAATATCTCAATAAATATTGTACCGTGCGATGCATATCGTGATAATATCGTGCCGTGAGATTTGGATATCGTTACATCCCTAATGTTATATGTATGTTAAACAATTGTACACAGTTAAAAAGTGGCTCATCTTTGAAATGCACTAAAGACTAACCCATGTCTGTGGGACATTGTGAGTTATCAATTTAAGATGTGTGGCCATAAATATGTCCAGTTAACTTCAAGTATAAACTACACAAATTGAAACAATCTAAATCAAAGTGTGTGAGCTTTTGGATTGTTGTGGTAAGGCTATTTCGGCTGTTTCGGCTGTGTCCGTGTGTCTGTGCCAGAGCCCCAGTGCATGGTGTTGATTTTGCCGAGGTGATGGTTGAGTTTAGTTCTCAAAGGTGAGATGTGATATAAAGGTGCTGTACCTGGAGTCGGTGCCCCAGTGCATGGCATAGATTTTGGCAAGGTGACCTTTGAGGGTTTTCCTGTTTTTCAGCTGAACTCGTCCCACAGGGTCGACGCCTGAAGCTGCTCCGGCCATGTCTCCATCGTTCACCCCTTTACGCGCCGTCTGGAAATACAAAAACATCAGCTGAGTCTGCCGCCCTCTGCTGGGAACACAGGGTGAAACACGTTCAACAAGTATTAAAGGAACTCTCCATGTATTTGAGCACAATGTGCATCGCCCCAGTACAGATATATTGAGCAGTTTGCTTTGTAATTGTCAGATTGCAGATTTGTTGACCTGGTTTATAATTCATATCTCTGTTATTTCTGGGCCTATCCACATGAAACAAAAAACTGACACAAAGTTCAATGTCTTCTCTGTCATGATTAAGAAACAAAAGTGATTTTTTTTTTCACTGTAGCTCCACAAAATATTCAATCCCAAAGACGTGAATGTTGTCAGATGAAAAGACTTAAAGATGTAAGATTAATATAAATGTTGTGGAGCTGATCCCAAATAAATAATGAGAAGGTTCAACATTTGTGGATCAGAAGTTTGGAGAGTTCTTCCAAAAACATTGAATCTTCCTAGAATATACAGGCCCCTGCTCCATCTGAAATTATGACACAAATTCTAGAACATGAACGCAGCGTAGTGATAAAATGATATGTTTTGCTCTTTTTTTTTTCAGGTTTGTTCATACGCTCTTACCTCGATCTGATTGCGGAGGCTGTCGCACTCCTTTTTCAGTTTATCGATCTCGGCTTTATCCGCTGCCATGGCGACTGTGGGCTGTTACTGAACCAGGAACCACTCTGTAACAGGGAGAGAGAGAAAACAGGGTAAGTCTAAACCACTTTCTAGTGCACATTTCAGCAACATCATCATTCCTGAAGAAAACAAAACAGAACAAAAAAACCCCCAAACATCACGACAGGTGGTGGTGACATAATGTGCACACTTGCAATACAAAATGGATTTAAACGGCACATTTTCGGGAGCCCGTGATTAATCTGAGCATTCATGATAATGTTTAGGAGTTTGATTTTCAGCAAAAAGGTGAGAGTGACTGAAAAAAATGAAAAAATCTTTAGATCATAAATTCATGAATGAGAGATTTGTTTAAGCGCACAAATCAGATGTTGTAGTTCCAACTAAACCAGCTCTTTATGGTCAGATTGGGTTAAAATAAACTTAAGTAAAAGAAAACCAGACAGAGTAGAGCCTCCAGTTAACATCACACCCTCAAATTAATGGACAGGATATGCAAATAGGTGCTAGATTGGGGTGACCAAATGTTCGTACTGACCTGGAACAGTCCCAATTTTGAGCCTGTGTCCCCTGTCCCAACAGATTTATACAAAATCACTGATTTGTTCCAGTTTTGTACAAGAAATGTCTGTATTTGGAACCAATCTGATCCCTGCCAACAGTAAAGAGAGGCATAAATTATCATTTGTTTAGGTGAAATATAGTAAAGCTGCTTAAAAATGACCAAAACACAAAGAAAACGTTACTATACTGAGTCACATTAGTGCCAAGTGCAGAGCGGTTTTATTGAATTACACACTTGTTTCACAATTTTATTACTACCAACCAACCAAATAATTATGCAAAATGAATGATAGTTCACACCTTAGGGTAGTTCCGTGGACTCAAGAGCAGTCCTTACTGTTAACTAGGGTGTTATTTTAATTGTGTAGTTTAGGGCTGCAAAATACTGAAAAAAAAATATAGATGCTGAACTGATAAACTAAGACAGGAATCCCAAATATTTCAGGTCTAAACTACACGGTTAGCAGCTTTTATACAGAATAAGACCCCATGGAGACACAGGGAGGGCATCTGGTGCATAGGGAGGTAGAGGTGTGCAAAAATATCAGAATATTCATATATCGTATTGTTTAATGTGATGATACAGTATTGATATTGTGGGCTGCTGTATCGATATATCATCAAGAGTATTTTTTGGTTTATTTTACTAAATTATTTTGTTACAGTTACAGTTTTGTTGTTTCTTTAGTGGAAGGAAACTAGTTTAAGTGACACATTTGACATTTTCACTGTTTTGATGATTAAAATGTTTGTGTTTCATATGAACTTTGCACAAGAAGTGGATTCTCAAAGACTTTTAGTATCACAGCCATGGATTAGCCTTTATTTTTTATTGAACCTTATCGAACTGATTTGAAATATATCGTATCAAATCGAAAGTGCACTGTATCGAGATATGTATCGTATCGTGGCCTATGTATCGAGATATGTATCGTATCGTGGCCTATGTATGAGATATGTATTGTATCGTGGCCTATGTATCGAGGTATGTATCGTATCGTGGCCTATGTATCGAGATATGTATTGTATCGTGGCCTATGTATCGAGGTATGTATCGTATCGTGGCTTATGTATCGAGATATGTATCGTATCATGGCTTATGTATCGAGATATGTATTGTATCGTGGCCTATGTATCGAGGTATGTATCGTATCGTGGCCTATGTATCGAGATATGTATCGTATCGTGGCCTATGTATCGAGACATGTATTGTATTGTGGCCTATGTATCGAGGTATGTATCGTATCGTGGCCTATGTATCGAGACATGTATTGTATTGTGGCCTATGTATGAGGTATGTATCGTGCCTATGTATCGAGATATGTATCGTGGCCTATGTATCGAGACATGTATTGTATTGTGGCCTATGTATCGAGGTATGTATCGTATCGTGGCCTATGTATCGAGACATGTATTGTATCGTGGCCTATGTATCGAGATATGTATCGTATCGTGGCCTATGTATCGAGACATGTATTGTATTGTGGCCTATGTATCGAGGTATGTATCGTATCGTGGCCTATGTATCGAGACATGTATTGTATCGTAGCCTATGTATCGAGATATGTATCGTATCGTGGCCTATGTATCGAGACATGTATTGTATCGTAGCCTATGTATCGAGGTATGTATCGTATTGTGGATTATGTATCGAGTTATGTATCATATCGTGGCCTATGTATCGAGACATGTATTGTTTCGTGGCCTATGTATCGAGGTATGTATCGTATTGTGGATTATGTATCAAGATATGTATCATATCGTGGCCTATGTATCGAGACATGTATTGTATCGTGGCCTATGTATCGAGGTATGTATCGTATCGTGGATTATGTATGGAGGTATGTGTCGTATCGGCAACTTCTTAAAGATACCCATCCCTACAGAGAGGGCATTCTATTATATTTGACAGCTGCATCAACTCAAATTGCAGTTTCGATTAGGTTGCACTGGTGGACTTAGTGTAATAATAATACATTGGACTTATATATAGAGCTTTTTTGGACACTCAACTTGAAGACGCTTTACAGACTAGTAGGACATGTACTTAGCTCCTCCCCTCAGACAGATATTTAAGCCAATCTCTCATCAGAGCTGCATCAGAACAGAAGAAAGTACTTGGATGAGTAGAAAAACATATTCACTTATATATAAACCTTTGTCCAGTTGACAGAATTCAACCCTGTATCTTCAAGAAAGGCAAGTGTTGAAAGATCAAATCTGCCAAAATGCTATTTTAGAAAACGACGCCAGAATGTCATTAGATCCTGAATCACGACCTCATCAGTTTACATCTTCAAAGCAAAGACTCTACTTAAAAAAATAAAATAAATCATGGATGAACCAACCCTAAATCTAGACATATGCAAGGTTTAAATCGTCCATACTTTACTTTTCTTCTTTCTGCAAAAACAAAAACTAAAAGATGCGCTTGCTATCAGATTAAAATGCATCAGAATGACAAAAATCTTGTGCCATTGTTTCACCACCAATCACTCTAACACCAGATTCATTCATGTTAATCAAATGTGTTGCTTAAGGACACAACAACACTGCAATCAACCAGCAATTCTGTCACACACACAGATTCATGTCTTTTAAGAAGTAGGTAACCAATACAAACTGGAAAACTTACAACACGTGAATGAAACAATGTCCAGTGTTTTTGAATGGAAATTATATCTATAAATCTGATTTTAAATGGGTTAATGTTTTTTGGTTTTTTTGTGGTTGTCTTGTAATTCCTGTCTGTAATGTGTGGAGAAAGTCATCCAAAGTCACTTAACTGAGCTGGCTGATAAACCAGATTAAGTCTCTTTGTCTTAGGCCGGGATTGGTCAAACATTCAGAAGGGATGGGGCTTTTCAGAGAAGTGGGCGGGTTCCTGAACACCCTCAGGTCAGTGGGTCTAGGACTGGTCCAAATCCTGGTCTGGATCCTGGTCTGGGACCTGAGCCGGAGGAGGAGGGAGGAGGTTTAGTGTCATCCGATTAAAGTGCCACGCTGCTTGGGCTACAGCACCTTTCTCTGATTCTGCCCCCTGCGGCGGCTTAAGGTGCTCAGGTTGATGTTATTTAAAGAGGGGCTGTTATGCTCAATCCATTTTTTGGGATTTTTACCACGTGAAATAACATTTTTCTCTAATCTAAAACATGCCTGGTGAGGTTTTAGAGTCATCCATGCATGTTTCGGTTCTGGTGATCTGTTCTGGCCCTATTCACGTTAGCTGTAATATTCTGTACGAGGCTCCGCCCACAATCCTACTACATCACCCACACTCCCTCACGACAATTCTCCATAAATAAACAAAAACGTGATACAAAACTGTACACAGCAATGTGACAAACCTGATGGGATGTGCAGTAGTGTCATTAGTGAGGTGCACGCTGATTGTGTGGTGATAGTGCTCTGAAGGGGGAGTGACTTAGCACAGAAAGTTAAAGGAGTGTTAAAAAGTAAAGTGAAGCTTAAAAAACCTGTTAATACATTGTTTTCAGTAAGCATAGCTTTTTCAAAACAATAAAAAGTAAGATGGTGATCTAAATGTCATGACCTTCTTTAAGGATGTGAGGCTGATAAAATAAAACCTGAATCCTGAAAAAAAAAAGTGAATGCCAGTCCGTCTGTGTTGTATTCAACGGAACTTTGACTTGAATATACGAAATATAAAATGTAATTGTGTTGAACTATTCAATTATCAAATGAGGAACTTGCCGGAGAGCGAAGACATGTTTGACTTTTTGACCCTTGGGGGCATCGAGGGGCGAGGACGAGGAGCACTATTTTTGTATCTTTTTAGATTTGTTTTGGTCAATTTTACTCAAGCAATAAAATCTAAATAGAACTCTGCATTTGTGATTTTCAGAGATGGGTCAGAGGAGCAGAGCAGAGGGTCAGAAGAGAAGGTTCAGAGGAGAGGGTCAGAGGAACAGAGGAGAGGGTCAGAGGAGAATGTTAGGGGAAGGTCAGAGGAGTAATGGAGGAGACAGCCAGAAGAACAGAGGAGAGGGTCAGAGCAGAGGGTCAGAAGAACAGAGGAGAAAGTCAGAAGAACAGAGGAGAAAGTCAGAAGAACAGAGGAGTGGGTCAGAGGAGAATGTCATTAGAAGGTCAGAGGAGGAGAGGAGGAGACAGCCAGAAGAGCAGAAGAGAGGGTCAGAGGAAAGCAGGGGAGGGTCAGAGGAGCAGAAGAGAGGGTCAGAGGAGAGGGTTAGAAGAAGAGAGGAGAGGGCCAGAGGAGAAAAGAAGAAGGTCAGAGGAGCAGAGGAGTGGGTCAGAAGAACAAAGGCGAGGCTCAGAGGAGCAGAGGAGAAGAGAAGAAGGTCAGACGGTCAGAGGAGAGAGTTCAGCGTTTCCATGTTGATAAACGGTGAAGTTCTTTGACCTTGAAAGCCGAGCAAACATGACTAACGTGAGCTCGTTAGCGCTAATCCTAATACCGCCCA